AATCTGTAAATTTCAATTCTTATACTTCTGACAGTTGTAGGCACTCAAACATCAAGATTTAACAATATTGATTGAATATGTTCGATAGCGTAAAAATTATATACAAAACTTTTCTGAAAAAAACCCCCCCTTTTTTGGGGTAATAAAAATTTGAAATTACAAAAAAATTGATTTTGTAGGTTATTTCCTATTTTTTTTTTTGGCCCTTTATTTCACAAAATTCTTTTATATTTAAAATAAAAATAAGTTTGTTACTTTAATAATTGAAAATCTAGTCACTTTTGAATCCAAATGAACTCATTTTTTTGTATTTTATATTGTTATATTTGGGTAAGGTACATTGATGTGCGTTTGTCAACTAACTTACATAGGTTTTATTTACGTTTTTCACATTATCTTTTTTTTTATCAAGCAAATGTAATGTCATCAGTTATATAACTTTTTGATTTTTTATATCTCTGAATTAATAACTGAAGAAATGAGTTAACTGTTGAAAACCTGTCATATATGTATAGTTTTGGTCTGCTTGTATTCAATTTTAAATAATAAAAAAACACACTATCATACGGTGCAATTTTTACTGTGATGTTACACAAATGATGAAAGTAAACTAACAAGTTTCATGTACTGTACTCTATTAGTGACTTTTCTATGGAAAAAGGTTTAATGTAAAACTACGATAACTGGTAGCTATAATGAAATACATAACCGGTAGCTGTAATGGAATACATAACCGGTAGCTGTAATGGAACACATAACTGGTAGCTTTAATGGAATACATAACTGGCAGCTATAATGAAATACATAACCGGTAGCTATAACGGAATACATAACCGGTAGCTATAATTGAATACATAACTGGTAGCTATAATGAAATACATAACCGGTAGCTATAACGGAATACATAACCGGTAGCTATAATGGAATACATAACCGGTAACTATAATGGAACACATAACTGGTAGCTATAATTGAATACATAACCGGTAGCTATAATGAAATACATAACTGGTAGCTGTAATGAAATACATAACCGGTAGCTATAATGAAATACATAACTGGTAGCTGTAACGGAATACATAACTGGTAGCTGTAATGAAATACATAACCGGTAGCTATAATGAAATACATAACCGGTAGCTGTAACGGAAATACATAAACCGGTAGCTATAATGAAATACATAACCGGTAGCTATAATGAAATATATAACCGGTAGCTGTAACGGAATACATAACTGGTAGCTATAATGGAATACATAACCGGTAGCTATAACGGAATACATAACTGGTAGCTTTAATGGAATACATAACTGGTAGCTATAATGAAAATACATAACCGGTAGCTATAACGGAATACATAACTGGTAGCTTTAATGGAATACATAACTGGTAGCTATAATGAAATACATAACCGGTAGCTATAACGGAATACATAACTGGTAGCTTTTAATGGAATACATAACTGGTAGCTATAATGGAATACATAAACCGGTAGCTATAACGGAATACATAACTGGTAGCTTTAATGGAATACATAACTGGTAGCTATAATGGAATACATAACCGGTAGCTATAACGGAATACATAACTGGTAGCTTTAATGGAATACATAACTGGTAGCTATAATGAAATACATAACCGGTAGCTATAACGGAATACATAACCGGTAGCTATAATGGAATACATAACTGGTAGCTATAATGAAATACATAACCGGTAGCTATAATGAAATACATAACCGGTTGCTATAATGGAATACATAACTGGTGGCTATAATGAAATACATAACCGGTAGCTATAATGATGAAAGAAAACTAACAGGTTTTTCACAGGAAGCTATAATGGAATACATAACTGGTAGCTTTAATGAAATACATAACTGGTAGCTATAATGGAATACATAACCGGTAGCTATAATGGAATACATAACCGGTAGCTATAACGATGAAAGAAAACTAACAGGTTTTTCACAGGAAGCTATAATGGAATACATAACTGGTAGCTTTAATGAAATACATAACTGGTAGCTATAATGGAATACATAATTGGTAGCTATAATGAAATACATAACCGGTAGCTATAATGGAATACATAACTGGTAGCTATAATGGAATACATAACTGGTAGCTAGTTGCCTTTTCCGCTAAGGGGTTTGGTGACGGGAAACAGCCCCCCCCCCCCCTCATCGCCAAAAAGATCTTGGACATGTTAGAGGCTAAAATTGGCCTCAGTTCGATCAGAAGGTAACCTGTCATCAACGCTGAAAAGCCTTTGACTCTGTCCCAATCCATTGAAATGTTGCAGCACTTTGAAATCTGTTTGGATGAAAAAAAATCAACACAAAATAGTGACATCTTTCTATATGAACATATTGAAATGGAAATCAATTACTGAACTTACACAAACTATATCTTTTTTAAAATGACAAGTGGAAATGCATTTCATACAATGCTTAAATCCTATTTTCAAAATGAATAACTTATAAAATCCACATATCTTTAAAGAATGGACAAATAAGAAAAATGTGCCACTACTGACGAATTCTTGATAGTTTCTATACTTATTATGTAATGTTTATAAAATCCTGTGACATGGTTGGGATATGTGTCTTATATTTACAATGATCATTCATAAGGCGGTCCTTTAATTTTCGGATGGAGTATGGGTCACTTGATTCTAGGTCAATGTCTCACATTTATGATTTATATATAGTTGATTAAGTTTTATTGGGCATTATCAATGTTTAGACATTTGTGTTTAAAACCACTTTCTTGTTTCATGATAGAATTCCCTTTACTTACAAAGATTTTCAAATTCAAAATATTTCAATTCTAGACCTTTGTATTATACTAATGTACTTTTCTTTCTTGGTATCAGATGAACTAATTCTTGATACAGGCGATTTCCTTTGGGGTTTTGTTTTAATCCTTTTATTTGTCAAATGTGACAGGTGGTTTACAGTTTTATGCCAGGACTACAAAGAGTTTTTTTTGTGTGCAGTAAAATTGTCTGTCAATGTAGTTGTACATGTAATATATTGCTTCATAGTGTAAATATCTCTTTTTCGTTCTTTTTTATACCCCAAAAAACGAAGTTTGGGGGGGTATATAGGAATTACCCGGTGGTTGGTCGGTTGGTCGGTCCAGCGGTCTGTTGCATTTTCCTTGTCCGGAGCATAACTTGAAGACTAATGGTTGGAATTCAATATAACTTCATACAATGGTCAAGCACATTGAGAGGAAGTGTAGTGCACAAGAACCATAACTCTATCTTGACTAATTACAGAGTTATTGCCCATTGTTACTTTTCCTGGTCCGGAGCATAACTTGAAAACTACTGACTGAAACTCGAAACAACTTCATACAATTGTCAAGCACAATAAGGGGAAGTGCAGTGCACAAGAACCATAACTCTATCTAAAGTAATTACAAAGTTATTGCCCTGTGTTCTTTTTCCCATTGCTTTCTTTTGTCTGGACTTGAAGACTAATTGTTGGAATTCAATATAAATTCATACAATGGTCAAGCACATTGAGAGGAAGTGCAGTGCATGAGAACCATAACTCCATCTTGACTAATGACAGAGTTATATCCCTTTGTTACTTTTCCTTGTCCGGAGCATAACTTGAAAACTACTGGCACATTCAGAGGAAATGCAGTGCATAATAATTATAACTCCATTTTGGCAAATTACAGAGTTATTGGCCCGTTGATACTTTTCCTTGTCCGGAGCATAACTTAAAACAAACTGGTTGGAATTTAAAACAACTTCATACAATGGTCAATCACAATAAGAGAAAGTGCAGTGCACAAGAACCATAACTCCATTTTGACTAATTACAGAGTTACTGCTCTTTGTTACTTTTCCTTGTCCGTAGCATAACTTGAAAACTACTGGTTGCAATTTAAAACAACTTCATACAATGGTCGAGCACAAGAACTATATCTCTGTCCAGAGTAATTATAGAGTTATTGCCCTTTGTTACTTTACCATTGCTTTTTTCTTGTCTAGAGCATAACTTGAAAACTACTAGTTGGAATTCAAAACTATTTCATAAATGGTCAAGTGTATTGAGAGGAAGTGCAGTGCACAGAAACCATAACTCTTTTTTGACTAATTTAAAAGTTTTTGCCCTTTGTTACTTTTTATTGTTCAGTGCATAACTTGAAAATTGATGGTTGGAATTCAGTGAAACTTTATACAATGGTCAAGGGCAGTGAGTTGAAGTGCAGTGCACAAGAACAATAACACTATTTGGACTAATTACAATTATTGCCTTTGTTACTTTTTTGTCCAGTGCATAACTTGAAAATAGCAGTTGGAAATAAAAACAACTTCATACAATGGTCAAGCGCAATGAGAGGAAGTGCAGTGTACAATAACAATAACTCAATCTTCAGTATATAGTTATTGCCCATTGTTCCTTTTCCTCGTCTTTCTGGACTTATTACAGAGTTATCCAATAATACTTCATCAATGGCCACCCACATTGAAAGGAAATGCAACATACAAGAACCACAATTATATTTAATTGCCCACAACCATAACTCTATTTCAATTCTTTACAAGTTATTCTGTTACTAGTAACGTCCTCATTTCCGAAGCAGTCTGGCGAGGGGTATTAATGACATTTAGTGATAGTTCTAGTTTCTTCTAGCAAAACAAGTATGAATGTCATACTGTTTGTCATTAACTGAATACCTCTTTGCTCCTGTTAAAATTTTGCAAATTAGTAGAGTTAAGTTGATAATTTGTATGTAAATCAAATGCTTCCTTGCTTACATTTTGCTATTTTATTGATATTTAATTTCACATTCATTTCATTATTTTTTAAATAGAAAGCATTAAAGGAGCATTTATATAAATGTTATTAAGCCCATGTTTGTCTTTTGTAAAGAAGAAAAATAATAAAATTCGTTTTTATGGCATAATGGGCCTTTAAGTTTTATTTAATTAAAAAGGAGGTAAACATATAAAATTACGCAACTAAGTCATAAAAATGAAGCAATCCCAATATGTATACAATTCTACATTTATTTCACTCATAAACATAATCTCATTTACAAGTTCAAACAATTTAAAAGTATATATATAAATTTTGTATTAAATCACAATGCAAGAATACAATGTATATGATAAATCAAATAAATTTTTCACAAAATAATTCATGTATATTAACAAATTAAATCAAACTAGTAGTATTATTACATATTGAAAATGTATATACTTGTGTAACATTTTGAACCAAACAGACCCTCTGTCTGTGAAAAGCTATCATAATCAAGATATTTAAGTGACTGTGTTTTTCTTTTTACATTTTATGTTTGAATATTGATTTTTATAAATAAATCAGATTGTTCCTTAAATATTCTTATTGATATCATACACTTCAATTTTGTCATTTGCACGTCTGTATATATACATCTTAGTCATTTGTTGATTGCAACAGACTGACAAAATGTCCTGCTTTCTAAAATCAGCTTTTATAATCTCTCCTATCAGCTCACCATCACGTGTAAACTGTAAAACATTATTGGAGTAAAATCCAGATACCAGCACACTGCCTGCTTCAGTGAGATAACAACAGTTAGCACCCAGTAATTGTTTATCATTAAATGATGTAATAACCTGGCCATTGTTGCCCAGTACTATCAGTTTCTTATCATGGTCAGCAATATAAATCCTTGTAGCATCATTTCTGACAGCTAGACTTTCTATGATACAGTACAACTCATGTCCTGATTGATCCTTACTGAACTGTTTAAGCTTCCTACCAGACAATGTATACATATATACTGACATGTCAAAGCCTGAAATATATAAATTATTATTTGCATATGCAAGACCATGACAATCAAAGTCAGTTTTTAACTTCCCTGTTGTTTTCATTTGTCTTTCTAGAGAAATGAAATGAACTTCCCTTTTTGATGAAACAGTTACTGCTACTTGTGTGTTATTGATCATACACACTTGCGATGGTTTTCCAGGTAGGTCACAGTAGTCTGTGACAGTATAGTTATAACTGTGTAACCGTTTAAGCTTCGTGTTGTTGTAATCAGCTAGAATTATTGTACCATCTTCCATACAGCAGGCACTAATGATATAACTATTGTACATATCAGACTTAACTTTTACATTATAAGATTGATTTTCTTTAATCTGAAATAAATTGACAGTAGTTTCTGTTAGTGTGCCAATGGTTTTCTTGTGTTCTAACTGTGTAAGAATTGCTCTATCAGGTTGAAAATCTATGCATTCCACAGAACTTTGAAATTTTGCATCTTCTATATATTTGTTGGCAACATTCGCAGCATCCTCTGCCATCTTCACATAAAGAAACACTTCAGATCGAAGTATGTTTGTAGATGCTAATTTATCATTAGCTGATGCAACCATGGACTTGTTTGTTTGTAGCTGTTTGAGACTATATTCAATCTTGTCTTCAAGACTTTTGACTTTATCATCTATCTCATCTAAAGAACATTTCTCCAACTTGTTAAGATGGTCATTGATTTCTTGTCGGAATTTTCTGATATCAGCCAGTAGTTCTGCTTTCCTCTTTAGCAGCCTTTGTTTATCATTTTTAAATCTATCACATTGTTCTGCAAGAGTTTTAGCTATGGCTTTAAGTTTTATTTCAATTTGGCTGTATTCAACTTCGTAAGTATTGTTTTGGATAAATTCAGGTATGTAGAATGTATCCTTGCAAAATCTGAAAAATAAGTTCAGACAATTTATAATTATATGAGGCTATCAGATAACTGAGGACCGCCTCCGTGGTCGAGGGGTTAGAGTCGATGACTTCTAATCCAGTTACCTCTCTGGCGTGGATTCGATCCCCGGGAGATGCTTTAGTAGTTTAGCACAGAGGAAGGTAGTCTAGTACTGGTGTTACTCTCCAGGGACGATGGTTATGGAACTACCCGCCTATATGACTGAAATACTGTTGGGAAAAGGCGTAAAAAAATGAAACAATCCAACAGATAACTGAGGAGATTAAATATTTTATTCTCTGTAACATATAAGTATTTAATTAGAATATTATGTTAACACTTTTAAGAACCTATTAACATTTCATATATAAAAGAGAGTGGGGCAGACTTTTTTTATATTTCTTGCATATATAATATTATTATGTTTTATCCTGAACATTTTCATATATCAATGGTTATTAGATTAGCTTTATGTTGTCTATCATGTGAAATATATTGTCAATTCAGCTCAACTTGACAATGAAGAATTGAGCATAATGAAAAAACTAATCTGTTTTTATATTTTAAATTTTACCTGTGATCAACTGCCATACATGTAGAACAGCCAACCTTATCATGGTTCTGACAGTACATATCAATGTGTTTATGACTGTGTCTATCACATCTCTCTGCTGGTACTTTCGGCAGACCTTTGCTGGTTCCTGACTTTAGTTGAGATTTATCCAACACCTTGTGACCAACTAATATAGGTACTTCATTGTGAACTTGAACACAAGTTCTACAAAAGTAATCATTACAATCTACACAGAATTTTTCACCTTCAGTATTTTTCCCTTTATTTTTACACATTGAACATAATACATCAAATATTTCATCGGAAGGAATATCCGTATCTATTTGTTTCCTAGAAGCCATTTTGTAGTAATTGTATTCAAATGTGTTATCTGAACTGATCTATTCACCAATAAAGCTGTCCTAATTTCTTTTCAGAGTCATTTTAAAACATTATTATTAACAACACCATTTAATCACAGTTCTCAAGCTTGACTCCTGTAATGATATTTCACTTATTCCTTTCTATGTATAATTATCATCTCCAATTTTTGCCAAGTTATTTGCAAAAGATTCACCGTTCTATGGTATCCACTGAATAACGCCCCTTTTCATTTTACGGTTGTATCGTTATCTGTTAAAATGCTGATACAAAGTCTAACTTCCAAATTGATAACACTTATTTAGGTACACAGTTTTAACTGTTTACATCAGCTTGGTTAATCATTGTGATATTAATAAAGCAAAAAAACTCCCGAAAGTAAATAAACTGAACACTTTTAAGAAAATTTTCCTTCCACAAATTTAGCTTACCAAAATTCTTCCTAGGACAATACTTAATTTATAAATATGGTTCAAAACAGGACCCCTGGTAAGAATTACATGTACCTATATGTATTTATAACAGCTTAGTATATGAAATGTATACTTTTTTAAATTATTTTGAATGATAAGAAGAAAGATTTTTTGTAATATTTCAGTTGGTTAATCAAGATGTGAATTGATCTAAATTTTGGTTTTATAGACTGTGTAATGGCATGGTGTAGAAAGGATAACAAAGGGACACCGAAGGACAGGGAAATAAACGATGCCAAGTTTATATATTTTTTAAAGTCTGAATGAAGTGGTTAGATACATTAATATATTTTATTATAACACAGGGTGTTTCACAACAAAGATCTTTTATCTAGCATTTTGATTAGAATCAAATTATATATTATCTTCACTGGCTGAAGGCTGAATAAAGTGTTATATTAAATTTTTATGGTCTTTTTCATTCTTATAAGTAATGTCGGTTCTAAATGACGAATTATTATATAATATGTGGATTTTGTAAAAAAAATGAGTCAATGTATATGGTTACTTAATTGAACCACATAAATATTTGCATCCATTATGTTAAATTGTAACAAGTTGATTAGATGTTAAGCTGAATATTCTTGGCATATTAAAATTGTTTAACAGATACCATTTTATGTTTTTCTGAACAAAAATTTTGCTTTTATTAATTCTTAAAAATGCTTTGGGTATATTTTTTAGACTAACTAACTTAATTTAGGTGGACTTTTTTCCTTTCTTAGTTTATGGCCCTTTTTCCATCAATATAAGAGCCTTAGGTGGATCTTTTTCCTACTAATAATATGAATTTTTCTGCCTTATGAAAACCCTTGGGCGGATTTTTTTCCTGTTATGCAGGTTTCTACTATGCTAGCCGGAATCCGCGTAAGAGAAAAAATGCATATTACAAGCTCTAGTCTCCCTTAGGTCAGAAATACGCTTTTAAGTACACCAAGGTGGAAACCTCTTATTCATTGGAGGCTTTTTTGTACGGGTACTGTTGAAACAAACATGTATTCAGGTAAAGATATAAATTAACAAAGTTTCAAGATACTGTTGGATCATTTATTTATACAAATATACAAGTTCATATACATAGCACATGGACATACAAAATGCATTTAAATCTGTCACTTTTAGGCAAAAATGTTGAATGTACAGAATAATTTATTATTGTATATTTTGAGTGAGAAATATTCTCTGAACATTTCATTCAAATAATTAAATAATTCAGGAAACAAATCATTGAGAAAAATATACAAATAAACAAGTGTTTAGCAAACTCAAATAACAAGTGATTAGCAAACTATCAAGAATAAATGATACTCGGTATTGTAGAGGACTCTAGAAGTGAGGGTTGCAGGGGGTTAACATTACAGTTACCGTCATACAGCAATTTTACAGCTTTTATCATTAAAATTCAATGTTCAGTCATATAACATTCAAGAAATTCAAAGTTTCCGTTAGGTTTAAATTTCAAAATGCTTATCCCAGGTGAAAATGTTAAACACTAGGCCATGCCCGGACAGCTAGGGACTGAAGCCCCACCCCCACTTTCCACCACCATTTTCATGCCTTAGATGATAAATAAACATTTATTGAAATTGTTAAAACTGTCTGTACCTTTATTTTAAATGGTATATTAGGGAAGGTAACTAGAATTACCAGTTGGAACTACCCAACAGGTTGCTTCTTGTAAAATCTTAATTTCATTTATAGGTAAGGACTTTAACAAGAGCTGTCGGTAGGACAGCAACGCTCGACTATTCTTAGTGCTTGATAGTAAAAAAAATGCTTGATACAGTTACCTCCTCCTATTTACAGGTTGGGGTAATGATGGTGAACAAGTGTGCAAAGTTTCAAAGCCATATGTCAATGGACATTGAAAATATTTGAACTATTACAAAAACTTTAACATAAATTCTAAGTCGAAAAATGGGCATAGTTCTGTCAAAATGCTTGATAGAGTTACCTCCTCCTGTCTACAGGTTGGGGTCATGATGGTGAACAAGTGTGCCATATGTCAATGGACTTTGAAAATATTTGAACTATTACAAAAACTTTAACATAAATTCTAAGTCGAAAAAGGGGCATAATTCTGTCAAAATGCTTGATAGAGTTACCTCCTCCTGTCTACAGTTGTGGTCATGATGGTGAACAAGTGTGCAAAGTTTCAAAGCCATATGTCAATGGACTTTGAAAATATTTGAACTATTATAAAAACTTTAACATAAGTGGTTACGCCGACGCGGACGCTGACGCCGACGCTCGGGTGACTGCAATAGCTCTACTTATTCTTATCGAATAGTCGAGCTAAAAATAATCTAACCATCTTTTGAAATTTAACTTTTGAAAAAGAAAAAAAGAAAACATTGAAAAAGAATGTGTATTTGTTTTAAACGGTGATATTCACTATCACCATCCTCCCAGCCTAAGAATGTTTACTGCAATTTTCATACATATCTGACTCGAAAATTGATTTCATATAGTAACATGTAAAAGAATAATCCAAACAAAATATAATTTCTGATGGCTGCACTACTTACATAAAATACGATCTTCACAAAAACTAGCTCTGTTTTTTGTAAGTCACATAAAGGTCAGTTATTTCATCTCTCTGAGAATAATAATATCTGTCATATTTTGCGGTTCGGATGGAATATCCGTCCCGAGGTGACCCGCCCATGGGCGGATGACCGAGGGACGGATATTCCGATCCGAACCGCAAACATATGTCAGATATTTTTTCTTGCATATTCTACCATATTCCATTATATTTTAAATTCTTTATCTTTATTTTCAATGAAAATTTATATCATTACAACCGTAACTACTTCCTTACAACAGCGTATGAATTACAACTTCATTCATAACGGTAAAATGACGTCATCCTAAGCGTGCTATTGTACAGCACGCGACTCATCTGGAACCCCCCATGCCAGATGAAATTTCCAGCATGGGTAAAACTCACGGTAACGCCAGTCTGATATGCAAGAACTGAATTTTCTTTCTTTTAAAAATCAGATTAAAATCACCAAGATTTCATCCAAACTTTGAAATACTGCCTGTACCCCTGGTCATGCTGAATTTCTTATCTGGAATTGGCCAACCCAAGCATTGAATTTTGGATCTGTTCATAATCAATTTTGGGGATATAAAGTTGAAAATTTACAGTTAGTCAGCGAACAGTAAAGAGCCTGGTCAGATGAATGTGCAGTCTGGTCTGGTTGTATACTAGTGGTACTGCTTTATCATTTTCATTTACAGCAGAACATCGTCGGTTACCCACAGTATATATTCCGTACATACTACATTATATAATAATATTAGATAATAAGATAATGTAGTATGTACGGAATATATACCGTGGGTAACCGACGATGGCAGCAGAATACAGCGTAAAATCTTTTTTTTTTCAATCGGGCATTCACAAAACACTTATATACAGTCTGATAGATTAAACAATAATGAGTATCTGTTTAAAACCATGAATAGAAATTACAGTGCAGAATAATAAATGTACATAATTATAATATTATAACTCAATGACTAGCATTTGCTGTATAATCGAGAACAACAAAGACATTAATTAAATCTACAAGACTCGAATAGTTCACAACAACATTAAAACCACAGATTTCTTGTTGCCCTGACTATTTAAGATCAGCGTAACTATATATAGGAAGCACAAAAATAAAGTGACAAAGTCTTGAATGTGCAATTTAAAATAATAAAAATACTATTTTTTTCTGAATTGTGAAGTCATTATTTTATTGTTTTATTTGAGGTCATAAAGCATAAAATTCTAAATTCTTATTCTAAATTCTCTTTTTGGAACATATTGATCAAAAAATTATGCAAGAGACATTAAAGAATATACTCAGAATTAAATTGAAACTCTAGCTAACTTTAGCCAAATTTGAATTATTTGCATCATCTTGCACACTTAAATTGATTGTTCTGGTACAATGGAGCAAATGATCTGAAACTTTGCAAATGAGTTATTGGCCCAGACCTACATAAAATAGAACACAAGTCTAAAAAAATATTCAAGATCTGTGATGTCAAAAAAAAAATCAGTGGAATCGCTTTAAGAACATTTGTAAACTATCTCTGCCTTGTTGTGTATTAAATAATTATACAGAATGTGGATTTTTCTATGGTCAACAATTGATAGAACATATTCTATTTCTTACTGCAAATGAACCAATTAATCAAGCATACCCGTAACAATATATGTCATCAAAATACAATCTTTCTTCTGCTAAACTCTACCAAAAAGAGACCTAATGGCCTCATAAAATCTTATAAAGGCTAATAATGGGAAAATGAAAAAAAATACAAAGAATTTGGTAACACAGGCATATATTATCAATATTATTGTTCAAAATTTTCACTGTTTATACATAATACACAAGATATAAGATAATTTATTTACAGTAATACATAAAAGAAACAGTACTCCACAACAATACTGAATGGTACAAAAATGTAGCAAAACAACAACCAGGAATCTAATAATTAAAATGTCAGTTAAAAATTATATACAATACTTCAGACATATTCTAGAACCAGGCATACATTTGAGCCGTGTCAAACATAGTGTGTTTGCGACCAGCATGGATCCAGACCAGCCTACACATCCCTGCAGTTTGATCAGGATCCATGCTGTTCGCTTACAAACCCTATTACAAGTAGAGAAACTGATAGCTAACAGCATGGATCCTTATCAGACTGCGCGGCTGCACAGGCTGTTCTGGATCCATGCTGGTTGCAAACCCATTGTGTTGGTTTTGTCATGACACAGCTCATTTGTTGTTTGTGTTGTTTTGTAACTATAAATTATTACCTGCAGAAGTAAGTCACTATTTTGAGTAAGTCAAGTCATATATTTAACTAGTGTAAGCCATCCTTTTATAGTTATTGACAAATAATGAGGCAAATAGAGCATGTAAATAAAACAATTATATCAAACTTTCAGACTTTTTTGTGGTGGTTATATATTTTTTGAAGTGTTGGTCAAATAATTGCAGTGCAAAACTTTTTAAGGATAGCCAAATAATTGTTTTTCATTCAGCAATGAACCCTCAAATTTTCAAAATACATTGTATATAAATCAAAGATGTTCACAACTTTAAATAATTCTTATAAGCGGGTGTTTATCAAGAATATGACTTCCTATTAACATTATTGTAATAATACATATTAAAGGAACTCCACTAAGGACCAAAAACATAAAATTGAAATTTCTTACATGAATCAGCTTGGATATACAAAAGATAATAAAAAAAATATATTCAGAAATAAATTTCAAATCACGTCTGAGCAATTTTTAGCCTGATTTGAGTGAAAATTACAAAACTTTTCAATTTGAAAACAAAGTGAATGATCACAATATAGTGGTCTAGACCTACATCAATGAAACACTAATCTCGAAAAATTATTTCCATTTCAGTCATGTCAAAATCCTCAGTGGAATCCCTTAAACTGCAGCACTTTCGTAAAAATTTGACAAAAATAACATTTGAGCCGCGTCACAACAAAACCAACATAATGGGTTTGTGACCAGCATGGATCCAGACTGGATCCATGCTGGTCGCAAACTCATTATGTTGGTTTTGTCATGACACGGCTCATTTTTATCAATTCATTCTTATAAGCACATAATTACCTCCCTTTAACAACCAATAGAATGGCTGGCAAAAATCAATATTATGAGGGGTGTCCAAAATGTTTTAATATAAAACCTGATTAATTCATAGATTTTAACAACCCTCATGTACAGAAGACTGTGCATGCATGGATTTATCAGATCATATACATAGTTCATAAATAAAATTCAGACATTATACAATATACATATACATATAATTCATAACTATTTAATCAAAATGATTATCTTTAAAACAAAAACAAAATGGACAAAATAGTTAATAACAAGAGCTGTCCGTAAGACAGCGCGCTCGACTTTTTTAGTGCTTGCCTATAATACAAAACATTGACAGTTAAGGGCCATAATTCAAATAAAATCTTTGACAGAATTACCCTCTCCTGGACATGTTTGGGAATCATGATTGTAAACAAGTATTCCAACTTTCAAATTAATATCTCAAACAGTTCAGTCAAAAAGTGGACTGGTACTAAAAACTTAACCAAGATTCTAAGTCGATAAAAGGCCTTAATTTTTAAAACAAATCCTTGACAGAGTTACCTTCTCTTGCGTACAGATGGGGGTAATGATGTGAAATAGCATTAAAAGTTTCAAAGCAATATCTCAAAGGGTTAAGGCAATAAGTGGATTTTACCCATATTCAATGTATTTTCTAAGTCAAAAAGGGGCATAATTCTGTCAAAAAACCTTGACAGAGTTATGTCCTCTTGTCTGTTGATGAAGGTCGTGATGGTAAACAAGTATGGTCAGTTTCAAAGCAATACCTCCAATGGTTTTGAAATAAAGTGAGGTGGTACAAAAAACTTAACCAAGATTCTAAGTCGATAAAAGGCCTTAATTTTTAAAACAAATCCTTGACAGAGTTACCTTCTCTTGCGTACAGATGGGGGTAATGATGTGAAATAGCATTAAAAGTTTCAAAGCAATATCTCAAAGGGTTAAGGCAATAAGTGGATTTTACCCATATTCAATGTATTTTCTAAGTCAAAAAGGGGCATAATTCTGTCAAAAACCTTGACAGAGTTATGTCCTCTTGTCTGTTGATGAAGGTCGTGATGGTAAACAAGTATGGTCAGTTTCAAAGCAATACCTCCAATGGTTTTGAAATAAAGTGAGGTGGTACAAAAACTTAACCAAGCTCAATACACTTTCTAAGTCAAAAAAGGGCCATAATTCTGTCAAAAACCTTGACAGAGTTATGTACTCTTGTCTGTAGATGGAGGTTATGATGGTGAACAAGTATGGTAAGTTTCAAAGCCATACTTGTAATACTTCTGAAATAAAGTGGGGTGGTACGAAAAACTTAACCAAGGTGTGACGCCAACGCTAACGCCGACGCCGACGCCGGGGCGAGTAGGATAGCTCCCCTTTTCATAGAAAAGTCGAGCTAAAAACAAATGAAAAGTATGAATAATGATCTGTTAGTTATCAAATTATTAAAATAGTTAATATAACCTTATTGCACAATATTCAATGACACTGTGAAAATCATGATGTTTTAATGTACATCAAAATTAAAGAAAGAAAAAATCACACACAAAAAACTGTACAAGTCTGAAGAATGTAGACTCAAGACTAACAAATCTTAATTGTAATAGGTAAAATCACTGTCCATTGAGAAAATATAGCTTATTTTATAGACTATAATATTTTTGTTTATTACAACATCTAAGTTTATGACACAAACATAACTTGGAAACTCACCGACAGCTGAATTAAGAATAATTCCTCGGCAAAATGTTTACAGCAAATAAAATAAGGCTAAATTTCAAATTTCAACCAATTTAGAGTGACTGTGTAAATTTTCTTTATCTAGAGGGGCTCAAACCCAAATTTCTAGATAGAAGAGCGGCTCCATTTTACTACATGTTGTATTTCAGGGGCCAGTTTCTCAAAGCTCTGTTAAATTTAACCCTCTGTTAAATCAAGTAACAGACCTTTGAGCAACTGGCCCTATTCAAAATAAGGGCTGGTAAATATTTTGTATAACTGACTTTGTGTCATACCCCAGTGGGCAGTTACTTAACAGATCTTCCTGAATTTTGTACAACATGGTGCCGTTAGGAACTATGAACTTGACATAAATAATTTTCTAACTATTTGACCAGTAGTTAGATTTAAAGTGCTACTTTTGTAGTCTTTGTGAAAATATCTTTAAAAACCATATTATCCTTTTACAAAACTGTTATAAAATGAGAATCACAAGTTTAATTTATAACACTTATAAATCTATTCAAATAAAGTTTTAATTCATTTGAAACTTACACACAATAAAGCATAAATACTAAAATATTTTCAAATTAGAAAATTTTGGTCAATAAAAAAAATATCAATGATAAAAAACATACATTACATAACTAGTTATTAATGATAGTGAAATTATTTACAGACTTCACATTATCCACAAACGACATATTTACGATATAAAAGGTGTCAGTTATTCACTTAATAAGTGGACTGGTTCACTTACTGCAAGTTGACTGGTTCACTTACTGCAGTCAAATGTATATTCAATCAGCCCTATAAATTTCAACATTATAACTTACTGATTCACTTTACTCACTAAACTTCCACGTACAAAACAGAACCTCATCACATAACTCCAAATCACATCAGTCCTTCTAGAACTTCAGTATTAAAAACTGCATTAATACTAAAATTGTTTTCACCCAACACAAAAAGGGCTCTAATTTACACTTTCAGCCCATTTTCTTCAATCACGATTTTAAACAATTTGGTACAATTTTGTATTGCACTGAAATCACTGTTTTTCTTTAAATTTCATTTTTCTATTACTTCCCCGATATATTCCCCGATATACAATATAATTATAATCATAATGTATCATTCACTTGAATGTTGCCTTTGATGTAAAAGCATTATTTTTATGTGTAAAATTTATTGGCCACTCATTCCAGGCTGAAATGAGTTAGTATCAGTTCCTTGCTGACCCATGGGGATACCCATATTTGATCCTGGCTGACTTATATTTGATCCTGGCTGACTCATATTTGGTCCTTGCTGACCTAAGTTTCCTGATTGCTGACCCATATTGCCTCCCTGTGCTCCATATTGAGGCTGAAACGGCATCGGATAATATGGCATGGGTGCCATCATAGGTGCATATGGGTAAGGTGCAAAAGGTGCATAGGGGAACATACTTGGCTGCATCATTCCACCCATGGGGTACATTGACCCTCCAGGGAAGCCCCCTTGCTGGGACATATTCATATTCTGTTGATTACCAAAGCTATTACTTCTATTAAACTGACCACTTCCGCCAAAATTTGGGAAGAAGTTTGGATTTTGCTGTTGTTGGGAGAACATGTCGAAATTCATATTGCCTTGCTGGTAATTGGGCACACCCATTGCACCAGACTGTGAACCAATTGCCCCAGACTGGTTTCCCAGTCCAGTATTTTGAGAAATTCCACTTGCAGACTGGTTCATCATTTGAGAACTGTCCACAGATGACTGGCTGTTTTGATCAGAGCCGGCGTCAAGCTGTGACAGGAAATTGTCGTCTGCATCAGTAAGTTCTGACAGGAAGCTTGAATTATTATGGATTCCACTCATTGTAAAATCAGCCATATTATCGCTGTTTTGCTGCGGCCCAGTACTTCCAAATCCAGAATTCTGACTTCCAAAACTGCTAGACGGGTTCTGGAAAGTGGAGGCCTGGTTACTAAATCCAGCTGTGTTACTTCTGTTATTGTTTGGCATATTCATAAAACCACTACTGGAGTCTCCAAACAGGTTTGTGCTTTCCTGATTATTCATATAACTTTGTCCTTGAGGTGGTACTTGATTCTGAGTTGCAGACTTCATTTCATTAGGACTGGTCATGTTGGGCAGACCAGGGTTGAAGATTCCACTGTTAGATCTAGATGTAGTCTTTTTGGTTGGTTGGACAGGATGTTGAAATCCCACATTCTGCTGACCACCAGACTGTACCTGTTGATTTCCAAACTGATTCTGCATTAAACCAGTCTGTACCTGCTGATTTCCAAATTGACTCTGTACCATTCCAGACTGTGCCTGTTGACTTCCAAACTGGTTCTGAATACCTCCAGACTGGTTCTGGTGACTACTGAACTGGTTTTGTAAATTTGCAGGCTGGTTTTGTTGACTACCAAATTGTGATGGCAGACTACCAGTCTGGTTTTGAAGGTTCTGCAAACTATTGGTCAGATTCTGTGAAAAGCTAGACTGATTTTGTTGGCTGACAGATGCATTCTGGTTATTATTGCTTGAAAATGGCATTGATTGGCTCCCAAGTGGTCGTAACCAGTTAGGTTGGGCTTGACTTTGGTTTGAAGTTGGCATCATCTGAGACAAATCATTCGATGAGTTTTGATTACTAGTGAGTTTCATCTCATGTAAGTCTATTTCCGAAGGTCTAGTAGATAAATGATCCGGCTGCGGCATTATGGGTGGTGTATTTGCACTGTTTATTATATCTGATATAGGCGACTGAGATCCAGACTGGTTAGAGTCTGACGGACTACCGGACAATGAAAACTTGGGTTTACCTTTCTTTTTACCCATAATTCCATCTAATCCTTGACTAAGAGAATTATCCTGCTTCACAGACTTACTTGAAGATTTGTTTTTAAGACTAGACACATTTTGTTCAGATTTCTTTTTCTCACTGTTCTGAACACCACTTAACTGTTGTGGTAATTTCAAAGCCTTCATGTCTATGGGAGGTAAATTCCAAGAGAACTCTTTGCCGGCCATTTGCGCACTGTTACCGGCCATTTGCGCACTGTTCTTCTGCATATCATTGTCACTCTCAACTTCCATTTTACTTTCATCAATTTGATCTTTGTTTACTTCTGGCTGACCAGATGCACTCGCTATAGTTGCCGATGCCCTGCCCGCGGCAAATGAATTTCCTATTTTTGGAACAATGATATTTTTTATCTCCTGTTTTGCTGGTAGCTGTTTCAAAGTGATTTTCTTGGGAGCAGTATTGTCAGAATCTGCTGTGGGACTATTTGGCGCTACCTTTTTGCCCTCTGTAAGGTTTTTCAGTGCGGCAAGGGAGCTAACTTTCATACTAGTGCTGTTACTGGTCGTAGTGTTAGGTGTGACGATTTTAATTTTAGAAGTTGAAGGTAATGTGGCGCCAACTTTCTGGGACTGTGCAGCAATCACTGCCATCTGACCAGTTGTGGTGGAAATACTAGATACTTTAGAGCCAATGGTGACAGGTATAATGGTTCTGACCTGCCCTGGACCTTGCCGGATAATGGTCATGGGCTCTGTAATAGAAATCAGATTAATTTATTTCTCAACTGATCTAGAAAGATTGGACTGTAAACTTCAAAATAAAATTTATGCATCATTTCTAATTAACTAACTTTCCAAATTGCTTACAATTAAGTAAAAAATATATAAGTTGGCATTTTTTCACCAATAAAGTTCAAGTTACAAAAAGGTATATCAATAATTCTAATACTGCATGTTTGTAACTTTTGTGTATTCATTGTTTACAAAATCTTTATAATAATGTCATTCAGCAGTCTGCAAATTTATAAATCAATTTTCATTTCATAAATAAGAAAGTTAATTGGACAGTATTACAAACTTATAATTTGGGCTTTTTTGACAAGTTATATGATCATGTACAAACTGGAAGTGTGCTATACAACCAGTTATATTTGGCCGTACTACTTTAGAGTTAGCTTACAAAGATTTATACTGGACCATTTAGCTTTGGTGTCCACTTACAACCATTTATACTAGACCATACAACTTTAATAACAACCAGTTATATTTGGCCATATAACTTAAGTGAAAGCTTACAACCATTTATACTTGGCCACATAACTTTAGTGTAAGCTTACATTCATTTAACCTGGGCCATATAACTTAAGTGTAAGTTTACATCCAAATATACTGGGCCATATAACTTAAGTGTAAGCTTACATCCATTTATACTGGGCCATATAACTTTAGTGTAAGTTTACAACCATTTATACTGGGTCATTTAACTTAAGTGAAAGCTTACAACCATTTATACTGGCCATATAACTTAAGTGTAAGCTTACAACCATTTAACCTGGGCCATATAACATAAGTGTAAGTTTACATCCATTTATAATGGGCCATATAACATAAGTGTAAGTTTACATCCATTTATAATGGGCCATATAACTTTAGTGTAAACTTGCAACCATTTAGACCTAGCCATTGAATATGTAAACTATTTTAATGATTAGAAATTGAATTAGAAACTCACTGGTAGTTGTAATTGGACTCGGCTTTGGTCTTATGACTGTTACCCCAGCAGGTAATCTTGACGTTGCCACACCTGCAGTAACAGTGGTGGTGGTAGATGGACGTACAATTGTTACACCACCAGTCGTCAAGTTGCTTCCTGTGTTAGCTAGAGTGTCTAATGGAGAGGTGGAGTCAGGCTGTGGTTTAGATCGCACAGCAAAGATTTTACCGTCTGGAGTTCTAATGTATACACCCTTCGGTGTACGTATAACAAGAACTTGTTGCCCTGCTGGTATCTTCTTTGGTTCAGTGGTCCCTGCTTCGGTACTGGTGTTAGTTCCAGGTAGTACAATTTCTGTGAAAAGATAAAATAAATGAATTGAATAACATTTAAGATATGTAAAAGACATTTGTTTGTTCCAAGTAGTACAATTTCTAGAACAAGAGCGATCAGTAATCACATGTGTCGCCTCATGATGGCCAATTTCATGTTGGGACAAATTTTGTGACAGACGGACAGACAGACGGACAGTGCACAACTAGACTTGGTACTGATTATTCCTGTAAAGTTTGGATAAAATTGCACCAGTAGTTTATGAGGAGAAGTCCGGACAAGCTTTTGCGTATCTGGCAACACACAGAAAAAAACACCTTTTTATCAAAGGGCCATAACTCGACAAAAATCATTCAACCGGAAAACCCGTGCAATATGCGCAAGGACTTGAGCTACAGATCAATCCTGTAAAGTTTCATTGAAATTGCATTAGTGGTATAAGAGAAGTAGTCCGGACAAACTTTAAAAACAAAAAAATTATTAAAGGGCCATAACTCAAACAAAAAATCATTGAACCGGAAAAATGCTGACAATATGCACAACTAAACTTGGTACTGATCATTCCTGTAAAGTTTGGATGAAATTGCACCAGTAGTTTATGAGGAGTAGTCCAGACAAGCTTTTGTGTATCTGGCAACACACAGAAAAAGAAACCTTTTATCAAAGGGCCATAACTCGGCCAAAAATCATTCAACCGGAAAACCCGTGCAATATGCGCAAGGACTTGAGCTACAGATCAAATCCTGTAAAGTTTCATTGAAATTGCATTAGTGTATAAGAGAAGTAGTCCGGACAAACTTTAAAATTAAAAATTATTAAAGGGCCATAACTCTGACAAAAATCATTGAACCGGAAAATGCTGACAATATGCACAACTAGACTTGGTACTGATCATTCCTGTAAAGTTTGGATGAAATTGCACCAGTAGTTTATGAGGTGTAGTCTGGACGGACGGACAGACAGACGGACAGACAGACAACGGAGAAGTGATCCCTATATGTCGCCACTACTCCGTAGAGGCGACACAAAAATTAGAAATAAATGAACTGAATAACATTTAACATTTATATGTACAAACTTTTACACAGAACTGGAAAATATTTATAAGAAAAAACAGTCAAATGTTTAAACATGTTTAACTTGTATCTGAAAGACGACCAAAATTACAATGAAATTTCAAAGTACCTTTACACGGAAGATTAATAGACTAAATTTAGTTTATACTAATTACTTAAGTTCGATAAGGTTAGAAGATAATTATAATCTAATTGAAACACTCTCGAATCCATTCATGGAACCAACCAGTACTAAGCAGCGAGTGTACAATTTCTTGCTCAAGGAAACAACAGCTTGCCCCTGATGATGTTTGAACTCAAAGGCCAGCAATCCATAGATTACTAGTCTGAAGCGTTAACCAAGCGGACAAATAGACAGACAGAACAACACTTTGCCGAAAATTTACTGACAGTTGCAGATGGGATATTAATTTTCCTTAGGCATCAATACAAAGTTAAAAATATTTATCTTTAAATATTGTCACAGCTCTTACCGGTGGTAGTAAGGACTTGATGTACTGAAACACCAGGTTTCAGAATTTGAGGAGCAGCTACAATCTTTGGTCTCATAGGTACTGGTGTAGACACCATGGGTTTCACACTCGCTATAGGTCTCTGAATAGCACCACCTCTTCCCCTATGAAATAATCACAAGGTTACTTAAGCACACAAAGTTCCACATGTACAGAATAAAATAGCATTATCTTTAGCAATTACATGTATTATTTTTCTTAGTAAAAAATACAAGATTTTGTTAAGGATAATGTTAATAAATCACTTATTAGTATGATAGTTGTGAAAATTGACAGTTGGCAGCTGCTCTCGAATACAATCATGTACTCTGAATTCTTTTGTTATTATCAAAATCATAACAAAAGTTCTTGCAAATCTATATCAAACTTTGAGTTTTAGAAACTATAAAGAGCTAACTCTTTTTCTTAAAGCATAACACTTATTTTCTTTTCTTCATTTTCTTTTTTATTTTTAAATCATAACTATACATGTACCTTATTGTGCCCTGATATGGAGTTACCCCCCTTGGATAATATGCAGCGTAGGAGGGTCTACTATAAGAGACATTTAATCTCTTCTCCATAACATAGCTTTGTTTAGCAAGTCTTTTCTCCTTCATCGTCAACTTTAACTCCTTACGATCAATCAGTAATGATTCATGGGTAAACGGTTTCTGTAAATAAACATAGATGGGGGAATCATAGATTTTTTATATAACATAAACTTAAAAAAGCTAACATAAATGCACAATGAAGTTCATGAATATTTGTGAAATATAACTGGCAGATCATGAATATCCATGTTTAATTTACTGTAACATTCATGAACACGAAACTACATCAACTAGAAAGTCATAAGTCATGAATATTTAAGTACAGCATGAATAATCAAGTTCAATTAACTTCATGAATATTTGTAAAATATAACAGGAAAACCATGAATATTCATATTCAATTAACATTCACATTCATGAACATTCATACTACATCAACTGGAAAGTCATGAATATTTAAGTATGGCACTAATATTCATAAAAAATTAACTGTAGCCTCATCAATATTCAATACAATAAACTTAGAAATCATAAATATTCATAAGAAAAAACAACATTTCTTTAGATCTGATGGATGTTTTACAAATATAAAATAAAACTAAAAGATAGAGAAATAATTAGTAAAATATTCTATGAAAATTATTAAGACAATCATAATGACCCTTTAATTTTCACTCAAAATTATTTGATACAAACTACTAACACAAACAAATTTCAGATGGTAAACTAGAAATACAAGTTTAATCAATTTCAACACAAACAAAATTTATATAACTAATGAACACTGTTACAACTTACAGCAGTAAGCCAATGTCCCTGGTTTTTCAGCACTGTAACCATACGTGCATCATTACATTCCTCGTCATAGGTGGAGAAATCTACTAATGGGTACTCTTTGTTCTGTAGATTAAAACCCAAATAAAATGTAAGATATCAATTTCATTGAAGCTTAAACCCTACATTTGTAAAACATGAAGAAATTAATACTTGCAGACATTAAGAAATATATATTTTGTCCTCTTAATTAATTAAATACTTGTAAAAGAGATAGAAATATATTTTAACTTATCACGTGCATTTCACTGTTAAGCACAATGGCGATTGCCTGACTGAAATTTAAGGTAAAAAAAAAGATTGATATGATACCAAACACTCCCATTACAATTTATCTAAAATGAGCTGACAGGTCCTTGTACTATATTCTTAACATTTGGAGCAAGCAAGGATACTACTTGTACCATTTTGATAATGATCTTTCATATGATACTATAAGGGTCTTTTGTTTACAAATCGGGCACTTTAAAACTAGACCATTACTGTGGTTATGTTCAGGAAATCACCAAGCATGAAATATCATTGACCCCAATGCTGGTAATATGTTATATGTTGTAACATTCTTGAGATCTGGGATTGTCCCGGAAATTAGGGGACTGTCCCTGAAATGTATCAAGACTCAAAGTGAAACACAATAACTTATCTGGTCCTAAAATAGAGTCACACTAGAAAAGGTTTTACCTCATGATACATGAGTTTGTCAACATGTTCCCGTCGGAACTGATTCTGCGGGTTAAGTTCATCTACGACTCTGTCCGACATTCCCTGTTTGTTCACCTGTCTATCATATATCTTCCGTTCCATTGTGTTTTCTGTAACAAGCCTGTAATTACAAGTATAAAATTTATTTAACTTATCATTTGTACAAGGTATTTCATTTCAACTGCAGTAATTTTTAGGAAATCATAATTGAATAGATAAAGTTGATACATTAATGTTATGAAGTGAAATTTTTAATTTTTTAGCTATCCTGTAAAAAGTTAAGCTCAAAACAATATTACTTTACAGCAGATCTATCATATACTATAGAAATGTGTCAAAGTACACAGATGTCCCCACATTCCACTGTTTTGTCAGACAGATGTACAATGGCACATCTATATGCCCCACAATATTATATCATTTAAAAGTTACAAAATGTATACAACAAAATGTATAACAGAAAAATAGTAAATTAAAATTACATTTACTTATAACATAACTTAATAACATAAGTTATTTGTTTGAATTTATCACAAAACGAATCAATATCTTCATCTGAAACAATTTCATACAACTGTTATGTAGAGCCACATATATAACAATCTCCAATTCTGGGTGGATTCATGTGTGAATAAAGTTTGGTTTGATCTGACCAAACCGGGACATAAATCATTTCAGGGACAGTCCTCTGATTTCCGGGACAATCCCAAATGTCAGGAATGTTACAACATATATGATACAATTATCGATATAATTGGCTATAAATGTAGCTTGGTTTGATAACTGGGTCATAAACTATCTCACGAACATTTCACATTTCAGGGACAGTCCTTAATTTCCTGGACAATCCCAGATGTCAGGAACATTACAGCATATATGATACAATTATTGACATACCTATAAATGAAGCTTGGTTTGACTTGACCGAACCTGTACACCCTACAGATAGCCTGACAGTCATGACAGGGATTCCACGAGGCATCTACCACTACCACTCTGTTAGCAGCTACCAAATTTATACCTAAAGACCCAGCTCTGAAATATCACATGAGTTTAACTATAAACATATACCAAAATACTTAATTTTTGTTAAGAATTACTTAGCCCTTAGCCTGCTAACAGCAATTGTTTAAACCCATGTAACAAATGCAGACCAATATCAGCCAATACATCCATGCCATCTGGTCATGAAATGCAATGTTTGCTTTTTGATTAGTACATATTTGAAAATTCTCCTTATAAATAATGAATGGTTTTTGTACAGATTGAAAAATGGATTAGTCTTTTATAAAAAATTAAGTGTGGCAAGGCTTACAGAAATCATTTACTTATTGAAGGTACTTCTTATACAAGATCAAATGGAATGACATACAAGACGAGAAACAGATAGCGAACAGTATGGATCCTGATCAGACTGCACGGATGCGCAGGCTGGTCTGGATCCATGCTGGTCGCAAACCCATTATGTTGGTATTGTCATGATGCGGCTCAAATCACATGTCTATGTTTACCTTGTGGAGAGAAGGAACACCCATTTGTTAGGCTCTGTGTTGAACTGATTGATCAACTTTTCTCTATCTGAACTAGATGTACTGCCATCAAGTCCTGAAATAGTGTATAAAACAGTTAAATATTGTTTGTTTGTTTTTGTTAGTTTTTACCCTTATTTTATTACATTTTCAGTTATATCTCAGCAGTGGATCCACCTAGTTGGCTGTCCCAGATAACTACCCAGTTATTAACAATTTCTCCGCAAATTACTTACTAATCCCACATTTCTAAATCAGCAACAAAGACACATGGCCATTAGACTTAATGTCCAAAATTAATTGTCACCGGAAAATTTCACCTCGTACGAGGTATTAGTTGATCCACCTTGTTGATAAATAACATATCTGTTGATAACAATAAATAAAAACTTACTGAAGTAATTCTTATTTTTACACCAAAATTCATCTTGGTCTGGTCTTGGCACTTTACATTTGCTCAGAAACTCTTCTATAAGGTTCAATGTGAACAAACTTTGACTGAAATGAAATGAAAAGAAAAAGCCTTTATCAAAATTTCAATTAAGCCTTCAAACATAACATTTACAAACTTTTAAGAAAATGTTTTGTTATCATATAACTGTACTCATTTATCTTTTATACAAATCTTAAAAATGTAAATTTTACAAATTAATTTTAAATTTTATAATACGGGATCCTTTTTAAAATACTTTTCATTGGGTTAAAACCAAAAAATGTTTATAAATTTAATATAAATTTTTGGGCAATTTATGAAAAATTCCCTTTTTTTTTAAAAAAAAGAAACTTCTGTTTTTAAATTCATTAAAATATTTCCCAAATGGTTATAGGGGGAATATAAAGGTTTTTTGCTAATTTAAAACAAAATATTTTTTCAAAAAACCTTTTTTAAAAGGGCCCCTTATAACCCGTTCAAAAAAAACTTTTTAAAAACAAAAAATTTTCAGTATAACATAAATTTAAAACAACTATAAAATAAAAACCCAAAAAAACCCAAATATTATAAACTACCAGAAAGAAACAAACTTAATCAACATATATTACCTGAAGACTAGGATTTTATCCCCTGCCATTAAGGACTGCTCTATAAGACTGAACAATATCACCATCTTGCCCCCATTATCTAATTGTCCTGGTACATAATCCTTCAATATTTCATTGGCCTGAAAAAATGTTCAAACAATATTTTATGCTGTAATTTACACAATCACAGTAATCCTTCAATATTTCATTGGCCTGAAAAAAATTTAAACAATATTTTATACAGTATTTTACACAATCACACCATATCATCCTAATACACTATAAAAATAAAACTGGCCTTGCCACAGGTCTGACAAGGCTACCCCATTACCCCTAGCCACTTTGTCAATAGGTTATTCACATTGAGTTACAGTTTAGTACAAATACAGGGAATAGTAGTGACTACTTTAGGGACTATTTTGCAAAGAACTCGCTAACACATTGTTTTCCCTTCAAGGTTTTAAAAGCTTGTATATTTTACATCAATTTCTATTATTTTTGTTATATATTACACATCAATTTCTATTATTTTAATTGTACTGCACCATTGAATATAAATCTGTTTTATATGTAAAATTACAGGCATTATCAACTTTTAAAGTTTCATCATTTTCAAACATATTCTGGTGAATTGTAAATTATATGTGACTTTTCGTGTACATCCTTTACCAGTTTAATAAATAAGCATGTTTTACACAATCAAAACCTTGAGTTTCATCCCATGAGTCAATTAAGTAATGAGTGTCAGAAAGAAAGACCTCAAGCATTATTTCCAACTAAGGTCATGATCCAAACAGAGCTCAAACCTATGATCCTTGGAAGGCTCTTTAATTATTATATATACCAACGTCATACAAATATGAAACACTGTCAAAAACCTTTACAAATATTTCAAAATAAATCAAATTACCAGTAACTGAATAATTGTTTTACATAAAAAATACATACAAGGTATAAATCATAAACAATACCTACCCAATCATATGTTATACAAGGTTCATTCTGTCGACCTACATTCAAAGTTGGTCCCTGCCCAGGAAAACCAGGTACTTGAGCGCCCGGACTTGCTCCGGCCTCGGGATTAGGCGTGGCTGGTGGAGTTTCCTTTTTACTTTTCCCTCTACCACCTTTTTTCTTTGGTTCACCAGTTTCAATGTCAAGGTCATTATCATCAAGACTTTTCTTCATACATGTGTACAGTATATCAGGGTGATTCCAGATCTGTAAAAATAAAACTTTAAATACATGTTCCCACATGAAACATCAAATAAATAAGAGAGCTAAAATAAATAAAATAGCTTATCTTGTTGTTATCTGAACTCAAAACTTAACAACTTTAACATATTTTGTTATTGTGAAATTGAACTTTTCCTCAATGTGTTCTGTCCACTTACAAAGTTTCAAGGTGATAAATCCAAAACTTTTTGAGTTATACCTCAGACAGGCAAAACCTGATGGTCTGGAAGGCAGACCAGCTAGTTATAGTATATGTGTGTTTATTTGAGTTTATTTATACTGGCCAGTGGTTTCCTACATGGGCGAGTCCGCCAGAAAAGTATTAGTCATTTTAGACATGCAAGATACAGATACATGTACCAACAGATGACCCAATTCCAGAAGCTTCTCCTGGCTCTTCATTGTGCCAAGAGTTTAAGTACTCAAACACAGGCCCTCCATTTAAAGTCTCATCCTAAAGACTGAGTTATTTTAAATGATCACCCCCTTAATTGAACACACAATGTCAACATTACAAGTCTCGCACTTAACCAAATGAGCTATGCTGGCTGGTTATATTCCAGTATACCCACTTTCATAAAACATAACTAAGCTACTGTAAAATAGTAAACAAGTCTTACCTTACAACAGACAGAAAATGCTTTCAGAGGGTTGTTGTTCACCCAACCATTAGAGGACTGGTCAGTGACTGACTCCATGAACTTCTCGTACAGTTTCTGTTGTATCGGTGACATACGTATCATGTGAACGTACTCTTCTTTAGGAGGTAGTGCTGCTTGTAATACAGTATGTCCTCTCCTGTAATGTACAATATCAATTCATACTCTACACTGCTATATATATATAGATGCTTGAAGGGTATAAAGCTGTATATAGTAAAATATTTTTACAAAACTTTTTAGGGGGACACCAATGAAGATTTTTCACATGGCTTGAAATATTTTTTTGAGATTTATGTTCCATTTCATGTAGGTATAGACCAAAAACATGTGATATAAGTTCAAACTTCTAAGTTCAAAAAAGGCACCAGCGCCTGGGGCAGTACAATAGCTTATCCCATTCACTGAAAAGTCTTGCTACAAAGTACAAAACATATTTCCACAATAACCAACACAATAAACAGTAAGTTAGCGTACCTCTGAACAAAACCTTCCAGCAGACTGTGTAACACATGAGCTCTGTATCTCATTAACCGGACGTCCTGCGGAGTACTGTCCGCACACTGACCGTTCATAATCGGACGCTCAAACATGTTACAGAACTCCGTCTTTGTACCGAGGAAATTCGGCCTAACGAAGTCCACCATACACCAGTACTCTATCAAATTGTTTTGTAAAGGGTAACCCGTCAGTACAATCCTTCTCCTAGGAAATAAATAATTCAAATATTTTTTTAATTTATATATCATAACTTGTTAAAATATTTTTAGTTTAGGTAACAATTAGTGCCTTTTCTCACTTAATTGGAAAGAGGCAATAGACTTTTAATTTGGGGAAAATTATCACTAAAACTGCTTATTTGGGAAGTAAAAAAGCTGGTGTAAGTTCAGATGTTTTGGGAAATCTGCATGATTTCAAAGAAAAATTTTGATTGGGAAATAGGCCTTTTATAGGCCTCAGTTATAGAAGTTGAAAAGTCACTGACAATATTGTATTTAACACTATAGATAGTAATTTTAAAGGTGGCCAACAATTTATTCAAATACATCTATACAAATATGATCACCAATTGATGATCTTTCTTTTATGAAAATAAAATAGTTTTCTCCAAATACTTACTTTTATTTTTAAATATAAAATTCAATGCCAAATCTTCAATAGGCATATTTTAATTTACTTCTAACATGAAAACAGCTAGAAAATAAGCAAATTTATTTTTAAATACATTTGTAGCTTTTAATAAACACTAGTGACTTGGTTAAGTATGTTAGACAACACAAACACTTGTCTCTGCCACAAGTATAAAGTACAGCCAGTTACAGCAGACACTATGGAGTGAACAATTTTAGTATTTTTCTATTGAAATCCAATATACTTACAATGGCCAGTTAATGATACACAGCAGAATATATCCATTACACAAACTGAGTAGGAAAAAAGTCAAGCAGTACACTTTTTGCTGTACCATCATTACAAACAAAGAGCAAACCTGCCATTGTCACTGTTTTATCAACACTTACTTTGTTTTAATTTGTTTGAGGGACTGAGAGATTCCAGCGTGAGAGTTCTTAATTCTGTGACCTTCATCACATACCACAAGGTCAGGACCGGGATTTACCAGAGCTTCATGTATACCTGGAAAAAAAAGATAAAGATCATTATTTTCATTTTTTTTTTTTTTTTTTGGTTGGGTTTTACTTCGCACCAACAATATAAATGACTAATGGTAACTTTCTAAGCTTTACTGGTGAAAGAAGAGCTCAGGTGCCTCTCCATGCATTATATGAAGAACCAACAGGTAACTGGTGAGTAGAACCACTGATGTTATGTAAGCCAGCTGGATAGCTTCCTCACATGAAAAAAAATCCAAAAGTCCATGGCAGGATTCAAACCCAAAGCAGCAAGGGGCAAGTGATATGTAGTAGACAACTTAAACCAATTAAAGCAAAGCAACATACAAGCAGTCAATAAATCCTCTTTTAACAAGTACTGGTCTTATGGCTATCTAACCACATACTAAATTGATGAAAAATTTGGTAATTACTGGTTAGTTATCTAGGGAAGCTGGTTAGGTGGACTGACAAACGAGATATAATAAAAATTTTGTTAAAATTAAAACATAAAGCATTAAAACTATATAAACAAACACACAATGGAAAAGAAAATTAACATGAGGTTTCTTGTCGGATTATATTCTGCTATAACTTACTAATCAGCAGTTTTTTGTCCCTATCTTCTTCTTCTACATCTATAACGTTAGATCCGGGAACCTTCTTACGACCTTTAGCCTTCTGTAGATGAACTTTTTTACTTGATAACAAACGGTACATCTCATAACCCAACAGGAGGACACCACCTGTCTGATACCACGTATCTGTAAAAAGTAAATATGTGGTCATTAATATGATTAATATAACCTCATATGGTGTTTACTATGACAGAAGAAGTATCAGTTGTTTTTTTTTCTGCAAAATTCTTTAAAGTTAATGCATATTATGAAAAGAACTTATTCAGATTGTCTTGTTTAACCTTTTACCTTGCTTGAACTGAGACAGATTGATCTTTGACAAAAGTTTAGAGCCAGGCCAGCCTGTACAAATATGTGCAGTCTGACCAGGCTCTTTATTGGCCGTTAACTTTAAATTTTCATCTTGATATCCCCAAAATTGATAATAGACAGTATCAACAATGAAAGTTTGAGAAGTCCATTCTAGAAATGCAGAGGGTTCAGAGTTAACTATTAAAGGAACTCCACTGAGGCCCAAAAACCTAAAAACAAAATTTGAATTTCTTACACATATTACCTTAGGCACGCTATACAGAAAGTTATGCAAAATAATTAAGAAATATTCTCAGAAATAAATTGAAAATTGTATTTTGAACTATTCTAAGCTCTTAGCCAGATTTGAGTGAAAAGCATTGCAACACTTTTCAATTTTGGGTCATTTTTAACAACTTAAATAATTATTCTGGAAAAACAGAGTGAGCAAATTATCTAAAATTTTGCACACAAGTTATTGGTCTAGACCTACATCAAATTGAGCATTAATCTTGAAAAATTATTTCCAATTCAATCATGATCAAAAACCTCAGCTGAGTCCCTTTAAACTAGAACCAGAAGTTCTGGAGGACAAACAATACAAGATGTATTGTCAGCTAACAAGGAGAGGGTCAGAGTTACAGAAACATAGGTCTAAAGATTTAAATGCTCTCATTATTATTTGTACTAGAACTGCTTATTCAATGAATTGTCCAAAGTGACAAAAGCTAACTGTCAAATGTATACTCTAACATTGGCCATAATTATTAAAAAAAATTAACTCACCTTATTAATAACTAGAAATGTGCCCACAGGATTATTACACCATTTTGTCAGTCTACTGACAGATAGTGTGACACACTGAAGGACAAACAAATCTATAGCCCCTGACCCCTAGGTTAAACATGAAGTTTTTCTAACCTTGATCACAGTCCAATTGTAGCACAATAGTGTTCTGTTTAAATTGGGAAACACTCAAAACTTTTCTCCTGACACATTGTTTAAAAGATGGAAACCACACAAGTTACAGGTAAATAAATTCATAACCTATCACCTCTTCTACCAGATTTTAGAAAATTTGTAATATGATAGTAACATGTTAAAAGAACTTACCAACAACTTTAGCACGAGCTGGAGTATTTTTATAATTGTCATTTAGCATGAAGATACTGTACGGTCTAGGTTCCGTCTCCTCAGGTGGTATATTATATTTCTCACATGTCTCTTTATCCGGTACCCACATATTAAACTCTGCCATCCAGTTTGCTAGAGTGTTAATCGGTACAATAACAATTACAGTTCTAGCTCCGGTGTGGCGTAGAAATATGTCTATAAATCCAATCATTTGAATAGTTTTACCAAGCCCCATACTGTGGGCGAGAATACAACCAAAGCCGGCACTAGTCTTAAATCTGTTCACACACTCCACTAAATTGTCATACAAGAATCTCACACCTCCAATCTGAAGAGAAAAGGGTAAATATACAAGAATGGTACACTTTCAGTCTGATGGACGGACAATGAACCACAACATAAGCCTCTGCAGTGTAGAGTAAACAAGACTTTTTTTACGTCATACCAACACTGTATAGGTTATATGGTGACTTTCCAGCCTTACTGGTGGAGAAAGACCTCAGTCACATGAGAAGAGCCAGAGACTTTCCGTAGGCTAGCTTTCTCACATAAAAGCCTCCGAAGATGTTTTGGCGGCTTGAATTTACAGCAGTGAGAGAAAGTTGTAAATAAGCCTTTAAAACCAATAGAACTGACTACAATGGTAAGTTCCTTCATCTGGCAATGGTTGCAAGGGAAAATAACTATTACTGCCATGTTTAGAGACTAATCACTGAAAAATTCCTGTAAAAATCTAAAGTCAAGTTATCATTACACTTATTTTACTTGGTTTTTCTTGGAAAGTTTTATTATGGAATCTGAAAAACCCTTTCTCTGCAATAACCGAATGTGATTAACCCTTGCACCCAGTATAGAGTCAGCAGGCACAAGCTTGCCATCATCCTGGTTCTCTTTACTGTTGGCTGACCAACTTTAAATTTTCATCTTGATATCCCCAAAATAGATTATGGACAGTTCCAAAAAACAGAAGCTGGACAAGTCCATTTAAGACATTTAGCAGGATATAGGGTAAAATATCTGTTAATATACCTGATGAGGTTTGATATGTTTGGCAACTAAATGTGATAGGTAGATATCGGGATCAGATGTCGGGTGTCCTACATTCACCAGTACTCTCCCCTTGTCGTCGGGTATATTATACACATCATTGATATGACTTCCGCTATTGTTGACGTCCTCGGCCTCAGCGTAATCTTCGTCGGACATATCTTCGTCTTCATCTTCTTCACTGTTCACCATAACAACATCTTCATCATCCTCCCCACTACTTATATCTATAACTCCCTCTACAATTGCACAAATGAATTTTTTATAAAAAACATCTATAGAAATTTAGAGTATAAAAATAGACTCATGCAGCGGAAAATGACTTTATTATTAGAGATACTCAGGAACTTGGCAAATGTATTTTTTCCTATATAAACAAAGGGTACACAAAAACTTTAAGTTACAACTTGGTCATTGTATAATATTAATTAGAAACACAACATGCTCTTTTTTTTTTAAACGAAGCTGTAACAGTCAAAGTTTGTTTGTAACCGTGGATTATAGAGGAAAAACTGACATTTGCCAAGTTGCAGGCAACATTTATTAGTATTGTTTACATTTTCTAATTTTGTTGATAATTTTTATCGAAATTTGTCTATTGTCTTCTAAATCTACAGTCAAACCTGAGTTATAAACCAGCTTCTAACACAATTATAACAATTAATGCCACACAGAAACTTGGGACAACTTTCAATTGTACTAGTAAAGGAAATTCTAACATTATTTCAGGCAAAGGTCAACACATGAGTACAAAAGCCTTCTCACAGCTAGCTGGGTTGCTTCACCGAATGAAAAAACTTCTAAATCTCTGATGAGAATCAAATCAAAATCTGTGAAAGGCGAGTGATTAAGTTTGTGATCCTAACATTTAGCTATGACAGTCTGATTTTCAATGTGCACAAATTATCTTTGTAGACTACTTTACATGTATGTATGCCAAATTTTGAAGAAATACATACCTTTCCTAACTTTTTGCTCTTTCTTTTCCTCTTTCTTTTCTTCTGTTGTTTCATCAGTCTCTTTCTCCGCCTCTTCTTCAGCAGCTGAAAACAAAATACCAACATACAATAATAATTATAATCTCAAAAGCTTTTGTTTGTTTGTTTCATTTTACGCCTTTTCTCAACAGTATTTCAGTCATACAGGCGAGTAGTTTCCTAACCATCGTTCCTGGAGAGTTACACCAGTACTAGACTACCTTCCTCCATGCTAAACTACCAAAGCATCTCCCGGGGATCGAACCCACGCCAGAGAGGTAACTGGATTAGAAGTCATCGACTCTAATCTTAAAAGCAGTGTTAGGGGGTAAACAATTATAGTAAACGGATTAGTCTTAATACATAACCTGCAGGAACCAAGGGTGAGATTAACGTTTGCTACCAAGTTTATAAAATGGACTTTTTCTAAATTGAAAATTTTGAAATGTCAATATTTAACTTCTATTTAAATTTCAATCAAAGATAAAACTATCTATCAAAGATTTTATGTAAAACGTGCATAACTCTAAAAATATTGCTTTCTGTACTATTACCCTTGTCTTGCAACTGCACCTTTTCAGAATAAACGAATAATCCAAGTTTCATATCGATAACTTGTAAAATCTTTGAAAAACGACAACAATTTCACAGATGCCACAGCGATCATAACAGCTCAACTTTTTCTTCAAAACAGACCTTTATTGCCCTTGACTTAGTAAAATTTGGTATCCTTTTAACAACCCAAGTATATATGAATCTTGTTTAGGCATATCAAAAATATCTTTTATAATGACATGGTGAAAATAACAAGTACCTTGAAGTAACGATTTAAGCTGACTATCTTTTTCTTTCTTTGGTTCTTTCTCTGGTGTAGTCTGAAGTAAACTTGCCAGTTGCTGTTTTTTTAGCTCCGAAAGTCGCCGCTGTCTCTCCAACTCAGCTGCCTGGGCATCCAGTGTCTCTTTCTCCAGCTTGTTCTCCGACAGAATCTTCCTGTAAAACAGTAAAAAGAATCATTAAAGGCCCATCAGGCCTAAGAAATGCTTTCATTTTCTTTCATTTGTCGGTATTTTTTTTTACAGTTTCCAAACAATACTCATTTGCTGCATAGATTAACTAACTTTTGCTTCTTTTGCTCTGTTTGCCATTGGTATAAGTAAAGTGAATTAGTATTTTGTATGGAAGTCAAAATACCGCTTTGATTACATTTTGCTACCTTATCGACACATCATTGCACATTCAACCTACTTTATTCAGTTGTTTAACTTCTAACATGCCCTAAAACATTTTTAAACATGTTTGTGATTTCTAAACAACTTAAACAATATGAATTCCAGACGCATAATATGCCCCTAAGATATCAAGAAGTTAAGAAAGAGCTTGCAAAATGTCCGATACTGGAAGTCACATTATATAGGTAAAGAAGGAAAAGCATTATATTTTTGGAAGTCACAAGCCAAAATCAGGAGTAAATGACTTCCAAACTTCAACTAATGGAAGCCCCGCTCCACTACATTACTTACATGCTTGACCATCTTAAAATCTAGACTGGCAAAACTATTCATCACTTTTTAGGGAAAATTTCAAAATCTGTACTGACAGAATAGGAAACACTACAGTACAGACCATGGTCTGACCAGCATGGAAGTGCCTGCTAATCTTGGCCTGCAATGGTTGCATGGTGAGAAACAGTTGGTTAAAACATATTTATTTAAGCTCGATTGTGAAACAAGTTCTTGCAACTTATATCAATCACTTTCGAGTCCACTTCCTTGAACCAATCAGTACTGTTTTCATATGAAGAAATATAGTCGTGACCTGATTAGCGCTCAAAGCCAGCAAGCTAAGGGTTTAGGATATTCTAGAATCAGCAATGGCCAATGAGGTTATTTTCTTTCCTCTTTAAAAATCTTTGTTCTATGACAAATTGAGCAGATCAAAAGATATTTGAAATTTCCAGTCTAACTGATTAACAAGCATGGATGGCTTTGGTCTGGAAAAAAATCATGGAAGTTCATTATCGGCAGATTCTACAACAACAGTACCTGATGTTTTTTCTTGCCCCTTTATCTGCCTTCTTTTTCTCGCCATCTTCATCATTGCCTTCTCCCTTCTTCTTTCTTTTCCTCTTTGGTTTATTTCCAGGTTCAGCACCTTCTCCCTTCTTCTTTCTTTTCCTTTTCCTTTTCTCCGGCTTCTCTGTACTGTCAGCTAAAAGAACACAGGCAAATATTAGTCTAGATAAGGCAGTTGAAAGACGGCAAATATTTTTTTTAAAGTGACATGTTTAAAAGTAATGTACGGTAAATAAAAACTTCCACATCGTTTTTTTTTTTAAAAATTAAAAAAAAAGTCCAAGTCCATAAATAGATTAAATAATTAATTTATATTTGAACAGTCCATTGCAATCATCCTATGTGGCCAACTGCTCATGTTAACTGTTAGAAAAACAAAATATGCCTGTACAACTAACGAGAACTATAACCACAAATCACATTTTTCATGCTTTTTTGCTGAATCTCAAATAAATAAATTCAAAACACTACTTGCACTGCAGTCGCTTTTACTGAGAATCGTTTTCTGCTATTTATAAACTGATTGTCATTCTGTCATTTGTAGGTCAATGTTCATATACAAATATCTTAGTTTCTAAGTCTAATTTTCAGATACAAGCTTTATTTTACTCTAAATGAAACTTACCTATGGATCATATATCGAGTGGATTTTTAGAAATTTGGCCTTTAAAGCCTTATTCAATATCAATTAGAGTGCAATAAAAATAACCTGACGTTCTCTTCTCTTTTATTACAGAATAATACTTAATACTTTTATTACTGTTTTATAGAATGATTTTGTATTCTTCAAAATTAAAACCGATTATGCTAAATCATAAAAAGAATCAATAAAACATTTCATAATTTGGACATTTTTTATTATCTGTCCCCTACCTGTTTCAGATGCCTGTCCACTGGTTCCCGGCATTTCATCAACGGGTGCTGGTTCCTGGGTGTCAATACTTTCTGCATTTTCTTCTCCAAGACCAAGTTCTTGAAAGAAAGTTAAAGGAATGAATTACTTTATAGGGATAATCCAGGATATGATTGATCTCAGAACCTTTATATCTTATTCATAAAATCTTTGTTCAATAAAAAGAAGATACATGATTTAAGAATGTGAAGAAAAAGATGCATATCTAGGTAAAGTATGACTTCAAGTTGCAAAATCAAATAGTTTATAAAGCTTCAACTGTCATACTGACTTGGTAGTGAAATGCACACAAGCATAATCATTACCTTTACCAAATCATACCAATAAGCAAATAATTTTTATAATTTTTACTTAAAGGACAATTGAGGCCCAAAAATGCTATAATTTTTATTCCTCAATATTTTCATTTTGGCCCTATATAAGTCCTGGAAAAAAAACAACACTTATTGCCCATCTTTTGTTTTTGGCAATTATTACAATTGGTGATTTTGAATTTTGTATGGAAGTCAAAACACCACTATATTTCTGTTTTTAATACCTTTAAGACCAATCATTTCACATTATCACTACTTACTCATGTGTATTGTACTTCTGATGATACCCATCTAAAATGCTTTAATTCAATTATTACATGTAAAACATTATTAAACACATGCTTACCCCTTCTACAGAAAGAAACTGTCTTCCGTTCTGAGGCAATATAAGCCTTTAATACAGAAATATAGTGTTAAGTTAACAATAACATGCATTACCACTATCAAAATCGAGGGAGTTCAAAGCGTCATTAACATCCTCATCTTCACTTTCCTCCTCGGAGTCTTCGGCCTCGCCCTCGCTTTCACCCTCCTCCTCCTCTTCCTCCTCATAATCAGCATCACCTTCATCTCCCTCGAGGCCAGCATTGTCTAAAATATTATATGATACCGAGTTTGTTTTCTTATCTTATAAAAGTAATACTGTATTAATTCTGATACAACTTTGAAATTTTAATTGTTATAAAAGAATAAAAGTTCTATACAAACTATTTTTTTTGTTTTGGGGGCTTTTTTTTGGTTGGATTTAAAGTCAGATGGACACCATGAAAGTCAAATGGTGACTTTCCAGCATTACTGGACTTTGGTGGAGAAAGACCTTATGTGTCACTTTCTTCTTTATTTCAGGCAGTACATGCCGGCACCCTAAGTAGAACAACCAATCTTCCTTAAGTTAACAGAATAGCATGCTCAATTGACAAAATCATAAAGAATCATCAAATTAGTAAATTTAAGCCTTCAGAATTGCCCTCTAAGTTCAATTGATTTTGCATTGTCAAAGATATCCCAAGCTTTTCAATAAAAAAACAAGAGCCATGTGAACATGGCCATCCCCCGCCGAATGTGTTTGCTCATTGGAAGAATGTATATGTAGTAGAGCAGAATAATTCCATTTTAAGAGGTCTTTTGGTAATGAAAACTGATGGCTATAGTGATTACAGATTTGAAACCTATGTGAATACTGATGGCTGAAAATAACAAAGGGCAATTACTGAAAAATAATGCAGGGTAGGTTATCATTCTTGTGTGCTGCATCCCTCCTCAGTAAAATCTATCCACCTATGAAGTTTCAAGTTGATACCTCAAATACTTTTTGAGAAAAAAATTGAATTGAAAAATTAAGTATGAAAAATAACAAAGGGCAATAACTCAAAAATTATAAAAGGTAGAGTTATCATTCTTGTGCAGTGCACACCTCCTGAGTGAGATCTATGCACCTATGAAGTTCCATTTTGATATCTCAAAGGCTTTTTGAGTTATGCTCTGGACAAAAATTAATTTTGAAAAATAACAAAGGGCAATAACTCAAAAATAATGCAGGGTAGAGTTATCATTCTTAAGCACTGCACTCCTCCTCAATGAGATCCATCCACCTTTGAAGTTTCAAGTTGATACCTCAAATACTTTTTGAGATAAGCTCTGGACAAAATAGCATGAAAAAAAAGCAAAGGGCAATAATTCAAAAATTGTATAGGGAAGAGTTATCATTCTTGCGCACAACATTCCTCCTCAATAACATCTATCCACCTATGACATTTCATGTTGATATCTCAAACACTTTTTGAGTTATGCTCCACTCAGTTGAAAAATTAGGTATGAAAAATAACAAAGGGCAATAACTCAAAAATTATAAAAGGTAGAGTTATCATTCTTGTGCACTGCACACCTCCTAAGTGAGATCTATGCACCTATGAAGTTTCATGTTAATATCTCATAGGCTTTTGGAGTTATGCTCTGGACAAAAATCAATTTTGTAAAAATAACAAAGGGCAATAACTCAAAAATCATGCAAGGTAGAGTTATCATTCTTGTGCACTGCACTCCTCCTCAATAAGGTCTATCCACCTATGAAGTTTCAAGTTGATAACTCAAATACTTTTAGAGATATGCTCCGGACAAAAATGTCGGACGGAAGGACGGAAGGTCGGACGGACGGAGACTATTTCTATATCCTCCGCCGAAAATTTTCGGCGGGGGATAATTATGTCAAAATGAAACATATGCTCTGCAATATTTATGGATATACATGTATATATGAAAATATAGAAAAGTGAAAAAAATGTAATTATTTTCTACTTTTAATGCAAAAACAAATGTATACCTTGCACTTCATTTGATTCTTGCTGATCATACTGATCGTAGTATTCCCCCTCAGGAGGATAATAGCCTTCTGCACCTTCACTTGGTCCTGCTTTACCTTCCTTTGCATAGCTTCCATCACCTTCATAACCCTGGCTCGGATCACCTTCAAAGTAGCCTTGACCTTCATAGCCTTGACCTTCATAACCTTGTCCTTCTTCATAACCTTGTTCGTCATTGTATTCTTGACCTTCACTATAGTCTTGACCTTCACTATAACCTTGACCATCACTATAACCTTGACCTTGATAACCTTTACCATATACTTGACCTTCACTGTAACCTTGGTTACCTTTATAACCATAAGCTTCATTGTATCCTTCAGCTTTATAAGCTTGACCTCCGTAATTCTCATCAGTATAGTTTGTGTCATTTTGATCTACAGATTCATCGTAATTGTCCATTGGATAATCATTCATGTTGTATTCATCTTCATGTCCAACATCACCTTTTTGAAAATCATCACCACTTGCTCCTTTTTGAACATCATGTGTATAACTTGCATCTACACTGGGTTTGGAAACAGACCTTTGATTTGTGTTTGCTGTAGGCTGTCCTGTGTCGCCACCAGCTTGCAAATCTTTACCAGGGTTGTCAGACACTTCAGCATCATCATAACCATCATCCATTGGAAAATCTTCGTCTTCAGGAAAGTTCTCCATACCAAAATCATTTGCTTCAAATGAAGCCTCCTGACCCTGGCTAAATGATGGAGCAACGATGCTAGTTTCTGTCTCCATCTTTGTCCTGCAAAATATAATTTAATTTGTGTGATTAGTGACAGTCAAAAGTGCATCAGTGGTCACCTTTATATAACTGTTTAAACATGACCCTATCTGTGACCGAGCTCCGATTGAAAGAAATTCTTATATATACATGAAAACATTGTTAATAACATGACCCAGTTTAACACAATCAGCAGCCACCAAATATAACACCAATAGAGATTACATATAATACCTTTTAATGGTCAGCAGAAGAAAAATGTATGATAACTATTTCAAAGTACAATACAGTACATTAATTAGCTGAATCTAGCTGGAAACACCAAACAGCTGATAATTTCAGATTGACAATCATTTACATGTTTTATAATACATGAATGACAATAGATTTTAGGAATTGTTTGTGTGCATTTATTAATATTGTTATGTAAGAAATAGATTGTGTTCTTATGACGAGATTTTTTATTACTTGAGTGAGATATAATTGTGGTACCTTATCAGGTGCTTAACAATCTTAGGCTATTTGAGCACTATACAACCCAAGTAAGTTTAAATCGTTAAAATATTTTTTGAAAATAAAGATATATTTGGTACTTCAAGTGAAACTTTTATTATTAATTAACTTCTCTTTATTTCTTGTTTACTTGTTAGAATTGAAATGATATCCATCTGATTGGTGTTTATCGGCTATTCAACGCCGGTTTGATGTTTTGATCCAATAAAAAATAACCAAGGCATTATGAAGGCATGTATATGACCATCTTGGTCAATTCCTACACATCAAAACTACAAACCAGTGTCAAACTACTATTGCTAGTCTATTTCATTGGTCTTTGTTGGGATGGTTTAGCCATGTGAGGAATTCATGCACCAAATCCAAATTTAAACTTGATTCTTTTGTTAGGTTTCATTTGCCATTAATTTTTATGACCTGTGATCCTCATAAAATATTAAAGATAAACCATATATAAAACAGCTTATAAGTTGTCATTTACATTTATATCCATCATTTAGTTATTAAAATATCTCTCACAGTTAAATATTCTAACAGTAACCCTGACCTCGTAAATTAACATGACAAACAAATCATCATGTCATGCATCTAGGCATGCTTAGAAAAAATTACAGACATGATTGAAGTAAAGTGTATTTCACCAAATGAAACAGACAGGGTTCTCCCTGCCGCGCGCCAATGCCGCCACATGGGACAATAAATTATGGCGCATAAAATCATTATTGGCGAATTTTACTGGCGCCAACATATATAAAAATATCCAACAACTAGTACACTTAAAAGTCATAAGTGGCCGCATAAATTACATAAGCGGCCCATATGTGAAAGGTCACATGCGATTAGTTTGTTTATCATCAAACTGTGTGACACTTCGGGAACATGTCGAGATGAAAGTGTCAATGTGTTAATTGGAACAATTTACGTCTTTACTCCTCCGACTTAGAGCACTGTTAATCACATGTGTAGAAATCAAAGACTGTTCGGGATGTTGACAAAAATAAACTTTAGGTTAGTCGACTCGTCAACTAACTAAAAATAATCACAATTTGAAATATTAAATCGGGTGCCAATTAAAATGATAATTACACTAACGATTGAATTAAAGGCACTGTTTACAACATTAATAACAAGCAATTATCATAGTATTGCAAGCAATCCATAAGTCCCCTACCGGTAAGAGCCCAAGCAACATTCTGAAGGGCCATTGGCCATTCACTTATGTTTCTATTTTAAGTGATCACAGTGAACAGTTTTTATGTACAGACAGACAGACAGACTGAAGGACACTCTAAAGTTATTTTTTAAACATCCCTGTTATCAAAATATAACATTTTTAAAGCAAAATTTTTAAAAAAGGAGATAACGATGTCATACATGATGTGAGTGTAACAAAGAACAATTAGTAATGAAGGTATGAATATTGAATGTTTATTTTGAATTTGAAGTAAATGAAAGTTAAAAGAACGAATAGGAAAAATAAAAAGTTTAAGGAGGAGATAATTCTGGAAATATGGATGCTAGATTTATAAACCTTGTCATATTATTGTCATATTATTATGATGTGGGAGTTTGAAGAAAATCCTATCATAATTGAAGAAAATTACCAATTTCTCAAAAAAAAGTCAAGTTCAAAAGGGGCATAATTCTGGAAATAGTCTTGCTAGAGTATTGAACTTTTTCACAAATGTTGAGTGATAATAAGAAACATTTATATGAAGTTTGAAGTAGATACGTTCAGAAAAAAAGAAGTTATTAAAAAAAAACAAAGTTTTTTTCATGAAAATTTTAAGTTCCAGGGAGGTAATTCTGATAAATTTTGTGCTAGAGTTGTAAACTTTGTCACATATGATGTGGTTGATGACTAGCAACTTATATTTAAAGTTTGAAGAAAATACCTTAAGAAATAAAGAACTTATAGTGAAAAAACTGAAAAACTAGAATCAGAAATCTTGAAATTCAGTCTATTTGTTGCCATAGCAACCAGAATTTTCAATACAGGAAGATAAGAAAAGAATGTGCATAATTTCCATACTGCCATCTACCAATATGTCAAGTTTCATAAAAATATTTTCAGTAATTTTTGCGTTATCACTGGATCCAGGTTATGTGTAAAATTTGCCATATTTTCAGTCTATTTGTTGCCATAGCAACCAGAATTTTCAGCATAGGAAAAAAAGAAAAAGACGTGCATAATCTCCATACTGCCATCTATCCATATATCAAGTTTCATAAAAATATTTTCAGTACTTTTTGCGGTATCGCGGGATCCAGGTTATGTGTAAAATTTGCTATATTTTCAGTCTATTTGTTGCCATAGCAACCATTATTTTCAACATAGGAAGAAAAGAAAAAGACGTGCATAATCTCCATACTGCCATCTATCCATATATCAAGTTTCATTAAAATATTTTCAGTACTTTTTGCGTTATCGCGGGATCCAGTTTTGTGGACGGACGGACTGACGGACGGACGGACAGACAGACAGACGGACGGAGGGTAAACCTAAAGTCCCCTCCGGTAAACCGGTAGGGGACTAATAATGTTTTATATCTGAACGTAAAGTGGTAAAGAGTCTTATCACGGATTTATATTACAGGGATCGGACACTCCCAGTTAACCCTATATAAATGCTTAAATATCTTGTCGTGCACCCGATAAAGGTACATCGATCGATAATTTACCGGCGCGAAGCGTAAATGCCCGTTCGCAACGGATACCTACTTTACAAAATACCATATAGCTTTTTCATTTATTATCCGATTTTGGAAATTTAAAGTTTATTTTAAAGAAAAATACTTGGTTAATTCAAATATCTAATTTATTTTTTAAAGGTACAGTTTATCTGTCCGCAACGACGGTTAAAAAATTAACTTGACGAAATCCGCGGTAAATTTACATTTTTTTATATAAAAAGCAGGTATTTGAAATTTATTATTACGGTACCATAATACTTTCAGTTTCAAAACAAAAAAGAAGCCGATGTAAGTTATTCACAGATGATCAAAGATGCAATATTTAAGATTTGTTGGGTTATGTAGTCAAATTTATTAACGCACAATTGTTTTACGGGTAATGTATTGCAGGCCTTTACACGTGAAGAAAATTTATTCATTTTTTAGTACAAAATATTGCCGAGATTGTCAATATTGCCATATTCATAGAATATTTAAATTTCATTCATCATTTGTATCATTATTATTTTTTGTAAATCTGTTTTCAAATGTCGGTGCAGTGAAGTAGACAATCATCGTAACAGTAAAGTTCTCTCGTGTGGCTGTCTCGATTCCGGCCTTTTTAATGTCACTCGTATATTTTAATCCGTATATTTTAATTATTCTTTTTATTTGAATGCCTGTAGAAAGATATTTATTATACTTTTTAATGTAACGCTAGAAAAACAATAAAAATCTTTACAGTTTTAGTCAGTATTTTGCGAAATAAAAGTAACTGTTGATTATTTTTTACACATCGCTTAAATTTCTTTCAAGTTTAATTACTTTTGAAGGGGGGGTAAGTGATAATTAAAAAACTTTATTTCCAAACTTTCATTACCAGGTTACATGTGATAATTGCAACACTCAATCTTAAAAAACAAATCTAATTTGAATGTATATTTTGTATATGCACGGTCTTTAACTACAGTTCATGGCATATGTGGTAAGAAAATGATTTTGAAGAGGATATATATAAATACAATGTAAATCTATTTTCTTTATTAACATTTATAAATGAAATTGAAAATATACAACTAAATTTGTATAGTCCTTTCTCTGAAAAATGTTGAAAATAAACATGTGATAAATAAATCATTTGACGTGAATTGTTTAGGATATCTATGAAAAAATTATGTTTCAAAATAAAAAATAATATTATAAAACAGCTGTTCTCTATGCCAATAAAAGTTTCTTCCTTGCCAATCTAATGAATTCATCTATATAGGAATGCTTGTCTAGAATGATCTGAAAATATATTTAATACACTTAATAGTAGAATATTTACTATATTTATACTAATATACAGGTAATCAAATAAAAAATGTACAAATCATTTGGAAATAATTCACAGAAATAAAGACACATTTCAAACATGAATTTCTTTAAAAGTTTTTTAGCAATCAAGAAACGTTTTTTTGCAATGCCATCATTAAACAATGTAAAAAATAATTATCTTATTCTGAATCGCGGTAATAATTCGTGCTTGAAGTTAAAGGACGGCGAAGTGTAGAGAGTATGCCTAAACAATAGGCGAATATTTTTTAAATTAGGTACTTTTTAACTAAGCGTTGCAGCGTTCTATCAGCATATTTTCATATAATAATACTTTAGCGACACAAAATGATACTGTATCAATGCATTCATATGTGTATAATTTTTCACAAAGCTGCAATAACACCACATACTCCGGTGAAAATCTGTCATATTTCGTACTCCGCAAGTACCGCCATCTCGTTCTGTCCACCTTTATCCGATTCCGAGCATGCGCGTGACGGGACTTTAAGCTAAACAAAAGTGTCCGATCCTTGTAATATAAATCCGTGGTCTTATAAATCACAAAACCTTTTAAAATAAACAATATTTTTCAATGTTAAAAAGTACTACTTGGTATCTATTTCAATATTTTTCATTGATTTTTAGATGAATTTAATTTATAATAATTTTTTTCTTTTTTATTTTGCATATTGTAGATTACCAGAATGCAGTGGAAGATGAAAATATCTTGGCTTAGACAAGTCAGTAAGAGTGAATAAGAAATAAGATGAACTGCTTTTAGGCAAAACCAGACCTCCTAACATCATTACTGACTTAAAATGATGTTTTTGATTACATTTATGTTGTCACATGTATTTATTTAAATGGAATTTGAAATCCACATACATTTGTATGTATATGTCTATTTCACATAATAAACAGCTGTAATAAAATAAAATATTATAAATATGGGTTTGTAATCACATTGATATATAACTGCTAGCATATCTCAACTAAGATAAGCATGTCTTTCTTGCAGAATTATTGGCTCCAACTTTGGAGCCATTGGCTCCAATTTCTTCTGATTGGCGAATTTGGTGCCGCAAACTAAAATTTACCCAGAGGGAACCCTGACAGAAATAAATTCTTTGTCTTACATCCAGTAAAATCTTCTGCATATCATATGATGTGCAACTCTTAAACAAGGAATTATTCTTTTTTAAGTCAGCTTTGCTTTTAACATTTATCTCAGTCTTGTAGTTGTAGTCATCTCTTTTAACTTGCTTTCATCTCGTAAATTTGCACTTAACACATTTGTTTTTGAAGCTGGTGAAGTAGTGGTGAGTTTGCCAAAAGAAGAGGGGCTGAAAAAGGAGAATGTCAGACATTTCACTCCCAAGACGTTTCACTATTGAGACGTTTCACTCCCAAGACGGTTCACACCTAGACGTTTCACTCCCATTTTGTCAATTGTATGGACGTTTCACTCCCAATTTTTAGATATGTTTACTAGGAAAGTTAACAAATTTTAATTTCATTAATATCAAACAGTGTAAAAAGGAAATTCAATTTAATGTTTCATTTTGTTGATTTCAATTGTATAGTAAATGAATTATTAGAAGATTACTTAATTAATTATGGGTTGATAGTGATAAGAGGTGTAAATGAAAGACAAATTTCTGAAATATCCTTTTTATTATTTATAAGTGTAACAACATGAGAAAATAGATTCATTGAATTTAAAGTAAATTAAAAAAAAAAATAGAATAACATAGAAAGAACAACAAAGATAATATTATAAGTATCAGTTTAAATATTGAAATCACTTCCAGTAAAGTAATTAATATTATTCAAATAATAAAAAGTATCAATATATTAAATATGCTTATTTTTTGTAAGTCTTAAACAATGAAATGGGAAACATGTGTATAAAATAAATTATTTTCTTCATCAATTTATTAAACAGTAGCCATTAAACAAACTAAAGTAATTGTGGTGTTATCTCATCGCCTAATTAGTTGTATAAACACTGAGACAATCAACTAACAGTTTGACACCACTATTAAATCAGTTGTATAAACACTGCACTTAAGCATCAACAGTTTACTAGTTAGTCAGTTGGTTATTGGACCATTAAAATATTTTTTGACAACAGCCAATTTAAACACAAAAACTTCTCCATAATAATGAATTTTAGTAAAAAAAATGATTATACATGACAAATATTGAAAAAGTCCCAATGCTTCTAATTTCTTATTTCAATGGTCATTAAAATTTTTGACATATATCACAAAAGCACTATACTAGCATTAAATAATTTAACATTTTTTTTATCCCATGTTTAAAATTAACAACAAAAAACACGTTACTCAAAGTTAATTGTTGTCACAGGATTGTTATGCTTTAAATTAAAGTTGCCTATTGAGTCCATGTTTACTGATAGAACTAAAAGTACTGAGTTTTTAGTCATTGACAAAAAAGTGAAATCCCACTTTTTAATTTATTTTAATTAATTTAAGGTCTATTTTAGTTCAGTTTAATATTTAAGGTCTATTTTAGTTCAGTTTAATATTTAAGGTCTGTTTTAGTATATCATAAACTTAACTTGTATCAAAATAATTTTGGCATAAAAAGGGAGTGAACCGTCTTCAAGACGTTTCACTCCCATTTGGGAGTGAAACGTCTTGGTGTGAACCGTCTTGGTGTGAACAGTCTCAATAGTGAAACGTCTGTCTACCGAAAAAGGGCTGAGCCCTTCCATCAGAGCCCCAAATCATCCTATAGGTATAATGTAAATGTATAATGTAGATCGATGTAGATGAAAATTAAATAAGAGTAACACTAGCATTAGAATGATTAGTGCTGTAGTATATCAATACTACTTTTTCAGTACAAAAATGTCAGGATTGTGTATCTTTGACTCTTAAGAAAGAGATCGGAAGTATCTCGATTTCAAGTTATAACAATAGCATATCAAAACATACTCATTTATTATTAATATTTATAATCTTAGAGAAACACAAAGCATTACACAGAAATAATTTTCTTTTACCTTTACGTTGACGAAACAAACATTCAATTTTATGAGGTTTTCAGATTTTAATGACCCGCCGTTTTCTAAAATTACTTTATGTTAATCATGAGATTTAAATAAAAGTAAAATATTCTATATAAATACCTCGTTATATACAAAAGTAACCGCTAATTAATTAATTCATTATTTCACTTTCGGTCATTTAACAAAGCGAGCCGCTTATAACGTGCATATTTTTTTACTGATATCATATGGTTTATTTTAATGTATAATATTACAGTTTTACATTTAAATGTTAATCTGCCGTATTCCTCAGAAAATTAGGACTTAACCTTGTATATTTTTTTTTAATTATTAACAATTTATGAGCTGAGCGGCTAATATATAGTAGTGGATAGTTATATATAACAATAGGCATTAGGCAACTAATAATTTTGACATTGCCCATACGTGCGGTGAATGTGGCCATCGAAATGACAATAGGCAGTTACTTGTGAAAATTAAAATATGTGTTATATTTAATAATGTCTGAAGAATATAATAAGTGCATATACTGTTACCATATTAATATAATGTTAGATGCTACTATAATGCAATGTACAAAAAACTAGATATTTAATACTCGAAATATGCCATTAGTTATTTATGATCTTAATGCTGTGATTTTGCTTGTCCAAGTTATATCTTTAGCCGTGTAAATTGTATTTGATAAAATGCAAATTAAATTGTTTAAAATGTGCATTATTCTGTGACATAACAATATAGTAATAATAAACACAAATCGTTCTGACTACTGATTAGAAATGGGAGTACCCGGCTCAATTACACTGCTTACAGCAAAGTTCTGCCATTCTGCATGTGGCATCTGGCATTTAGCAACCAGCAAATGACATACTTGGCAAGTGGCATTCATTTTAACGAGTACATAGAGTCTAAGACCCTTTACAAAAAGCCATTCTGCTGTGCTTGCAAATAAAACAAAAACATACCAACCACTGCATTTGCATTGATTGCACTGTTTCCTCAATATAAGTTTGATATAGAAGAAGTCGGGTTTTAAACTATTTTTTCAATAGTTCTTATCAATATAGGACATATATTTTTAATTCGCCTAATTAATATGGTTACTTTACCTTTGAACTCTTATTAATAAAACTATATTTCTATAGATCTCTGGTGCAATGTTCAAATTTCTACAAATGAAACATTACACACTTTATTTTTTGTAAAAAATAAAATATGGTCCGTCTTAAGTAGCCCCTTTTTGGCATTTTCAAGCCGTACAATGTCATGAGATATAAATATACTCGTCGTCATTTATAATAAATACTTATATATACTGCATGTACTGATATTATATTGGAAGTTACATTGTATTTTGAAATCTTAATATATCGATGCTTAATACATAGTATTCGCATGTAACTTTATCTGCACCATTGTCATGTTTTCTTGCGTACAAATTAAGGCACACTAAATCAAGGCTTACAAACGCTGGCAAAGAGGTGACATATGTGAGTGCGTGCGTCCGTGCGTGTTTTCTTTATCTCGTGCGCACGAGATACTATGTACGTCGTGCGCACGAGTTACTAAGTCGTGCACACAATATGATTAAGTGGTCTGCACGAGATACTATGTCGTGCGAACGATATAATCAAATGGTGCACACGAGATACTAAGTCGTGTGCGCAAGTTACGTCAAATATTTTCTGGCGCTTTGCATTTTTTATTTAATTCAACAGAAAAAATTTCAAGACCTATCCCGTTTTAGGTATAATAGTGACAAACTTTTGTCATGAACATGTACATATCTTATCGACAATTACATTCTTGCTATATATATGTAATTTAATGAGTAAGATGTTATACTCATGAAAAATGAAAAAAATGAATCACGTAGCACCCTAAAAGAAAGGTAGAAAAACATTCATAAATTCATAAAGTCATAAATAGACTATGTACTATCCTATTCTATTGAAAATGAATTCCATTCCGTGCACACCCGTCCTAAACGTTACCATCTTTAGACCACAGTCTTGCCGATGCTCTACTCTTAGAAAATGGAATCCTTAATGCCATCAAGAAATGAAAGAGAATTTAATAATTTTTCGAAATATTTATATTTTCATTAAAAGGACGAAACTCTGATTAACATAAACATATATCTACATGAAGACACATATATTGTGTCAAAAATGAGCCGTGACATGACAAAGCCAACATAATGGGTTTGCGACCAGCACGGATCCAGACCAGCCTGCGCTTCCGCGCAGTCTGATCAGGATCCTTGCTGTTCGCTTACCAACTCTATTACAAGTGGAGAAACTGATCTGGATCCATGCTGGTTGCAAACGCACTATGTTGGTTTTTGTCGTGACGTGGCTCAAATATTTTGTATGATTGTGTTATGAACGAGTTATTGCAAAAGTGTCTTAATTTTAGTAGGGAACTAAATATATTTGTTTCTACGGTTTTATCTGTACATAATTCAAAATAAATTGACGTGCCAAAGCTAGGTTCTCTCTGTCAGAATTCTCTCGCTTTCGAAGAGGGGAGATATTGCCTATACATAAAATAGCGCAATATCACATCGCGAAGTACAATTGCTTGGGCGAGTATATTTGGACAGGAATAAGATGGGATAACTCTCATACGGGTTAAAATCTGAAGTTTAAAAAGAAAATGAACAACAATTTGAGCTAAGCTAAATTTACTTGGCCGAGACGTTCATAAGGTGTACCGTCTCTTGAAGTAAAAATTTAAATATAAATATTTTAATTTTTAAAAAATACCCTTTTAAAGCCATGTCAGGAACAATATAATTATGTTATTTGTAGTTTAAAGCTAAACCATTCACTTGTAACGTTGACAATCAATTAGCGGCATACATTAAAGACAACAGTTGTTTTTATTTTTCGTAGGTGTTACTAACAAAACGTGTTAATTTCATCATGGTGATTAACTAATTAAAGTTTTTATCTACTTATTATCACGTGTAATTATTAACTGAAAACTGTGACCCATGCCGACTGTGTGTGTACATGTATGTATATATGGGGTTATGTTTTCTGAATCCACGTCATATTAAGTAATAACTAGAACCATATGTCAACAAGTATGAGAATCGCACTATTTGGAGACGGCTGTATCGCAAGATTAGCACAGTTCTGTAGCGAGGACTTAAAGCTTTGTTATCAGAATTATTTATTTCAACAAGTTTCAAGTTTATTTGCAACACCAGCAAATATAATTGCCTTTGGTCAATTACAAATTAATACGCGAAGTATGGCAAAGGCATACAATAAATATTGATACAAATATCGGCATATTTTGACATATGTTTAACGGTGCACTTCAGCAATTCATCAGTATCAAATTTAATTTATAAAACCTCTCATTCTGCAAAAAAGTGTATTATTATCATTATTTCATAATAGATCAATTCTTATTTCGTTATAATATCATTATAATATCGTCTCTTTATACTTTCAGATTCCTGGGGAAGTTAGATTTTTCGGAACAGAAGAAATGACAGCTTCACATTATGACACAGGCCTACTCAACGAATTATTAGCCTTTGAACATAACGTGGTTTTATTGAGCATCGGAGGGAACGATTTAAATAGTACTTCAAAGCCATCGTCAGTGTACCAAAAATAGCATCTCTTCGAGAATTCCTTAAAGAAAACGGCGTATCGACCGTATATGTTGTGAAAATATGTGAAAGAGGACTCTTTGAAACAGACAGTGAGATGACCAAGCGTTCGTTCAACGCCCAAAGAAGAAAAATTAATACGCTGCTTGACAAAAATAAGGAACTTTGTACTGTTGACTTAAACATGAAGTTTCCAAGAGACTACGATGAGGACAAAGTCCACTTCAGTCAGTCACGTGGTCTACAGAAATGTTTTTTTAACATAAGAAGAGTATTCTTTCAGCATAAATTTGTGTGATGTATTCTTTCAGCATAAATCTGTGTATGCTAAATTCTTTCAGGATAAATTTGTTATACACTCTTTCACCATGAATTTGTGTATGCTGTATTCTTTCACCATAAATCTGTGTATGCTAAATTCTTTAGGATAAATTTGTTATACACTCTTTCACCATGAATTTGTGTGATACAATCTTTCAGCATAAATTTTGGTAATACAATATTTCTGCATAAATTTGTGAGCTACATTCTTTCATAGCATCTGTGTGCTACATTATTTCAGCATAAATTTGTGTGCTATATTCCCTCAGTATAAATTTGTTTGCTATAATCTTTCAGCATAAATCTATTAGTGTCATTGTACTTACTGGTTATCAAATAAAATGAAAAAGTATACATTATAAGTTCTATCATTTATTAATATTCCACGTTGAAAAATGGTCGCACATTTACATTTCATACCCGTCCTTAGTTCTCGAATCAGACTCGACCAGTTCTTTTATTAATGAAGGAAAGAAGAAAGCAAATGCAATGGTTCGAGACTTTATTGGAGTAAAAAAAATATAAATAAATGAAATCTTCACAATTGAAGCATTGTATACCACGTCGTTATTCTAGCCACTATGCGATCTGAAAAAGACACAGAATTCACAATTATAACCGTTGCCTTTAGACCAAATGGATTTCAGACAGTGTCAGACAAAGATACAGTTTACTTATATTGCCAAATGATATACATTTAATTGCAAGTGATAATAATACAAGCAAAGTTTTATAAATCTTACCATTTTATAAATCTTACCAACAAAACTTTGCAATAGGTGTCAAATTTGCACATTAATTATATCTATAATGTCAACTACACGAAAACAAGAGTAACAAGTAAAAACCTCGGAACTACTTATAGAAAATAAATGTTTACAAAGTCAAACCTATCATGAAAACCACATCTGTATAAACACCAGGTTTAGTAAACTTTCCAATAAATGACAGAATTTCGGTTTATCGTTATAAAGTATATATTACATAGTACAATTTTGTTAAAAAAGACTTTTGAGATAGGTTTGATAGTACCATTGTTATTTCTAAGTCAATTTTGTGTTTTCCAAGAATAATAATAGTATTTTTGTACGTTTACAAATTGTTCGAATGCATAGCATTTTTATCACCTTCGAAAGTGCGTGATGTAGTATACACATACACGTATATAGACTTTACCTATCTTTGTACGGTAACTTGTGTTTATGACCAAGACTGTGGTGTGTATCATGTAAGTCGTGTCGTGAAAGATGCATGCCGTGGCTGGGCAATATTGTATAGGCAGCCTCCATTCCCTCCATTGCATGGGGTGCCACGTGACAGTGAAATAGCCAGGTGCCCGGATTATGTCCCGTCATTTCAACAGTTTCATACGTCCCTGCAAACACCTCCAATACGTCGCGTTTCAAGCTCAAAGATGTTCTTCGCAAGTACAGTTGACCGTGATAGTGCACCGTGTGTATGTCCTGGTCCGTACCCAGTCCAAATACATACCACACAGACCGCTCCCCTTCTCCAAATACAAGCCCCTTGAGGTTTCCATATATGTATCCATTTATAGAAAAATATCGATTACTTGCAACCCAGTCAGGATTTTTACGTGTTTCTTGGCTTACTGAATGAAAATTTTGTTCCCTATAATTACTTTTAGTTTCATCAAATATGATATATCCCGTTGCAAATTCCACATCGACAGTGTCTTTTCTCCGGCCTAAAAAGTCAAGAACGCCAGGTTTGCATACCACAAAAGGACCAACCAATCCGCTGAACGTGTCGTTTAAGGGCGTTACCCTAGAAACGTAGAGAGAACCGACACAATTAGGCTGATTCGGAGTAGGACCTGACCTTTCCGGAATGTAATATGTGTATTTACGAATTTCTCCCGGCAAGGTCGCTGGAGCATTTGTAATCGGGGATCCGTCACTAAATATCACATTTCTTGGAACAAGGTTATACGGGTAAGATGCAAAGTTCTTTAAAACAATTTTTTATGGTATCCCCTCATACCCAAAAGAATAAATGGGCCCCAAAAACCCCAGGGTTTTCTTCTTTTATGAGTTCCTTTTTTCCCTTTAAGGTGGGAAAAAGTGTGACTGTAAAACCCCAAAATTTCAAAAGCTTTTTGGTAAAAAAGAACCCCCCAAAAATGGTGGGGCATTTCCGGGACATATTTGAATCCTTTGGGTGAAATATAAAAATAAATACAGCCTGGGGAAAGATTTTGGGGAAATGAGCAGTTTTTCAATATTTTAAACACTTTTTCAAAAGGTAAAAGCCATTCATAAAGGGGAAGTCAGAAGAACACCTTTTTAAATGTATAAAAGAAAAGAAAATTAAATTTACCCTAAAAACAAGTTTTTTATTGAATCGGGGAAAAGAACAATCGATTTTAAAAGGGTTTTAAAAAGTTGGGGCCTTTATCCACGAAAACAAAAAGAAAAAAATGTATTTAAGACTATTTAAATTTGGGGGGAAAATTGGGGATCTTAAAAGGGGGTAGGGAACGACATATATTTCTGTTAAATTTACGAAAATTTTTCATAATTTTTTAAAAAAATAAAAAGCCCAATTTTAAAAAATAAAAGATAGTAACAAAAAATTTTTGTTTTAAAATTTTACCCCTACTTTATTAGGGGGAAACCAAAAAAAATTCCCATTTCCCTCGGGTCGGATCAATTTTTACCGGGGCATAGTCCCAAGAACGCTCAACCACACCAATGAAATACCGCCTGACCATTCCAGCTATTTGTGGCGGGTTTTTCGGTGGGTAATACCCAGGCAATCCGGCTGTGCACGGATTGACATTGTACCATGCATACATGCCTTCTGATTCTAAACCGAGCTGTCCATCACGTAGTAATAGACGACCTATTGCAACAAAAGACATTTATATCAAACTTACTATTAATTCATCTTAAATCCTCCAATGAAACTGGATGACAATAAATGGGGTCAACATCCTACCTTTTTAGTTATTAAACCAAAGATCATTTTCAAAAGCAGTCGACTTAAAGCAGATACTCCTAGATTGAAAATTCTGAAAAATGTTGTTAAGTGAACTATGAATGCAATTTCCACATTGCAAACGGAACTTACAATCCACGTATATAACAGAGCTCAAAGTATGCAAATATAGCCGTTACTTTGTCAGTCACACAAGAAATATGGTTATAAATACTTCAAAATCAGTCATTTACTCGCATATGACATGTAAAATATTATCTGAATTTTGAATTTCTATGTTCCTTAAAATCTTTTTTTCTCATTCACATTTTTCTCAAGTTTGATTTTGAGATATGTTTGCTTTTCTGGAGGGTTTGCTTTAAAAATAAAAGCTTTCCCCAAAAACCTTAAAAAAATTCGATTTATTCCTAAGAGGGGGGAAATTTGGGCGGGGAACCCCCAATAAAAATTTCAAATACTTCCCCGCAAAGTGATTTTAAAAAAATTTTTTCCTATGTTTCCAGTCTTTAAACCCTTAAGCAATTTTTTCCCCAAAAGGGAAAATTTTATCTTTTCGAAAAGCAACTTTTTAGGGGAAGAATTCCTGAAATTTTCCCCATAAATGCCCGGGGGAAAAAGAAAAAACAAAAAATTTTTACAATCCCCCTAAGTGGGCTGGCGCCTTTTTTAAATTACCCTGAAATTGGAATTTTCTGGCAAAAAAGAGAAAAAACAAAAATAAAACTTTTAAATTTTGGTGACCTCCAAGGGGTTTTTCTTTTCGTAAATTTTTTTTAATTTAATGGAGTTTTGTTAATCATCAAAGTTCAGAAAAATTTTCATTTGACTGTTTAAATTTTTTCTATGTAAAAAAATGTAAAAATTTTAAAATAATAATTATCCCCTGTTTTGGTGGTTTTTAACCATGGTAAAAGTGGGGTCCTACCCCTGGAAAACCACGGCCCCGGCCGTGTCTAGTTTCCCGGGGTTAAAAACCCTTAAAATTTTTTCCTTTCAAAAGCGGGAAATGAGGTGATCCACCGGGTCACCTAGTCCGTACATTTTGGCCGGGGTTACACCCCTTTTCTCATTATATAAAACCCTTAAAGCTTTTCCCAAACTTCCCGTCCCTTTGATTGTTTACCCCCCAAAAAAAGAAGGTAAAAACCTTTAAAAAAATTTATTATTTGCTCGTTTCACATTGTACAGTATACATTGCATTTAATTTTGTTTCCTTTTCCCTGAAGAGTATTTTCAATTGCTAATATTGACAACACGTGATCTTAGATTAAGTGTCACTTCGTTAGAGACATTTTGAGACTCTATCTTTACTTATTATCGAATATATGATACTAATTCAACATATAACATTATGAACTAGCTTCAATTAAACTAACTGAAATTAATTGTTATGTATGTTTAATACCATAATTCCATTAGATATAAATGCAATGTCTAGAACTATGAAAATTTTTCCCTATGTCAATCTATTTGCAACACGACTTTGTTTTGCAATGTCGTAAAATAAAACTTAACCCTTAAATGCTGATTTGTGTAATGGATTTTTCCCTCTTTTGAATTTGTAACAGTCCATTTCAAGTTTTAGGGATTTCAACGATTTCAACTAACGCTGCCCAGATTAGAACCTGGCCTGACTGCACGGATGACAAATTGGCTTGACTCTCTACTGATGACAAAAGCAAACAATTTCTTGTTCCAGAATGTTAATTAAAATATAAATGAGTTAAATGAGTTAAATATACGTAAGAAGCAAAAGAAACCTCTCATTTGATTGGACAATATAAATTTTGGGTCCGTTTTATTCACTGCCATTGGTTGCGATGTAAATGTGGCAATATTGTCATCGATATACCAAGACAAGTTTTCATCAATAACCATCCAGTTCACAAAGAACTCTCGGTCTGCATTAATCTGCAATGATAAACCAGTCAAGTATTAGTTATATCCCCTTATATATCTTACAGAAAAAACAAAAAGACACAAACAATTAAAATTACCGTTTTACAAAATTATTAAGAAAATCATTTTCAGCACCAACGTTATAACTCAACAATAGTAATCTATAAGTTTTCTTGCCCTTCACTGTGGGTCCGAGTCCCGTCAAGGAATTTTTGTTCTTTTTTTTGTGTGAGGAAGCTATCAAGCTTGCTTATGGAAGGTCCTTGACTCCACTCAGACGTCATACTGTGTCTGACAGTGCTCAATGGAGTTCCTTTTGTAAGCCTCTTCCTATTACAAGGTCGTCACATGACATTTACAATCTAAACTAAATTTAACTTTTTAGATGGACCAAGGGTATGGCTATTGTTTGGCACCTTTGACACAAAGATTACATGCATTGTGGACTTTGCGCTTGCGCTACAGATCCTTTCAACGTACTTATTCAGCAAATAAAACGTTGTAAAGATGGCGGTAATTACCAAAGTGATTAAAATTATTGCAATATTAATATGAAATTTAAACTTTCAACAGTATTTATAAGTTCAATCAGACTGTAAAGGTGTGCAGGGTGGTCTAACCTCGCACACTCAATCTTAATCTCATATAATTACGAAAATCACATAAATTAATCAAACTGACCTGACATCCATCGAAATTTAATGTTCCACGTTTACACACCAACAGAGGGCCGAATAAACCGGAGTACACATCTTTAGTAAAATCTACTGCGGATTGATACACGTACGTGATGCAGTCTTCATTTAAAGGTGTAGGCCCGACGTGTTCATTTACATTAAATTCATACGTTCTCATTGTTCCTGGCATGACAATTGCGCCGGTCATCTTCTCATCTAAGGGAGATAAGGTCATTATCTAAAGTTAACCTTTAATGATTAAACATAATGTTTCCAAATGCAAGACATAACATCATTTTACCTTTGCAATTAATGATAATGGTTGCAATAAATTGAATCATTAACCAAAGTTCTGTAGTGAGTTTTCACAATTAATTTATGGTAACATTTTATTGTTATGTACTCACAATATTGCATTATTATATTACAATGCCAGTAGACAAAACATGAATAAAATTATGCACGTTCTTGAAATCTCAGTTGCAATCTTTCAAGAATATGAAGGTTGAACTCATATTGTCCGAAATAAATATCTTAAACGTGAACAAATTAATTTACAAGAAAAAATGTTAGTTTAATAGTACTGTATAGCTCTATCTATAAATTTACCATGCCGTTGATTTTTGTAGTACGCTCCTTCGTGTTCTTTCGTTATTTCTACGCCATTTGCAAGGAAGGAATACGGTCTCGATGCTCTGTTTAGAACTACAACAACAACACGCTCTCCGACTTGCGCTTTGATTGGTGGACCGGCCAACCCATAATGCATTTCATGGTCGCCACGTGGCTTCCGCAATGTTAAAGTATCATCAATGTATTCTATGTAAATTGCTTTTTTATAAACTGACCCAATCCTTTGTCTACCTCGATTTAGGAACTTTGAAGCAGATCTAGTTAAGTGAAAGAAAATATGCAGATAAAATATAAATCTTCACATGTACTTTTCTGAAATGTTTTGAACTTAAAACTTTCTCATAAAATAGGATTTGCCGAAAATTGTCATGACAATTTTTACCAAAATGTGACCAACCTATATTACAGAAATAAAACCCCGGGAAACCGAAACCCTTTCCCCGAGCTCTTTAAAAAATCGGTATAGTTCGCCACTTTTCCCTGTGGTTTTTAAAAATTTAAACCCTCAAAAATTGTCAGTCTTGGAGCAGCGGCAATGGTTGGGTAAAACTGCCTCACTACTATCACGATCGCCGGATCGAACCCGCCCCGACGCTTTTAAAAACTATAATTCCTAAGTCAGCTGGAGTGAGTCGCCCATACGGGTTAACGGTGGCAACGACACAATAAATTGACTGTTGCGTTTTATTATATTTCAAAAATCAAGTAAGTAAGTAATTATCAAAAATAAATAAATAAATAAATAAAATGGATGCAAGTGTAAAATGAAAAGCTGATTTACTTGGAACGTCTGCTGTCAAAACCAGGTGCATAGTCCCAAAGAACTTCCTCTATGGCAAGATAATATGTGCGTATTAGAGTTGGAAACATTAATTTTGGAGGAACAAGAGGCCCGGCAGGTGCTGGTGGGCATTTCAGAACTGTTAAAAAACTCGACATTCCACCTGGAAATAAAAAAATGGATAGTAAGACCAGCTTATTGGAAAACCTGTGCGCATATTTTTGTGTTTTTAAGTATAACAGTCAGTTTCATTTTTGCAATGGAAAAGGGAAATTTATCATAAAAAGCTTGTTTATTTTAGATATCATGATAGCATTACAGTGTGCAAGTATTTATAAATGTTTGTAAATCATGATAGGTATACAGAATTATTTGCAGCAACAGTTTTTTAAAATTAAAAAAGTTTCATATCAATGATTATTTGTAGCTTTTTCAAGAATATGACTGCATGTTGGTACATATTTAAAGTTATACAACTGATTTTAAACTACGAAAATGTAAAAAAATTGTTGCTTAACTACCTTCAAAATGATCGAGATTTTTACAATAAAGAAGCCAGCGTCCAGGGTTGACTGGTGTCATATGGCCCGAATATACGCTTGCTGGAAATAACACCGCAGTGTCCGTCCTGTAATGATAAATAACATAAAAACTGCGACATGCACTTGGTTTATACGATCGATTGTTTAGGAAGCTATAAGCATATATACACAGTTTCGAATCAGTTCCTGGGACCTGAGCAATGAGTGTAAAGTTTCTTGCTTAAGGGAACAACGACTTGTCCTTGACGGGGTTTGAACCAGTGTGGCTAGCGATCCGACAACCATTTGGCCATGCCGCCGCTATGGAATGCACTTAGCATATTTGTAATGTAAAAGAGGAATATAACCTATTCGTGCTTAATTTCATCATTATTACGATTCATTTTGTAATAATTTGTTTTGAACTATCATTAAAGATTACAGTGACATACATATAATGGAAATTAACATGTAATAAATTTACACAGCACACAACATTTGTTTACCGCATGAAATAAATAAAAAATTGTATGTTTTTACCGTTTCTTTTCAATGATCATGGTCTGGCCAATAGCTTGTATTGTATGTATCCCACGATTTATGGACATGAAATACCAGATTACTTTCTCGCCTTCACAAGCTGTAAAGTCTGGAAGGTTTCCGAACAAATACCCGTTGATATGGGGAATGCTGTTACTTGATATGAACTTCCGGTTCTTCCTTCTCTGAAATTACAGAAGAAACAAAAGACATAAAAAAGCAAAATAGAGGCATTTTGCTTACTGAAAAACTGCACATTCTAAACTTAAGCATAAAAAATACCCAAAAGTGGAAAGATTTCAACTTATCTGAGGTCTATTAGCCTATAATCATAAAATTTGAACAATTTTCATTAATCAACTAGCTGGCGCTCCTAAAATGGAAAACTATGCAATAGATAATATGTTTATGCACTTCGTATACTGAATTGATAATCGATTTTTATGCCATTTTTCGGCCGATTTGTTTAATTTTTGAGGGTCAATACCTGCAATTTAAATTGATTGAACATTTGTACATGAGTTATTGGTCTAGATTAGCCTTGGATTCAGGCGTTGATTTTTGTGCTTATTCATAACATACGCCTATTTCTTACTCGATCGTGTTTTAATATGTCGATTTACCGAACAGAAGTACATAAAAATCAACATACTGGAACCCAGGCAAGGTCTAGATCTGCATGCATAAAGTTATCTTGAAACAAATATTTTCCGTTACTCGACAGTTAAAACAAGTAAAATGGTTTCCTGCGGGGAACATTTTTAATGATATAAAGATATTTCATTTAACTATTTTCACCATTGTTTTGGGAGAGGGGAATAAATAAACGTTTGTATCAGGAATATAGTTGACATTAATCGATCAATATAGAAGAAGGTCTTTGGAAGCTGGTGACCGTTGATGACCGGAGAAGGTCAAACAATTATTTCTTTTTAAGAAAATGATTAAATAGGCCTACCATTTCATGAATAATTCCAAGCAAAAAAAATAAATAAATAAAGTAAACACACAAGTTTACGCAGAAAATATCTTTATTTATTATGGCAGATGCCACTACGAATATTTTAATTTTGTAGATTTTCAGTATAAACAATTTATTGTTTGTAAAATTTGAGATACATATATTAAAGAAACCATGATAATTTTCAAATACATCATTCAAGTGTTTCCACCTTAAACGGTAAAATAATTATTAGAAAAATAAAAATATCACGTAATAGTTTTTAGTTCTTAATTATGTGTAATTCTGACTAATTCCCTAGAGGTAATTCCGTAACGTACCGACAAACGGTATTTAGCCAGGTTTTCGAAAAGGTCAATTAACCAATCATGTACGGTTTACAGATCACATGCTCCTCCATGTACCGAAAACAGGTCACGTGCTCCTCCATGCCTCAAAAGTTAAACGCGTACCAATACCTTGCGGTCTCCAGACCGCAGGGAACAAAAGTCAGTGGAGTCCCCCGTCCCTCGCCAGGTAAAACAAAAGTAATTGGAGTCCCTTTAAGACATATATGGCTTTTATGACAAATGCTCATTAAAATCAAAAGGAGCGGGAATATATTGATAAAATATTTAATTTTCCCCATTTGTCACTTATTATCACTCTATAAATCCCCTCAAAACTTTTTTATATATAGAGGATATTCAAGGTTTTTTTTCTAAAAATACAGGATGATTTATTTTTGTCGAGTTGTATGAAAATAAATATTTATTCACTCGTGAAATATGATAATTTTGTAACCACAAGATGGAAATAAATCCTGTATTTATAGAAATTTTTTTAACTTTCTGTTAATTATGATTATACATTTCTCTATGTTTTTACATTGCACTTTAAACTTCCCCTTATGCTGAATTAAGGAGAAAGTAGTCCGGCAACACACCAGTGAAAAATACGAAAATATGTTGCACAATAGTGAAATATAATTTGTTACAGTGAAAATACGGAAAATGAAATTCATATTATATTTTATCAATGTTTTTCAATATTTCATTTAATAAATTGTTTTATTTCACAGATAACCACTATTTTTATTATTTATATACGGAAATTTTCGCACTGTGTGAACCTTTATTTACATTTCATGTATGTGTACTATACCTTTAGGTTTCTGCAAACGTTTGGATTCCCGCATTTATTCAAGTTTATATCGGCATACCAACTATTATTCTCATCCGTCACGTCGGCATATAAGTATAATTCTTGGTCGGCATCTTTTCGTCGGCCTTTCGAATCAAGTGTTCCTGGAAATAATAGATTAATTAACTTGTTAAGAAAGGCTTTTCTAAAATAACATAAATATCATCATAGTTCATGGTGTTAAGTTGTATTATGACTGGGACATAATGAAACGGGACAGTCAACTATGGAATGGATAAGCGTCCTACTGTTGGCGTCCAGCTGACAACCGATCGATCTTCAAGCGTATCGGTGATAAAAATTATGCCCCAGACTCTACACGCAAATAACTAATAAATAAAAAGAAATCAAACAATATCACTGTATTTAACCAGGTCCTAAATGTTACAAAGATAAATCAAAGCACAGAAGGCGCTGAATTGGTTTGGATCTCAGAATGTCAGAAAGGTGAAGGTTGTGAGATTATAAACCAATTTGTTTTTGTATAGTGCCACCAATGCTTTCCAGCGTTTTAATTGTAGTAAATTGGCTATAAGACTAATTGCAACACTGATATTCAATTCAATGTTTATTTGACTTAAACAATTTGAAAAAAAAAATGAGTTGCCTTAACTGGGATTTGAACTCCAGACCTCTCGCTTCCTAAGCGAGCGCGCAAACCCCTCGGCCACGGTGAAGTTATATGTTAATGGCCTGAAGAAAACTATATTATTCTAAATTAGGATTTGTAACCCTTATTATTTCGACGCTAACTGTTGTTTAACACAGATGTAAATAGTCAAGGAGCTTACTATAAGCATGTATATCTAAAAAGAATAAAACAATATTAGAAATCTTCGACCATTCGGGAACTATTTGCTTGAAAATTAATGCGCCTGTCAATTGACCATCTTTACGCAGTGATCTCCCCTGAATATTTCGGCGTTAGTGTACATATAAAGGGAAGTAACCGCTTCAAAAAAGCCGATTACTTTCGGCATTTGCAATTAACAGCATCAGGGTCTGAAATTTCGCTACCATTATTTGTTTGGTCTGACGACCCAAACAAATAAAAATATATTACTGTCCTGTTCAAATAACCAAATTTGCGAAATAACGGATGAGTATTTTATGATATGACGTTTAAAATTTTTCCATGAAGTTCATGTACGAATGTCTAAACATTCCCGCTCAAGATAACACATTCTTGCATTGTCCTAAATATCGCAACTTATTTTGACATCTTCAAAGTTGCTACTAACCTTTTTTTCTTATTGCAATTTGCCAATATTGATGTTAGTTCTTAAGTGACATTATGCCCATCCAAGGGTATATAGTGAGTGAACGGGTGAAAGTCAAAATAAGTTTTCATTTTGCCATAATTCCTTTTATTTTAATAATTAAGTTCGCATAAACAATAAATAACTCACAGATCCAAACGAAATTTCTGTAATTATCCTTTTGGATTTACCTATAACGCTTAGTTTATAAAAAGAGTGGGGCAGTCTTTTTAAATTTTAGACAGATTTATAATTTTATCCTAAACATTTTCCAACATCAACACCATTTTGATTGTCAATCTTTTCAAATATAAAGTCAATTCAGCTCAACTTGAACATGAAAATATGAGCATAATGTCACTTTAACCGTGTTGATTGACATATTTTAAAACTAAATCTATACTTATCATTTATCATTTATAATTGCGTATAGCAAACCATTATATAGACACCTAACTCTGGTTCTTTTATGGTATATCATTTCGTCCAGATATGTAGAATATATATTTTGTCTACCTTTACATTGTATATTGATTACTGTACATTTTCACCACAAATGTTGCGACATACAAATTTAAGTGCAAATACCTAAGCAATATCTCGTTCTTCAGTGAAGCATCCCGTGTTAGAATTCTTCATATTTACCTTTTTTGCACAACACGGCAACGCCTACTAGACCCGTGTCAACATCTTTCGGTGCCCGTGTGTGTGAATGGTACGTGTATGCAGCACAGTTGTCGTCATCTTTTGTAGGCGCGTGCTCCTTACCAATCTCCCACATGTACGTTACAGTGCCGCCAGGGGGCACTGCATCTTCGTACTTTTCGAATGGATGAGTACCATCGATATAAAGTGCCCCTTACAAAAACAGAAACTTATGTACAATAAAGATATGATATGATCGCTATGAGCTTTCTTAAGTGATGGTGTTCTTAATAAATATTTTATTAGAGGCTAGGACATAATACCATGGCGTAAGAGGTGCCAATTTTTGTTTGCTTTTGTTTTATTTTTTAGAAGTAAGAAATTGCAAGAAAATGTTTGGAAAATCGTTGTTAACCGAAGCAACAATATTATAAGAAGATTGCAGACTCCGTTTGATTGCGTCTGTTCATGAGAGATAATGTAAAAATGCGACATCTCTCACGACCCACACCCCAGCACCGTCTTAAGCGGTATTCAATCTTCAACACTTATGTACATGCATTAATTATCCAAAAGGACCAGACAAATATAACAACACATAAGTGAACCTTTGTTTTTCCCCTCTAGATAGTCCCCGGAGCTTTTTGTAAAGATATACACACAACGTACTTACAAATGCCATTTTTTCTGTTAGTATTTTGTAATCAGTGAAAGTATGTAACTGTTACATTAAGGTACTTTTAACAAAGATTACATAACAATTTGTTCCCTAACAAACAGCGCAAAATGACACAACTAAGGAATTAATTGTCTTCACCTTGTATATTTGTTTCTGTCAGTAAGAATTCGTTCTTACTTTAATTACTGTCATATTTGTATTTTTTTTTAGTTCATTAATCACAACACTTAACTATGGTCAATGTTTTCATGGTATTTACTGTACGCCGGATACTGTCAAGATAAATATTTAAACAACAATGACAAGAAAATGTTGCGGGTTTTTAACGTATTAAAATAGCGAACAATTAAATGATCATTCGAAAGATATATTTTTTGTTGTTGTATTTTCTTAATTCACTTTCATGCATTTATATAATGCGTTTAAAGTCCCTACTGTGTTTGTATTTATTCTGTATGGAAAGGATTTTGCCTGTGAACATCAACATCAAAATACATGTAGTTAGTTCTTTAAAAATGTTTACTTATAAGCCCTCTTTAATTGATTCGTTTTTTCCCGTGCTTCACGTTCTTTGATATGGAAGTTTGGCAGCAACCCCTAGCGGTTATTCCTTAAATCAAACAAAAGATTTACAACTTTTTACATTTTACATCACACAACATGTAAAACAGCATTTTTCTAACCATACATCTCCCTGACTTGCAAACTTTAGCATGCTTATACATGTATTTGTTTATAATTTTGATTGATTTGCTATGGGCACAATTGTGAAGGCACTTGTTTCAAAATCAAATTTACCATACATCTAACATGTTTTGAATGAAACAATTAAATATTTACAAAAAGGAAACGGTAATGACTCATTGCTTATAATCATTGTGTATTTTATTGTGCAATAAATTATTAATGTGTCCACAAAGTCTGATGTATATGAATTACAGATCGACAAAAACAACTTTCTGTGTACAACCTTCAATGTTGCGATGTTAAGAGAGTACAAAAACGAATTTGAGAGTCATAGGAATTTAAAAGTGTGAGATAACTAGTTGTGCTATAGATATTTTTTTCAATTTGGTTTCACGTCGTACCAACACAGTATAAGACATATGGCGGCTTTCCGGCTTTACCGAACTGGTGGATTCCAGGAAGACCTCAGTTACCCTTCTGTGCATCATTTCAGGAACAAACGGGCATAAGAGTCAGATGAAGAAATATGGTCGTGACCCGATTAGGGCTCGAATACATTATCCCTGGGTTGAAAGGCAGACACTTTACCACTAGGCCACCGCCCCCTTTTCAAGAGGTCGTAAAAGCCCTTTCAAAAACTTCAAAAATTAACTTGATATAATTTGGACAGACATCTATAACTATTGTTAAAAAAATGTAAAACATCCGGGATGCTTTTGAAATGGTGCATAAAATATATATTTTTTTACATATTTTTCAATATTTGGTAGACGAAAAAAAGGGTATATCTTTATCCTTTTTGCTATAAAAAAACGTGCCAGTCAAATGAAATGTAAAAGACAGTCTTTGACTACAGGTTTATGCTTTGGAGAATAATATTGGTACAAGAATATGTAAGTAAGACTTTGGTCATATTTATATCTGTAATTAATCAAAACATAAAAGTTTTAAATCATTTTGGTTTTAAAAAAAACTAAGCTGACAAATGCAATGTTTATTTGTAAACTTTAAAACGCTATCTGAATAGTAATTAGATAATATTTATTAACAAATGTGCACCACACTTAAGTCACGTTTTGATGTTTCAGCGTTTTAAGAGTGAACAGAAAATTTTAACGTTTCATTTATATAAATTTTAAAAAAATCTTTTAAAAAATGTCATTCTTGCATAAAAACTTAGGCGGCAAAGAGAAACATGCATTAACGGATAAATTCACGCGAGCACGCGCCGTTGCTGGACGTTTTTTAACATGCTTGACTCAGGGCGCTATGTAAAATTATTGCAATGACGGCCCTGATAGTGTCATAATCAAAACTATTTTTCAAAAGGCGGCACATCACAACGTGAAAAATATGACAAAATCGGTTTCTTTATACAAAAAAAAGCAAAAACAAAAACAAAATAAACAGCATATAATGAAACGCGGAATTACCGGAACAGACGGAAAAAGCGCTCAAACTTTTTAAATACCCCGCCTTTCGGGCTCAGGCTTTACATGCGTCCTCGTAAAAAGGTGCATTTAGACTCTATTGTTACAAATATTGCAGCATTGAAATGATTTATGTCATTTTTCAAAGATAAAATTGTATTAATCAATGTTATAATTAACTGAAATATTGAAACACGTGCAATTAATTGTTAATCTACCTTCATTTATTTTGTCGTAAAGAAAACCGTGTGGGTGAACGCTGAAGTTACTTCCGGTGGCCATGTTTTTGAAATGAATGTACACAGTATCGCCAACTTCCGCTTTGATAGGTGGCCCGAGAATACCCGCCCATTCTGGTACAGGAAGTTGTTGAGTGAACGTTTGGTCTGTATAACCACGATAAATTGCTTTCCGGTACACACTACCAATTCGGTCTCGTCGATTTTCAGTTTTCTCTCGGAATTTCCTGAAAAAAGAGGAATGTGTTTGGCATGCTACATATTTAGAAAATGCTCTTCGAATTACTTATACTGTTGTATTTTGTTGTATTTTCATAACTACTGTTTTCAATAGCTATAGACCTTATTACAATACGATATTTCCATAGAAACGGAAGTAGCATTTCGCGCATGCGCATTTTGCGTAAGGTAAAAGCAATACTTTTGTATATGAGATAAGTACCGGAACAGTGACAATAAACCCATGCTGTCGTTACCTGTAAAAATTATGCAATATGGTGAACAGTAACAGACATACTTGTAGAAAATAATTCCAAAAGAAGTTTGAAAAATATTGTTAATATTGCTTACATTTACTCAATAAAGTAATAAACAAGCAAAGCACCAAGAGATTCGTAGAGACTCCGTCTAAAATCCTAAATGTATTTTTCGTATTGTTATCTTCTTAACTCTAATGTAGTACTATATTATTTACACGAATAAAACATATTTTAACACGAAATACGATACCGGTTATGTGTTTTTGAATGTTATTTTTTCTCTCTCAAAAGTCACAGAAAAAGGAACAATATCATTGATGCATTGTAAGAAAAGTGTAAAAATAATACAGTAATAGTCAATTACAAAATTATTATCAACACAGTAATAAAAATTTCAGTTTTTTTGATAAATAAGAATTATGTTCTGTTCTGCTGTTTTATTATTAAATCTCCCCTGTTTGCTGTAAAACATTTTCCATTGCGTTAATCACGCTAAAATGTCGTATAACAAGAACTTAAATAAAACTTGGAATGCGCTAATTAATATTCAAAAAAATATTACTATGCAAATTGCACTGTGGTTTTCAAATTTTTAGTACAATGCAGAGTGCACTTACTTCCAAAATATTAATACAGTGTAAAGTTTGTTGGTATCAAAAAACAAAAAACAAAACAAAAAACAATAATAAAAACAACAACAAAAAAACAAACAACAACAATGCAAAGTGTCCATGTAAAGTATGCAAATGCACTAATGTCCAAAAATATACAACGTAACTTGATTTGAACATGCATACAATTACATCTAGATTTCAGTTTAGAGAAACTCAATTTCGTTTAAATATTTCATTGATATGTCATTATTATTTTGATCGACTTAATAATGATGATGATGATGATGATGATGATGATGATGATGATGATAATAATAATAATAATAATAATAATAATAATAATAATAATAATAATAATAATAATAATTATAATAATAATAATGCATGATGATGATGATGGTGGTGATGATGATGATAAATAATAATAATAATAATAATAATAATAATAATAATAATAATAATAATAATAATTATAATAATAATTATAATAATATGCTATTATTATTAACATTTGTTGTTCATATATTTATAAAAAAAGACATATCGGTAAAAAAAACACTAAATACATACTTATTTTCATTGGTAACTAAATTCCGTCCTGACGGTACATAGTCCCATTCAACTTCTATAGCGGCTATATAATAATGGCGGTCCGTCGCGAGAGAATATGGAATTAAAAAGAGTAAATAAAGACACAGCAAATTTAGAGGATACATTGTTATCTTCAGCACAAACCAGTGTATGGTGGTTTTATTTTCTGTACGTGACCTTTAAACTCTGGTGATAATATTAATCATTAAGATTTTAATAGCGTTTGGTTTATATTGGGGGACAAACGTTTTATCTGCCGTTGAAGTGACATTGAAACGTGACGTTTGAATCATGCACATCATTCTAACGTAAGTTAACGATTGGTACGTGACGTTTTAAAATTATAAATGAATTTAAACGCTCTTCCTTCAATTAACTTTCATTTTGTGAGATCACTTTTTTGTGGTTTCTGACGAAATTTCACTCTTTCGTGACAATATTATTAACATAGTATATAATTTAAATATTTAATATTTGGGAGAGTGAGCAGAATGTCAGATTTTTCGGGAATTAATAAACTTCATGATGATAAGCAAAACAAATTTTTTACCGAATTTAACATTTTCGTGACTTAAAGATTTTTTTACTGGATTGGTTTTTGTTTTTGTTAATTTTTTATTCTTTTTTTTTTTTAGTAGCATCAACAATTTTTACTATTCTCATCAACAATTTTAACTATTAAACAGACGATGCAAATTTAATTTATAAATCAATCAATCAATGAAAACATATTTGTTTAATTAACAAACAGTGTTTAAAATAAATATAAATAAAAAAATATGATAATGCGTCGCTGATTTCTGTGTAGAAAGTTTTTTTTAAATTTTAATATTTACTTTAAAGGGAGTCAACGAGCCTGTTCACGTTTTATATATACAGTGCATTCAACACTTTCTTACTAACATAAACTGACTGCCAGTCTGTAATAAATCAAACAGGTTGTATCGTCATCGCCAGCGACATAATGCACGTAATTTTCGTGCAGAATATCAATGTTTAAACACGCCGGTCATATGCAAGATTGATCACGGCGTACCTTGATAACTTCAAATTAAATGCAACATTCATGTGGCTTTTTAAAGACCCATTGTGCCACATAAATGCTCCCAGGAATTTTTATTTTTGGTGTATATACTTTTAAAAAGTTACTTATTGACCAGTTACCTGAACATTCTTTTTTCTGGTGCTTTTTGGCAATTAGTACAGTTATAGTGATTTAGAATGATGTGCCTTTAAATTTAACACTTCAGTATTATCTTTAGAAATTTCATAATAATCATTTAACGAATTATGTCTTATTTACATGTAACAGATCAAAATTAAAAGCCCAATAAGCTATCATTTTCATTTTTCAAAGGCTATCTGTTTTCGTGCCCTGTTATACTCATTGGTCATTTGCCTCCATCAATTGTTTTTGCTTCTTTTGCATTTTGACAATTAATACAATTATGGGAACTAGTATTTTGTATGGAAATCAAAAATACGACTTTTTTTCATTTTGGTACCTTTATCACAAATTATTTCTCATTCAACGCAATTTTCATTACGATAAGTTTCTCACATGTTCTTAACCGATTATTACATCATAAAATATATTCCCCCTTTCTGCATAATGTGCATTTAACTAAACCTAATTTACATAAGAATTTTTGTTGGTCACAGACCTAAAGTTTCAACTATTAACTTGTTGAAAAAATATATATTATCAATGATTCTTTTGAATTTCCTCCATACCCTTTTTTCAATTTTTATTTCTTGATCCGGATTTACATAAAAATGTATGATTTATATATGAATCAAATTGCAAGTATTTATAATTATTTTGTTGATTTAAATTTTGCGATAATGTTAGTTAAAAGAAAGTTGGATACTTTCGTACAATTGCATTTACCTTTATACGGATTCAAAAAGAAATTTAAGTTTAAATATATAGATTCAAACTAAGCACACAAAAAGGACCACGCAACGTGCGTGCCACGTTGCGTGTCGTGTAACACGTACCCTTAAGGAATACTTTCAGTGAAGCCATATTCGGTGAATAACACACTATAATTGTTGTACTCTCTACGCAAAATCTTAAATTGTTGTGCTCTCTACGGTGAAATCATGTGCCATGTCAAAAATAATCTGGTTCCTTGCCTACATTTAATACGAAACGCAGTATAAAGGGAAGGAACTCCAGACTATGTAAAAAAAGTTCCGTATGATCAACTTTGATCAAAATGATGATATAAATAATGGCAATGGTAACCAGTTACTTTCCTGAGTGTTATTTGGTTAATTGGTTGGGTCGTTTAGTCTCACTGCCATCCGTACGTCAGTTTAATAGTAGGCATAACCTGAATGGTCATTCTATTTTGAATGGTCAGCCGTTAAGCCACCATAGTATTCGAGATTGAATGCAAAATGAATAATGGCATCTTCATTTAATATAATATTAATAAGATTTTGTTAAACTAACATACATCTAGATTTATGCGACATACTTATTTCAAAACGTTCATTAAAATATGATTGTGTAATTAGTTAAAGGTTTCCCTACAGTTTACATCACACCCATTGAAATAAGCAAAGAATGATGTGGATACTCTGGAATATTTCATTTTGTAGCCAAGTGTGGCTCATAACACAGTATTATTTTACCGTTTATGTATAATTATATTTAATTTCATACCCGACTCTGTCGTTGTATGATGCATTACCTTTGTCTATGACAAACGCAAAAGAAGGTGCAGTTCCTTGTGCGCTGTTTTCCCCGTGACCAGATGGTATAATCTCGGACAAGATTCATAAATTTGTCAAAGCACGTGCACGTTTTCTTGAGATATTGATAAAACATTTATTGATTTTACTCACTGGTTCAAAAAAGTATAAATAATCAAACCGTTTATGCGCATGTTTGCAAGAAGTTAAAAAAAACATATATCGTAATTTTCATAAAGATATGTCAGGACTGACAACGAGCGGACGGAAAAACAGACAGGTAAACAAGCTAACAGATGGACGGTTAACACTAAAGTATTTTCCGAATTAAATAAATTGCCTATATGTATTTGTATACATGTTTGTACATGTAATACCTTTCATAAAATATTTGCGAATGTCTATCCGACTAAAAGCAACAGTTTCCCAGAATACAGACATTCATCAACTGTGTTGATCATTGAAAGAATCACGGCGCTTGTCTCTCTATATATAGGTACGACTTGAAAATTCCAAAGGTCTACAGAAATATTTAATTTAATTTAAAAAAAAATAATTTTAAGATATCAAATTATATTTTAGAAATTTAGAAATGTGAATTTTACTCTAATATATAATGTATTATTATTATTATAATTAACATAATAATAATAATAATAATAATAATAATAATAATAATAATAAATAATAATAATAATAATAAATAATAATAATAATAATAATAATAATAATAATAATAATAATAATAATAATAATAATTATTATTATCATTAATTATTATTATTTTTTATTATTATCAATAATAATAATTATTATTATTATTATTAATTATTATTATTATTTTTTTATTATTATTACTTTCTAAATGGTAACGATTATGTTTTGTGTTTGCGAAGTTATTGCATTTCTTAAACGAGTTAAGTGTATTTAGTACTTTACAACCTAATTTCATATTTAGTACCGTGATGCCATATCGTTAAAAAATTATAGTAGTTTACAACCTATTTGTGTTTCGAAGCTCTTCATTACCTTGCACAAAAGTTGCGCATGCGCTGTATTGCATTCCAAAGCTTCATTGGAGATGAGAGCAGTTCCAACTTGGGTGGACAAAGTCCACGATAGAGACAAGCAAGAACAATGGTAGATGCTAATGATTATCAATTATTCATCACATTTTATAATTCTTTGAATTAAAGTTTTGGTCAACACGTTTTTGTGAATTTATCAAAAGATCAGATGACCGGTTGTTTTCAGTGGCCTGTCATTGCCTGTGGCTGTGCTCATTCATGTCATTCACTCATGTAAATCTTCATACCATTTTCTGTTTAATGTTTTTAACTATTTATTCCTTTGTATTTTCCTTCACGAAAATGTACAAGGCAAAGCCTAAAAGCAAGGCCTTTGACAGAAATTAGAGTGCATTATAATTTAACCCATTCGGCGACTACACATTTATGTTTTCAAAACACATAGAACTGCATGCAACACAACCACACATATATACGGCCATTTCATGTACTCTATGATATCTAAATTGAATCCGCTTGTCAGAGAACATAGATGGGAACCATAATAGGATAGGGAACCAGATTACATTTACATGTTAAAGGATGGTTCAGGCCCGTCGTCACGATTTTGTGATTGGTGCGGCCAACTTTGTTGGTTTGAGCCAGAATCTAGGGGGGTACGGGGGCATGCTCCCCCGAAAAAATTTTTATTCTAGGATGCTCTCAGGGGCGTTTTCCCGTATAGTTGGCACAGTTTACAGCCTGCCGCTAGTACATGTTATAGTAATATATGTCAACGATTTTTTACATTTTTAAGTGCGCCGTAAGTTTTAAGGGTGAAATTTAAGGTTCGCATAACGGACGGACAGGTGTACATAAAAATGAATACAGTACATGTAATTGATATTTGGCAAATGAAAAATAAACAATAACTGATGTTATAATTCTTTAGATGCATTTTTATCTGATAATTATAAATAAACAAATACAAGAAATATTACAGCTACGTGGATTATTGTTTAACATAAATCACACAATGGTATAGGCTTAAATATCAATCGATGACATGATGGAAGAAAAGTACATTACGAGTCACTAATAACCACTTTCTGTTTAGCAGTAACTTGTATTTTGTTCACAATAATCTTACACAACACAGAGTTTCATTTTATGTAAATTTTCCAAAAACACATCGCCATCGTTCTCTGGTGGTAATGAACTCATCGGCAATAACACGTTAGTTAAGTGAATCTGTCCTGTACTTATGAATATGTAACACCATTAGATTGTCCAAACGTACTTGAGACATTGTCGATCTCAGGTATGTCTTTCTTCTTCTGAGCGCCAAGAATGTCCTTTCACTTGTAGCATTAGTAACAGGCATTTCTAACAAAATCTTAAACAACACAACGACCTCAGAGAACAGTGCTCGTTTTAGCACTGACTTTTCTGACACAAATTTCAAAACGTCAGGTAGAGTAACAGTACTATTTTCTGATTTGTCAAAATGTGAACGTAGCAGGTAATTAAGGCCTTAGCTGCACCTCTAAGATGTCTCGGTTAATGTCGTTACCATAGGAATTTCAAACAAAACCAAGTTCTCTAGTGTACTCGGTCTTCAAAGGTTGTGCGACCTTAGTACGTAAATCCTCCACGTTCTGAAATACGGGATATCCCGGTTGGTCAAATCTCCCTTTAACACTGGCCATGGCAAGATCGATTGCAGGCCAGAACACGGTTGCCGTATACAATCAATAAAATGTTATCAAGTTCTCGGAGAATTCAGGCATACTAGTACCTGGTCAATTAACAGTGTCCAGTTGTTTCTTCACGTCAAGTTTGTATATTACCGCGCATTGCATAAGGGGCCAGTCAAGTGTCAAATTGCTTATCAGCGATGCGTGTTTTTTGTTTTTGTTTTTTTTTTTACTCATTTTTGGCCAAAATATTGGTCCGGCCAAGGCCGGACCGGCCGGACCATCGACGACGGCCTTGTGGTTAAAACCCAATAGTGACTTATGTCTAAGTGATGTGCTTCTGCAGGGAACTGTTAGTCATTATATAATACAAAGTTTACAATCACTAGATCAGGGCATGGTGCTTTCATTATCAGGTTAAAAATAAACAGGGTAACACTGCATGGTCGATGCAACAGATGACATATTTTGGAATCGAAACTGGTGTTTTCACTTTTGTTGTTTAATGACTTTGTAGAATGTTGTTAATTCCCTCAGCTTTTTCTACTGCAAAGGTATTCATTTTTGGTAATTAAGCATTTTTGATATGCTCTTTCTGTAGAAATATTTCCCAGTCTCAAAGCAAGCTACACTTTCTTAACTGAACAGAAGTAATGTCTCAATTTTTACTAAGCATGTAAAGAAGGTGCAGATATTAGCTAGCCCACTTTGATATTTGAATATTCCTCGGCCATAATTATTAATATTCTGCTTCTTGTATATTTCAGTATTTGGGCTTTATGTTTCAAGCCAGATGGAAGTCAGTTGATTGTTGCCGCAGGAAACAGGGTACTTGTATATGATACAAATGATGGGACACTGATTCAACCATTGAAGGTAGTAACTCAGTTTGTTTTATAACCAGTTTTGTTTTTCTTTTTTACCAGGTTTTTGTTATGGATTAATTTAGTTTTAAAATATGTGTGAATTGCAATCAAAAGAGTTCATTATATATGTATATATATACTGGCAGATATTTTTGAAAAAAAATTCATTATTTCATGAACATGTTTCAAATTTTACAGCTGTAACAGATTTGTGGATGTCATGAAATTTCAAAACAGGTCTTTTTATGAATACTTATTTAGTTAATTAGTAAATAATAATAAAAAACATTGATAAAAAAAAGTTAAAACTTTTTTTGGGAATACACATTTCTTCCATTAAATTCCCCCTTTAAATACAAGCATCCTCGGATTTATTTTAAAATTTGGATAACTATGTTTGAACTTTCTGTACTTGTTTATACATACAGTTTTTGTATTTCCACAGGGACATAAAGAGGCTGTCCACTGTGTTTGTTATGCTAAAGATGGTAAGAGGTTTGCATCTGGATCTGCTGATAAAAGTGTTATTATCTGGACCAATAAACTTGAAGGAATCCTCAAATACACGTATATATTATTTTCTGATATGTTTGTTTTCATTTTTAGTTTTAGTACCATATCTAAACATTTTTTTATACATTTTCTACCTGCATACAATTAAGAAAAAAAGTTAAAAGTTTGGATATGATGTATAATGCTCATTATTATTTTAAAATTGTTGAAGTGAATGCATATTTTGGTATTAAATTTTGTCACTGCAGGGCTGCAGCTTGAAAAAAAAAAACTGTTGAAGAGCATGCTTATATACATTGTATGTCTTTAGAATACTATAACTGCAGAGCAGCAATAATTCACTATTACACTAATAGTCTATCATACAAGCAAATTTATGTAGTCAAATTACATTACAAATATCGTGTATTAATGTATAGAAAGATGTTTTTCAGGTTTACATCATTCTTGTACAATTTGTATCTTGTTTTTTAGACACAATGATGCAATACAGTGTATGGCATATAATCCAGTTACACATGCCCTAGCTAGTTGTGCAGTTACTGACTTTGGTAAGGAATATTTTCAAACTTGTACACAGAGTATTGAGTTTTTTTTCTGAAAACCGTTCAATTCAAAAACTGAAATGATGGCTTAAGGAGCATTTTCAAGTCTTAATTTATATGCTGTATTTAAAGGGATGTTAATATGTCTCGTATTCATTTTCCTTTTGATTATAAATCTTCATTGCTATATTTAAATATCTTGTCAATTAATATATTAACCCTTAATCTGCCGGAACCAAAAGTAATCATCCTTTGCCATCAGTATATAGCCAGGCCAGCCTACACTTCTGTGCAGTCTGACCAGGCTCTATACTGTTGGTAGCTTAACTTTTGTATTTGATATTGAAATCCCTTTGAATGGACTGTTTCAAATTCAAAGCTGGACAGATCCATTATAGAAATATAACAGGTTATGTATAAGTTAATGTAAATTATTATCCACTAACTTTGGTTAGGATATTGCACAAACTATGATGCCATGTATGATGAGGCGTATAACACGAGTGTTGTAAAAGATTTTGTCAAAGGTAAACTGTTCATGGTAGAATGCTATCTACAAAGAATTCCATGTGACTTTGATCACAGGCGTTTCGCACCTTTGTCTTATTAATAATGGTCAAATTATCAATAAAATAATCTCCCCTTGATCATCAAGAATAAAATTGGTATCCCAGATCCGTTTTATATATATAACATATTCTTTGTATGTAACTCACCGTAGCATAACGCCTGTGACTTTGATTGCTCTTGATGTTGCAGTTTGTTATATCCACATTTGGAATTTTAAGTTATATGTTGATTATTGTTAAAATCAGTTTACATTATGATGATTAAATGTTTGTTCAATTAGTTGCATAAAAACTGAGATGTTATATTTTATTGAAATATAAAAAATTGCATAAAATGTTTTTTAAAAGTAAAAAAATACATATTAAGTGTAGTGAAGAAAGTAAATTTATTTTGCTGAATTAATTTATAGGGAAGAACACCTTAAACTGTATATAGAAATAGTAATGTGATCAATGAAAAATATGTTTAATTGACAATTTGACTATTTATCCATGTGTGTGATTCTCCCCAAAAATGTGATATAAATTTATACTTACAAAATAAAATGTGCATAATCTTACCTTACCACTTTAAAGTTTAGTGATATTATGCACATAATAGTTTTAATAGACAAAATAAAACATACTTAACGTAGCCCAGAGTTTTTAATAAACACTTGCTGGGACATAGTACAAAGTATGTTTAACAAAAAATGTGTAAAATAAATTTACATTTGTGTATCAATATATGTTTAAATATTTTTAAGGTCTTTGGTCTCCTGAACAAAAATCGGTGTCAAAACACAAGGTAAGCAGTAGAGTAACTGCCTGCAGCTGGACAAATGATGGACAATATTTGGCCCTAGGACTTTACAATGGACTTGTCAGCATTAGAAACAAGGTAAACATTATGTTATGTACAATTTTATGTCCAGTTATAATCTGTCCCATCAGAAAAAGTACAGACAGGTGACTTATCAGGAAAATTACAAACAAGTTACTTATCAGAAAAAGTGTAGGCAAGTACCACTTGCCTCTCACCGCTGTGGGTTCGAATCCTGACAGGGACTTTGGATTCTTTCATGTGAGGGAGCTATCCAGCTAGCTTACGGAACGTCGGTGGTTCTACTCAGGTGCCCCTTTGTGTCTGAAAGAATGCAAGGAGGGGCACCTGAGGTCTTCCTCCACCAGTAAAGCTGGAACGTTGCCATATTACCTATACTGTGTGGGTGTGTCATAAAACCCAATCAAACAAACAAACAAAGTATAGGCAAGTAACTTATTAGAAAAATGACAGGCAAGTGACTTATCAGAAAAAGTATAGGCAAGTAACTTATCAGAAAAAGTACAGGCAGGTGACTTATCAGAAAATGAACAGGCAAGTGACTTATCAGAAAAAGTACAAGAAAGTGACTTCTCAGAAAAAGTACAGGCAAGTGACTTATCAGAAAAAGGGCAGGCAGGTGACTTATAAGAAAAAAAGTAAAGGCAAGTTACTTATCAGAAAAAATACAGGCAAATTACATATCAGAAAAAATACAGGCAAATTGCATATCAGAAAATAATACAGGCAAGTTACTTATCAGAAAAAATACACTCAAGAGTATTTGTATTCGTAACAGACAAAAGTAGAAGAAAAAAAAAACTTGATTATTTAGAAAAAGTCATTGTGTGGCAGTATAGTCATATGGTTAAATGCTAAAAAACACTTTACTCAGAACTTTGATGGAAAATAATTAAAAATTAAGTTTGCATGATAAAAGGTAATAAGCTTTTGTTATATTGTTTTCTAGTAAGATTTAGCACCATTAGAACTATTGCATTGTATTTGAAATGATAATTTTATGTTACAAGAATGGAGAAGAGAAAGTAAAGATAGAAAGACCTGGTGCCACCTCATCACCTATATGGTCACTGGAGTGGAACCCGTCTAGGGATGAAGCATATGATGTGCTGGCTGTTGCTGACTGGGGTCAAAGGTTATCTTTCTATCAGCTCTCTGGCAAACAGGTACATATATTATTACTTATATAATACTTTTCTGTTGAATTTGTGAGTTTAACAGCTGTCTTACTTATTAATATCAATAGAATTTGAAAAAAGCTTTTTCTAGTTGAAAGAATTACATTTGGATTCAGTATTTTTTGTAGAGCGTAACTGCAGTCAGAATTTTGAACAGTCAGAATTTCAAACACAGTTTCACTTTTCAAATAAAATTCTAATTGAAACATTCTTTTTGCTTAAGTCATCATTTTCGCCAAACATGTGTGGGTTACTCACTAAAATTAACATACTTACCATTATATCCCTAATTAAAAAATTATGAAACATTAAAAAAAATAATAAAAGAAAACTCTCCTGTACAGGTCTTTTATACTGTTTTACTCTGCATGCAGTTTGCGGAAAGTAATTGGTATAGGCATTATATAATTTGTGATCTTAAGTTTTACATATGGCTTTAATATAAGCTTTCATCAAATGTCCTATATCATTTGAAATGTGACAGAAAATATTTTTCCTTTTTGTCCTGTAACATATTATGTAGAAAAAGTTCAATCTGTAATTTGTATATATTATATGATTTTTACACCGACTGCCAGTACAGACAGGAATATCTACCTTGAGGGTAACTGTTTATGGCGGTAATAAGGCTCTCTAATCTCTCCAATCTAGATTGGGAAAGACAGACAGCTAGGACATGACCCATGTTTTGTTCGCTGGTTCTCCAAGGGGGAATATGTAGTAATCGGAGGTTCCAACAAACAGTGTAATCTTCATACAAAGGAAGGCGTTAAACTAGGAACTATTGGCGATCAGCAGTCCTGGGTGTGGGCAGCTGCTGTTAGACCAGACTCTAATTATGTGGTAAGTGAAATCTGTGCTATTTATGAATTTGGATATGTCCTATTCAGTTGTAATTTTGTTTGATTTCATCATATTTAATAAATTCAGTAATAAAATTCTTCTTATCATTTTAGAAAATGTACAAAAATATAAAAGTTTTACAATTCTCAGTGGTTAAGGTCGTTGACTTCAAACAACTTACCCTCACTGCTGTCGGTTGGAATCCTGACAGGAACTTTGGATTTTTTCATGTGAGTAAGCTATCCAGTTAGCTTACGGAATGTTGGTGGTTCTACTCAGGTGCCCGTTTGTGGCTGAAATAATACATGGTCTTCCTCCACTAGTAAAGCTGTCACATCGCCAAATGACTTGTTCTTTTGTCAATGTGACGTAAAACCCAATCAAAACAAATATTTTTTATGCAAATGCAAAGCATAAATAGTTATTGCTTTCCTTCTTATACAATATAATAAAATAACCAATTACTGTGGAATCATTAATAAATCTGTTTTTTCTCTTGATCAGGCTGTTGGTTGTCAGGATGGAACTATAGCGTACTATCAGCTAATATTTAGTACAGTACACGGTCTATACAAGGACAGGTACGCATACAGGGACAACATGACTGATGTCATTATACAGCATCTGATAACAGACCAGAAAGGTAAATATAGTCATTGCAGCTATTTTGGGAAAAGATCCCCCGGCTTAAATTGGGAAAAATTATGTGCCATTTTGGGAAATATAAGTTTTCTTCAAAAATTACCTTTACACATGATTTTTTTTTCATTTATCATATAACCTGTCATTTCTTAAAAGAAGCAAGTCAAAACAGTTGAATATTTCTTAAAGCTGAAATGTGTTTCATACCAAAATTTCTTTACTGACTCCACACCATATAAGCACAGAACTCCACACCAAGTTTGTACTTGTTTGAAGGTATAGTAATTAGCCCTTGATTTATAAACAAAGTTTCAGTAAACCCTATCCCAGGAGAAGATGAGGAGGTGAATGTTGCTGCAGCTAAAGCTATTAGAGAAGAGACTAAAGCTCCTCTTGAAACAGTTTCATATAAGAAATGTAAACCAAGTCTTAATGTTGACATTTGCTGTTTTACTTTATACTTATTTCATGTTTTATTGTTTATGTTTTTTATTTATTGTGACAAGAGTTCAAGTTTTAAGTTAGGTTGTGATAAGAATTCAAGTTTAAAGTAGGACTAGTAATAATTAGTAGAAGCCAGCAATTTGGCTTAATTAATTGAAATGATAATGTTTTTTCTCATTTCCGTTCATAATATGCCCAGCATATTTTTTCTCTCCAAAACTGACATTAGTTTTTATGGATATTTAATCATTGTTGTACAAAGTACTAAAAGTGAAGTTTTGATCACATTAAGAGATCAAAGAAATCGCCGATTATGAACTTGGGCTGTTTTTGTTTTTATTTTGACTGAGGTTTTCATATTAATTGCAAAGTTGGTTAAAAATCTTTAAGTGTGATAACAGAAATTATAAAAGAAAACCTATTGTAATCAAGTTTGCCATTTCTTTATTGGATATATATTTGTACATACAATGATTACATTGATTATATAGAAGAGTTGTGGTTTGATTTCAGTGAGAATCAAGTGTAGAGATCTAGTAAAGAAAATAGCTATATATAGGCACAGACTAGCTGTAAGTATTCAGTTTCTATATCTATCCATGATTATTATATGATTTTGATAACTTCCACTGAATTGCTTTACAAGATAACTAAATCATGGAAAAGAAAATCAAGATTGGTAGCCTGTTATAAAACTTGAAGCAATGGTGTTGTTTAGATACTGTTAGAATCTTGTGCTTTCAAAATTTGCCTCAAATATATGAAACAAAAAATAATGTCATCTCATTAAAAGGTGAACTTAGCAACAAAGTTTCAGTTGCCTTTATTTTTTTTTCCATCTCTGAGCACATTACTTTGTAGCAATCTCATTTTGTGACTCCATCAACTTTCAATGTTAGATGTGATGTCGTGGACTGAAATACAACCCTTACTAGGCTAAATATTTTATATGAACTTGTCCATATTTCAATTGGTACAAAACCATTCATCATTTATAGGGAAAATTTGTAAAATATGTACTGACTGTATAGTAAATTGTACTGACAATGATAAGACCGCATGGGTGTGACAGCTGATTTTTGTCTGCAATGGTTGCACGGATAGATACACTTGCCAACTGCATGGGTAATGTCAAAAATACGGTATTAAAGGTATTTTTTGTTTATTTTTATAGGTACAATTACCAGACAAGATTGTAGTGTACGAGTTATACTCTGACGATGCTGCAGATATGCACTACAGGGTCAAGGACAAGATAAACAGGAAGTTTGAATGTAACCTGCTTGTTGTCTGCTCGCAAAATATCATATTGTGCCAGGTAAATATTTTAAATGATTTTTTACAATTTTCCCCTTTTTCAAATGGAATTTCAGTAAAGGTTTCGAGTCCAGTGGTCAGTTGTCTTTCACCACTGATTAAGAAATTATGTGGGTTCAATAGTCAGTCACATGCAGAGAAATTGGGGATTACTAGTTAGTTATCCAGGTGGACAGACCACCGAGGTATGACCCATATTGTGTTAAAATCAGCCGGAAACCAGACAAACAAATAAAATCAGCGAAAGTTTTCATATCACCTGACTTTTCAAAAGACCTTCTATTACTACACTTTAAATCAGTTAGAATAGTGAATCCTACTGATTCTTTGTTGTACAGGTCGCTTCTTGTAGCTTAGTCAAGTAACATGGTGTTATGTTTTAAAAGAAATTATGATTTACAGGATCTTCTACATTTTGTTGTTTTGACAATTATCATTTTGGCATTAGTTTTAAAATAATTTTTATTGTTTATTTGCATTTTTAGACTGAAGAGGTGATTGTACTAACATATATATTAATTTTTATGTTGATTCATTTCATTCTTTTTTTTTTTACCTGTCATATACAATATTTAGGCTGCCCACATTCCATGAAACCATTTGTGGTCCATGGAATTAATGTGCACATGTAACAAAAATAGGCAGCACACCCTAAGAAATTGCATTGTTAAAAATAGTAGGCGCACCCTAAGAAAGTGCATTGTTGAAAATAGTAGCTGAAAGTGCATTGTTGAAAATAGTAGGCACACCTGAAGAATGTGCATTTTTACACCTTAGAAAGTGCATTGTTAAAATCTTTTTGAGGAATCTTTACTCACTTGGGACAGTTCGCACATATTTCAAACCCTTATACAACTAAATTGTCTTTAATAGAAAAAATCTCCAATTTTCTATTTTATATTATTATATAATTTTACTCTATTTTTAACCAATGGTTAGAAAGAATTTCCTTCCAATTTTGTGTATTGACTAAATTTAGAAGAAAGTATTCCAGCAAGACACCAGTGAAAATATGGAAAATATGCTTCACTGCAGTGAAAAATGAATTTTCACAGTGGGCAGCCTAGTGTTTATTTCATGATGCATGCATTTTTCTTTTCCCTTAAAATCTACAGTATTTGTAGTTTATTAAAAAATATACGTAAAATGTCAATTGTAAATAAAATATTCTATTTTTCAATTTTGTATACAGTAATCTTATGCACACATGATATAACGTTACCAGTTAGAACATTTTAACTGCACACTCCCTAATAATTCCAAAGAGCAGTATTTCACTGACAGACATTTTTTCAATGACAGAGGTCTTTAGATTTGTGATAAAACATTGTAAGCAAACAAAAACTAATAAATTATTTGAATATGTTTTCAATTTTAGAAGATTTTATTTGTACAAGATACCATATTACATGTAATGTTATTTTTACAAGATATTACATGTTATGTTATTTGTACAAGATAACATGTATTTTTTCCCCAAGATATTACATTTAATGTTATTTGTACATGATGTTACATGTAATCATATTTGGTTTTTTAGCTCACCTGTCACAAAGTGACAGGGTGAGCTTTTGTGATCGCTTTTCGTCCGGCGTCCGGCCGTCCGTCCGTCTGTCGTCCGTCCGTAAACTTTTACTTTAAATGACATCTCCTCATAAACCACTAAGCCAATTTCATCCAAACTTTACAGGAATGTTCCTTTGGTGGTCACCTTTAAAAATTGTTCAAAGAATTTAATTCCATGCAGAACTCTGGTTGCCATGGCAACCGAAAGAAAAAACTTTAAATATCTTCTTTTAAAAAACCATAAGAGCTAGAGCTTAGATATTTAGCATGAAACATCTTCTAGTGAGTGTCTACCAAGTTTGTTCAAATAAAAGCCCTGGGGTCAAAATTGGCCCCGCCCCGGGGGGTCATTGATTTTCCCTATATGCATATAGTAAAAACTTAAAAAATCTTCTTTTAAAGAACTCAAAGAGCTATGGCTAAGATATTGAGCATCAAACATGTTCTAATAGGTGTCTACCAAGTTTGTTCAAATAAAAGCCCTGGGGTCAAAATTGGCCCCGCCCCAGGGGGTCATTGATTTTCCCTATATGCATATAGTAAAAACTTAAAAAATCATCTTTTAAAGAACCAAAAGAGTTAGAGCTAAGATATTTAGCATGAAACATGTTCTAATACGTGTCTACCAACTTTGTTCAAATAAAAGCCCTGGGGTCAAAATTGGCCCCGCCCCGGGGAGTCATTGATTTTCCCTATATGCATATAGTAAAAACTTAAAAAATCTTCTTTTAAAGAACTCAAAGAGCTATGGCTAAGATATTGAGCATCAAACATGTTCTAATAGGTGTCTACCAAGTTTGTTCAAATAAAAGCCCTGGGGTCAAAATTGGCACCACCCCGGGGGTCATTGATTTTCCTTATATGTGTATTAGCAAAAACTTAAAAAATCTTCTTTGAAAAAACCCAAATAGCTAGAGTTAAGATATTAAGCATGAAACATCTTTTAGTGAGTGTCTACAAAGTTTGTTCAAATAAAAGACCTGGGGTCAAAATTGGCCCCGCCCCGGGGGTCATTGATTTTCTTTATATGTGTATAGCAAAAACTTAAAATCTTCTTTGAAAAAACCCAAATAGCTAGAGTTTAGATATTTAGCATGAAACATCTTCTAGTAAGTGTCTACAAAGTTTGTTCAAATAAAAGCCCTGGCCTGGCCCCAGGGGTGTCATTGTTTTTAACTATATGTGTATAGTAAAAACTTTAAAAAAATCTTCTTTTAAAAAGCCCAATGAGCTAGAGCTTAGATGTTTAGCATGAAAACGTCTTCTTATGGGTGTCTACCAAGTTTGTGCAAATAAAAGCCCTTGGGTTAAATTGGCCCTGCAACGTTGGGGGGGGGGGGGGGGCCTATATACAGGTGAGCGACCTCAGGGCCATCATGGCCCTCTTGTTTTATATATTACATGTAATGTTATTTGTTTAAGATACAGATTTGTACAATTACAGTTTTTGTTTTCTTTTTACAGTGTTTTATCACAGACTTCAGCACTGTCCCTTATTAAATATATCTATAAATGCATGTTATCTTCTAAATTTTCGGATATATTCTGTATAGGATATGCATGATTTATACAAAACTTGTTAGTTATTCCTTAGATTTTTATATTTGCTTTGAGCAGATTTGTTGTCAGTTGAGCATTCATGTTTGGTTTTTGTCATAGTTAAAGTTTCCTGTATATGACTTCATTTAACAAAAATGGAAACCTAACAAAACTTGTGTGTTTAAATTAGAATGGTCATATTACCTGGCCACTTTAGTTGAGTGAAATTAACTAATCTGCCTTTATTTACTAGTTATACAAAATATCTCAATGCAGATTACTTACATGCTATGCCAGTGTTTTTTTTCACTTTTGGGGGAAGGGGGTGGGTGCCCTTCGGAGGGGGAAAAATGCAATAGGAGGGGGAATTTTATTTGTTAACTTTGCGGTGGAAAAGGGGAGCAACTCTTGCAACACAAATCTAAAATACGTCTCTTTTTCTTAATATACGGATCTAAAATATCGATGTGGCGCATGTTAAACTTGTTTGGACGCCGGGAGTAGCTCCCCTTATCTACCAGAGAACGATTTGTAAACAGCCTTGCTTAACAGTAACTCTTACAGGCATAAAATAAAACATTTTTCGCAGTTAGTTGGAAAAAAAAAAGATATTCATTGCAGGCAAATTTGGGCTGCTATATAGGCGGAAATTTAGGCTTTGAGGGGGGGGGGGAAACCTCATATACTATTTTGAGGGGGGATGGGGCCTAATTTTGCCGAATATTTTGGTGAAAAAAAAACACTGTATGCATTTCAGAGTTGCAGTTTCCATACAGTTTATATCTTTATAAATATAATATTTTCTTGTAGGATAAGCGATTGCAGTGTTACAGTTTCCAGGGAGTGAAGGAGAAAGAATGGGTAATGGAGTCATTGATTAGATATATCAAGGTGATAGGAGGACCTCCAGGCAGGGAGGGGCTTCTTGTAGGCCTCAAAAATGGACAAGTAAGATTTTAAATTTATTCCCTTTTCAGCAGTATTTAGTGCAAAATCATTATTATTCATGAGGAACTAATTTTCGTGGTTTGCATGGATATTTAGATCCAATTTTGTCTGCTGTAAGATTATTTTGCATCACATTATTTACATTTTACCTTTTGGAAAAATGGACTGTCCACGAATTTAAGAACCCATGGAAAATGTTCTTTGTGACAAAACAGGAAATTTCATGCCCATGAAATTAAGTGACTTCACAGTACTAATTTTTATTACAAGCCTTTATCTTCTTTATAGAAACAAAAAATTTATGTAGTCACAAGAAAAAATTGTACATATAGTTTAGGAAAGAACATTCTTTATAAAGTAATTACTACTCATTTTAGCAAAACTGATTGCAGTATGAAAATAGATACGAATGGTAAATAAAAAAATTGGTAAAACTTATGTACAGTATGTAAATTTATTTACAAAATATAAAATTTTGTTTGCATAGATCCTGAAGTTATTTGTAGACAACCCGTTCCCTATAGTGCTGTTAAAACAGAGCACGTCTGTACGCTGTCTGGACATGAGTGCCAGTAGAACACGTCTAGCTGTTGTTGATGAACACAACACGTGTTTAGTTTATGATATCAACACAAAAGAGCTCCTATTCCAGGTATGAAACTTTGTTCAACTTTTTTGTAATTTTAAAGATTATACAGACTTTATTTTCGTTTGATAGAAAAAGTAAGGTATAAGGTTATAGAAATGTTGGGACCTACCAGCATTGAGCAATGAGCATAAATTTCTTGCTTCAAGGAAATGGCTTGCCCCTAACAGGGTTAAATCCATGGGGCTAGTAATCCTTAGATTTCTAATCTGACCTATTAACCACTCGGCCATGCTGCAATACTTTAGATTACACTTTATCTTCGTTAATTTTTGTGAATTGAAAGTTTACACTGTGTCATAAAAATTACACTGTTCTGTTTGCTAATATTGCAATTCCACTTGTAAGCCAAGTAATTGAACAAGATGATTGTGAATAAAAAATGGAAAAGAATGATTCACAAAGACAATCTAGACATGACACCAAAATATATTTAGGGGATGATTATTTTCCACATTAATTAGATTCTGATGGTTCAAGTTAATTTCTCTTTAATTTTATTTTTCAGGAACCTAATGCTAACAGTGTGGCATGGAACACTCACTACGAGGACATGTTGTGTTTCTCTGGAAATGGTTTACTGAATATAAAAGCCAGCAATTTCCCTGTCCATCAACAGAAACTACAGGTATAAGCATTGTTTCATGAAATACATCTATAAATTAAATATTGATGAAATAAAATGTGTATGTTCATTTTAAGTATTTTCACTGTAAAAAAAAATTTTTTTCACTGCAGTAAAACATATTTTCTGTATTTACACTGGTATCTTGCTGGGCTACTTTCTCCTTAATTAAGCATATACACAGAATTAAAAAAAGAAGTCTATCAAATTGTTATGTGTAAAAAAGGAAAAATTGTATATAATAAACAGAAAATTCATCTTGTGTTATGAAAATTATCATATTTCACTTGTGGCTACTGCCACTCATGAAATATTTATTTTTATACCACTTGATGAAAATATATTCTGTATTTATAGAAAAACTTGAATATTCCTCTATGTTTTACTCCTGTTTTGATGATTTTAAATCAGCAAACAATTATGTAAAAATCTTCATACTTAAGATTAAAGTGAACAACCTTACCTGGATTTGTTAAAGATGTATTAAAATGAATAGCAGCATTTTACTTAAGAATGTATAATCTTATTCAAATGTTTTTTTATGCTGACAATTCTTTTCATACTAAACAATGTCAAAATGGACTTGGCCTGCTTTGAATTTGGAACTGGACAATGTATTGCTAACTAGTTTTCAATACGATCTGAATATTTCTTAAAATCTGTATGTAAGATGTGATGGTTTTTTAGAATGTCACGTCTCCACTCTCCTAAACTTGATATTCTGTTGATGTATAAGAGCTGAAATATTTGTTTGAAATTTAAGATTTCACTATAGTTAAAAACTAATTATAGATAGTTGTATAATATTGTTCAACCTTTGCAAAGCAACACCCTCTCGGAGATTTTGGTTGTTATTGAGAGGTGTTGCTCTAGAGAGGTTAAATTTGTTTTGAAATCTTTAAGAAGAGTTGATACTATTGTTGTATAAAGGTTACTGCTTTACAGAGGGTTGCTATGCAAAGGTTTTATTGTATATGTTATATTTTTAGGGTTTTGTGGTAGGATTCAGTGGGTCCAAGATATTTTGTCTACATATCTACTCCATGTCATCTGTTGATGTTCCACAGTCTGCTCCAATGTACCAGTACCTGGAGAAAAAACTCTTCAAGTCAGTATAGTCTATAATGATATGTCACATGATTTCATCTTTTATTGTGTAATACTATTTATATCATAGTGTGACGATGTGCTGAAATTTTGCAATAAGATTTGCAGCCTCATAAATTACTTGTTATCTGAGTGTGCATTTGAATAATGTATGATTACTTTTCAGAACATGTTTGGATGTGAATTTGCAAAATCTGCAAAAAATTAGATGTGAAATTATTGTTATGTCTGACAACATGTTACATTTTAATGATTCAAATTTCAATGACTGCAAAATAGGTGTTGATAGGTGGTATAAGAATACAGTTATCAATTACATTTGTTTAGAATTTGAAATGAAGTGAAAATGATGACTTTTTATGTGTGTTTCATAGTTAAAGCTTTGATTTTGAAAGTTTTTTGACAAAAAAATAACATAAGGACAGTTCTCACTAGTACTTGTGATATGTTTTTAGTTAACCTTTTAAATGATTGCCAAGTTTTATAAAACAAGAAAATGTAATTTTTCAGGGATGCCTACAAGGTAGCATGTCTGGGTGTGACAGACGGTGACTGGGAGACTCTCGCACATGAAGCTCTCGAAGGTCTCGACTTCGATACTGCCAAGAAAGCATTCATCAGGATCCGTGACCTGAGATATCTGGAGCTTATTCACAATATTGAGGTATAGACAATGCTCTGTAAAGATATTTTTGAAAATCTATTTCTTGAGAAATAGCATTTTGCAAATTTGGTTGTCATTGGCAATTTTATGTTAATGAAAATTTGAAAGATCATTTTAGTTTAAAGGCTTTTATGGTCAGCTGTTTGTGTTGCCCTGACTTTATTTGCTGCAACTTGAATTTTAAACGAAACAAGAAAAATCAACAACTGGAGCAAAGTTTAGTGCTGCAAATGAATGCATATTAATACACTTGTTACTACATGTATATATAGTCACAAAATTGCCTGTAATTTCAACTGATTATGAGTGTCACGTGACCGATTATTAACCTCTTATTATTTTGAACAAATAACCAGTCAATAAACTATCATATGTTTTTCACCTGATATAATTATATTCAGAGTTTAAATGCTTCTCGAGAAGTAAACATAAATACACTTCATTGTGTCATATATAAATGGGATTATTAGAGAGTGAAAATAGTCAAATATTACTGTAAATTATTATTATTATTATTATTGTAAATTAAAAAATATATATTTAACATCCTACAGGAGCGTAAGAAACGTGGTGAGAATGACAATATGGTGTTCCTCGGAGATGTTTATGGTTACCAAGGAAAATTCCATGAGGCGGCGAAATTGTTCAAGAAATCTGGACAAGAACACAAGGCAATGAACATGTATACAGATCTCAGAATGTTTGACTATGCGAAGGTAAGATCATTATTTGGGTACTCGTTTTTATGCTACCTTTATGTAATGTTTATGCTACCTTTATGTAGTGTTTATGCTACCTTTATGTAGTGTTTATGCTACCTTTATGTAATGTTTATGCTACCTTTATGTAATGTTTATGCTACCTTTATGTAATGTTTATGCTACCTTTATGTAATGTTTATGCTACCTTTATGTAGTGTTTATGCTACCTTTATGTAATGTTTATGCTACCTTTATGTAATGTTTATGCTACCTTTATGTAATGTTTATGCTACCTTTATGTAGTGTTTATGCTACCTTTTTGTAATGCAGTTCAAACAGTCGAAAAAAAAAATATTTAAAAGAGAATGTTAAAAGTTTTTATTTTTATTAAATAGACATGAACAATACAGAAATTTTATATCATGTTGTTTTGATAGAATTTTTCTTCTATTTCAATAAATTGGTCACAGTTTAATTTTCTTTACGCCCAATTGAAAACTGGTTGTATTACGGGTGCACACCAGATGGCCAGGCTTCGTCCAGTTTTGTCCGGAACATATCTTCTATGTGCTTGGAGAGATTTAAATATACTTGACTAAATGTTCACCTACTAACATATTACAAGCATTTAAGTTAAATGACTAATATATACATGTATGTAATGTATTTTTTTCTCTAACAGGAGTTTATTGGTTCTGGAGATCCTATGGATAAGAAAATGTTGATAACAAAACAAGCTGACTGGGCAAAGAGCAGTAATGAACCCAAGGCAGCAGCTGAGATGTACATTAGTGCCGGGGAATATGTGAAGGCCATAGAGATAATTGGTGATCACGGATGGTCGGAAATGTACGATCCTTTCATTCTTACTACTTTATTCATCTAGCATAAGGTCAAAGGTCAAATTGCAAGTGATGAAGAAAATAACTCATTTGTTTATCTACTTATCATGTTGGCAAATTACAGGGTTATTGTAAGCAACAAAAATGTTCTTTTAGTTAGCTCAATTGCCTGATTTTATGATTTTTTTTTATTTTTTTTTTTAAGTTTTGACTCCTTATAACGTAAAAACTTTGCACCATGAGTCCATTCTACTATAGCTTGAACCTGAATATTAATTGTTTTACAAAAGGTGTTGGCATATATGATAAATATTAGAACAAAAGATTGATGGTTTTACTTGCATGAAATAATGCAAAAAATGCTATTCCACCATTAAAGCTAGACAATTGACATCTGAACTGTACAATGTCAGTGGATCTTGAAACCTAACCAGCAAAAAAAGAAAAACAAAAACAAGTTTTTGAGATTAATTAACTTGCAACGGCAGGCAGTCTTATCATCCTAAACACCTTTAAGGGTTATGGAGCAAACATAAGGCATCCTATACAAACAAAAGGAATATATTTATCTAATTACAGGTTGATAGATTTAGCGAGAAAATTAGACAAGGCTGACAGAGAGTCATTATCACGATGTGCACATCACCTGGGTAAACTGGAACAATATGGTTACGCTGCCGAGGTGTTTAGTAAAATGGGAGATCATAAATCACTGATCATGTTGCATGTGGAAGCTAAACACTGGGAAGATGTTAGTATACATTATTCAATCTTATACTGAAATGTTGATTCTTTCAAATAACAACATTTCCTTATTCATGGATATACATGTATCATTATTATAATATATAATGTTATGGCTATACTGTACTTTTCGGAATGAAAAAATCAAGTTTTCTTCAGATTCGGTTTTTCTTCTGCATTATATATTTGTCTTTGTGTATATATAGTAAATATGTTTTTATTTCTGAAATAAAGTATTTGATGCCAGGTGTGGAGTGGCCAAAGCATAACTGCTCTGTCAACAACAACATTTAGAGCAGAATCTATTTATAATACATGTCACTTCATTTTGATAACTGTATCGTTTTTATGGGTCTCGCATTGTAAATTTGGTATGATAAGGAAGCTATCAAGCTAGCATAGGCAATGTCTGTGGTTCTGACTCTGGTGCCGTTTTATGCCTCAAATAATGCATGGAGGGCACCTGATGTCTCTCTGCAACTAAAGCTTAAAAGCTGCTATCTGAAATTCACAGTGTTGGTGCAGTGTAAGACTCCACAAAAAATATGTACATGCATCTAAGAGTATTATGAAATTTTAATTTACAGGCATTTACCCTGGTAGAAAAACACCCAGAATACAAAGAAGATGTGTATGTACCATATGCCCAGTGGTTGGCAGAAAATGACAGATTTGAAGAGGCTCAACAAGGTATATAAACAACATCTGCACTTGATATAAGTTTGTATTAACTGAGACATATGAATTGTCTTTATGAATTTGATTTTTATTATGTCATTCATAGCTACCTGGTTTAAACACATTTTTTACTCAAAGCTATTCCCTACAATAAACTGTTATGACATAAGGCATCAGTTTAACATTATCAACTAGGTCTGTCAGCAGCTATTTCAAACCCAACTTGACATAAAAACTCTGTAACTGTAGTTATCTATAGAATGAGTTAGTCATGTCAAATTAATTCCAGTGTAAAACAGTGTTTGTTAATATGCAGGGCTTCGGTTAATAGAAGTTTGGGAGTCATTTACTCATTGATTTTGGCTTGTGACTTCCAATCTTCTTTACTTATATAATGTGACTTCCAATATCAGAGATGATGCAGTCTGTGACTTCCAAAATTTGAAACTTAATGGGAGGCCATATTATGTGAAATACTTTTCTGATGAATAACCTACGCTCTACTAATGTAGATTACGATAAAAAAAATACAACTACAATCAATGATTTATATATGTTTACCTGGTTTATATGATGAGCAATAAAAATGGAACAATTATTGAGAACTATTAACTTTGGTTTGTTTCAGCATTCCACAAGGCAGGCCTACAAGCGGAGGCAGTGAAAGTTTTAGAACAGTTAACACACAATGCAGTGGTAGAGAGTAGATTTAATGATGCAGGCTACTATTTCTGGAAACTCTCCATACAGTGCTTAGATATAGCTAGAGGTAATGATTAAGGATTTAACTCACTACAGTGTTGGAACAGTTACTCTAGACGCTTGTAAAAATCATGATCACAAAGTAGAAAAATATTGCATTTATCTGTTGGATCTTATATCATTTTCATTCATTATTGTATATACTTTGGTGTGAAGAGATGAATTACACGAATTAAAGCTCACTTTGGCAGGTGTAAATTAGGTGTAGATTAAAGCATTTTATCATTCAAGCACCTTGAATATACCTGAATACTGTATTTAGCGTGATGCTCCAACACTTTTTTAGCTCGACTATTCGATAAGAATAAGTAGAGCTATTGCAGTGACCCGAGCGTCGGCGTCGGCGTAACCACTTATGTTAAAGTTTTTGTAATAGTTCAAATATTTTCAAAGTCCATTGACATATGGCTTTGAAACTTTGCACACTTGTTCACCATCATGACCCCAACCTGTAGACAGGAGGAGGTAATTCTATCAAGCATTTTGACAGAATTATGCCCCTTTTTCGACTTAGAATTAATGTTAAAGTTTTTGTAATACCTCAAATATTTTCAAAGTCCATTAACATATGGCTTTGAAACTTTGCACACTTGTTCACCATCATGACCCCAACTTGTAGACAGGAGGAGGTAACTCTATCAAGCATTTTGACAGAATTATGCCCCTTTTTTGACTTCGTCGGCGTAACCACTTATGTTAAAGTTTTTGTAATACCTCAAATATTTTCAAAGTTCATTGACATATGGCTTTGAAACTTTGCACACTTGTTCACCATCATTACCCCAACCTGTAAACAGGAGGAGGTAACTGTATCAAGCATTTTTTTTGCTCACCTGTCACAAAGTGACAGGGTGAGCTTTTGTGATCGCTTTTCGTCCGGCGTCCGTCTGTCCGTAAACTTTTACTTTAAATGACATCTCCTCATAAACCACTAAGCCAATTTCATCCAAACTTCACAGGAATGTTTCTTTGGTGGTCACCTTTAAAAATTGTTCAAAGAATTTAATTCCATGCTGAACTCTGGTTGCCATAGCAACCGAAAGAAAAAACTTTAAATATCTTCTTTTAAAAAACCATTAGAGCTAGAGCTTAGATATTTGGCATGAAACATCTTCTAGTGAGTGTCTTCCAAGTTTGTTCAAATAAAAGCCCTTGGGTCAAAATTTGCCCCGCCCCGGGGGGTCATTGATTTTCCCTATATGCATATAGTAAAAACTTAAATAATCTTCTATTAAAGAACCCAAAGAGCTAATGCTAAGATATTTAGCATGAAACATGTTCTAATGGGTGTCTACCAAGTTTGTTCAAATAAAAGCCCTGGGGTCAAAATTGGCCCCGCCCGGGGGGTCATTGATTTTCCCTTAATGCATATAGTAAAAACTTAAAAAAATTTCTTTTAAAGAACTCAAAGAGCTATGGCTAAGATATTGAGCTTGAAACATGTTCTAATAGGTGTCTACCAAGTTTGTTTAAATAAAGCCCTGGGGTCAAAATTGGCCCCGCCCCAGGGGGTCATTGATTTTCCCTATATGCATATAGTAAAACTTAAAAAATCTTCTTTTAAAGAACCAAAAGAGTTAGAGCTAAGATATTTAGCATGAAACATGTTCTAATAAGTGTCTACCAAGTTTGTTCAAATAAAAGCCCTGGGGTCAAAATTGGCCCCGACCCAGGGGGTCATTGATTTTCCCTAATTGCATATAGTAAAAACTTAAAAAATCTTCTTTTAAAGAACTCAAAGAGCTATGGCTAAGATATTTAGCATCAAACATGTTCTAATAGGTGTCTACCAAGTTTGTTCAAATAAAAGCCCTGGGGTCAAAATTGGCACCCCCCCCCCCGGGGGTCATTGATTTTCCTTATAATTATGTGTATAGCAAAAACTTAAAAAATCTTCTTTGAAAAAAACCCAAATAGCTAGAGTTAAGATATTAAGCATGAAACATCTTTTAGTGAGTGTCTACAAAGTTTGTTCAAATAAAAGACCTGGGGTCAAAATTGGCCTCGCCCCGGGCGTCATTGATTTTCTTTATATGTGTATAGCAAAAACTTAAAATCTTCTTTGAAAAAACCCAAATAGCTAGAGTTTAGATATTAAGCATGAAACAACTTCTAGTAAGTGTCTACAAAGTTTGTTCAAATAAAAGCCCTGGGGTCAAAACTGGTCCGGCCCCAGGGGTGTCATTGTTTTTAACTATATGTGTATAGTAAAAACTTTAAAAAAAAATCTACTTTTGAAAAGCCCAATGAGCAAGAGCTTAGATGTTTAGCATGAAACATCTTCTTATGGGTGTCTACCATGTTTGTGCAAATAAAAGCCCTTGGGTTAAATTGGCCCTGCAACGTTGGGGGTTGGGGGGGCCTATATACAGGTGAGCGACCTCAGGGCCATCATGGCCCTCTTGTTTTACTTTCAAGCACTTAGAATAGTCGAGCGTTGCTGTCCTACCGACAGCTCTTGTTTAGGCTCACTTTTTGTTTTACCCTTTAATTTTTACGGAAAAATTCAGAATATTAAATGAGTGAATAGCAAACAGTGCAAACAGATATGACATGCATGGATGTACCAGCAGATCTTAGTCCATTCTGTCCACTTTGGGTAGAATCAATTGCCACTACCAGACTGAAAATTAAACATAAGAAATGTAATAACAGACATAATATGATTGTATACAGCAGATTATTTTGTGTTTTTATAGAAGAACCAGACAAGAGTGACGAGATGTTGCCCAAATTTTATGATTTCCAGAGGAAAGCCGACATGTATTATGCTTACCATTCCATTCAGAGATACACAGTAAGTTTACACCCTGGTAACTAACACTTATTTTTGTAAGGTTTAATATAGAGGCCAAGTGAGCATCTTTGATAAATTGGGGGAAAAATGCATTTTGAAAAAAAAGACCAATAGCCTGTTGTTAAAGGTGTCTCGGGTTCTCAGGTTTGAGCCCTAAAACGGCCATAGCTATGTGTCCTCATATGGCATCAGTACTGATGTAGGAACGGATACACATTAGTAACAAGAACTTTTCACATTCCGGTTTATATAAATTCTTGTAACTGAGGCTTATCCAAAAATTAAGTTTATTTGTTTCTATAATTATAAAGATGGTAATAAAAACTAGTTGTTTTATAGAAATAGGTTTTATGAAGTTTTTGATGTGAAGTTATATTTATTGTGATAGCAAATATCTGTTTAATCAATTTAATGTGAATTAATTTAAATTCTAATGTATTTGGATTCTTAAGAGTTTTTGAGGGATGCTGAAATGAAATATTCATGTACATGTTGAATAATGAGACGTGAATTATATACATGTTGTTTCTTCCTGAAATATCTGTCCACCTTCACTCTATAATGCTTCACACTCTTTTAGTATTTTGTGCGGGAATTATGTAAAACTGATGTTGAATATGAAAATCATTGTTGTATTATTTATATTATTTCAGGATGAGCCGTTTACGTCACATCTTCCGGAGGCGTTGTTTAACATTTCACGTTACTTGTTACATCAGATGCATGATAACATTCCACATGGTATTTCTAAAGCGTATCCTTTTTCCATATATGTCACTAAAAAGTTATAGATAGTTCCAGATATTTACAAGATTTACCTCCCTTTTCCAAAAGTGGCAGCCATTCGGGGATCAATATTCTATTTCATATACTGGTAATTGACAAAATATGAAAAATGTAATATAAACAGCTGATTTAGGTGAACTGTCAAATTCTATCATATTTATAAAGGAAAATCATATTATACCACCAATATCTAAAATATCTTAACTATGTTACATGAATATGATAGAATTGTGATAGATTGTTATCTTATCTAAGCATAAACTAAATTAGAAATGACCCCCATCTATAGTCATGTATGTGAAAATTTATTCCTTTTCTTCAATTTTCTACACAACTGTTATATTAGGAGACTTTAACTTTAAGAGGTCTGCACACTTAGCAGATGCCATATAATTTGACTTTCTTTTATCTTTAATAATTGACAGCAAAACTCACTTGAATATACTAACTTAATTCAGAGAGCCTAATTTAACAGTTATAAAGGCCATGATCTTTATCTTGTTGATATTAATGATAAATAAGAGGTCTTTGATAATGTAAATAGAAAAATTTACAAAATATAACGATCCATATTTGCAAGTATTCTGTTTGTGTAAAGAACATGTCACTGCACAAAAATGAATTGTGCTTGAGACAATATTTCTTGTATGCATAGGTGAATGACTTAAAGATGACTGGCTACGAATCTCAAGAGTGACATAGCTTGAAGATTTTAATTCCATTTGCTTAATAGTTTTTTGTTCATGTGAGATAAACGAAATCAATTAAAATAAGCAGGTTATTATAGTTATAGTTCATGGCAATATTATCCTTAATGTAACACAGTGGCACATTATATGCACTAGCAAAGCAGAGTAAAAACCTAGGGGCGTATAAACTAGCTCGATATGCCTACGAGAAACTACAGAACACTCGAGTTCCACCAAGGTTCCAGGAGGCAGTAGATCTAGGGAGTATCATTATCAGATCTAAGCCCTTCTTAGATGGGGAGGTAATGACTTAACCTTCTTATTTGTGATCTAAAATTTTTGTTCAGAAAGTTTCATGTAAATGTTTATATTAGTGGATATTGATAGGTTTAAGGCATCTTGATATTTAGTATACATCTTTTTATGGTTGATTGTGGAGCAGTCAAAACTGTTGCCCCAAGGTATCAGTGATATTTGGAACTGTTGCCAGAGGCTGAAGTTCATTTAATCACTACGCATGCACAGGATTTCAGGGGTTCAATTAAACAGTTGTAAATAAGGAATTAGTATTTATAGAAGGCATTAGTTAATTATCTAATATCTCAGTGATTATGATTGTAAACTTTCTTCAGTGATATTTTACCAATTTAGTGACACCCTGTGTCATAGAGCAACACTGTATAAAGATAAATGAGCCGCATCATGACAAAACCAACATAATAAGTTTGCCACCAGCATGGATCCAGACCAGCCTGCGCATCTGCGCAGTCTGATCAGGATCCATGCTGTTCGCCTACCAACTCTATTACAAGTAGAGAAACTGATAGCGAACAGCATGGATCCTGATCAGACTCTGCTGATGCGCAGGCTGGTCTGGATTCATGCTGGTCGCAAACCCATTATGTTGGTTTTGTCTTGACGTGGCTCATATATTAAAGTCATGTGCTATACATTGTTGTATTTATACACAGAAAACTCTTTGTAGATTTATATCACAGGAAATTTAGCCAGAACTGTTACCACATAAGAGAAAGCTGGCAGTCTGTAGACTCTTGGCACATTTCATGTCTTTCTGTTACAATTTAAAGATGGTTGTCTCCTCCACTTCTAATTCAAATGAATTATGTAGAGAAGTTGTAAATTAATTGAGGATTAAATAGACAGCACATGCACAGAATCAGGATTCCTACAATGCCTATGGAGGGTATACTAAACAATTCACTAGTATATTGTATACTAAACAATTCACTAGTATATAAATACTGCAATTGTGCTAAAAAATTCTTATATTATATTGTTATTTTCAGGAGTTGTTGCCGATGTGTTACAGATGTTCGACGACTAATCCACTACTGAATAATGGAGGTAGTCAGTGTATCAACTGTAAACAACCGTTCGTACATTCCTTTGTCTCCTTTGGTGAGTTTAAAGAATTGTTTGCTTATTTTATTTCCAGTTACCAATCCTTACTTAATAAAATAGATGGATTTGTCCACCTTTCAATCTAGATAAAAATCATTTGTCATTTAAAGGACAATTTTTAAGCATTAATTGGTTTAAAAGTGGACATAGCAGACTATGATCAGATGTGTTGGCCGATGTATTGGTCTGTACTGGTTGTATGTGTAAAATGTTTTGCGGCCCACAGGCAAAGGTTAAATAGTTTAGGTACTGATTCTTGCTAACCTTGGGTGCTACAAATTTTAAGTAACATCAGTGGTCAAAAGTAGTTCACCTGCTGTAGCTATGAGATGCATTGTCACCGGTAATTTGAACCCATTCAATTGCCACTTACAATCACGCAGGATAAAACATTGGCTGAAATTCTAATGCTTCTACCATTTAAGGCAACCCCTCAGCCACAAGGGGCAGTTGAGTATTTGAACTATGTAAGACCATTCTTGCATCCTAGTATTAAGTGTTTATTTTAATATAAAGGCATTTTATTAACTTTTTTTTCTACCACGATAGATTTATCCCATTTAATGAAGTTTTCTTACACTGTATACAAACAACATTTTGATATTTTTATAGAGGTGTTACCCCTGGTTGAGTTTGTGTTAGAAAGTGGTATAACAGATGAGGAGGCCATACAGATTCTAGATCTTTCTATACCTAAAGAAAAGAAAGAGGAGAAAAATTGGCAGGAATCTAGAATGGGCAGTATCCTTATCTAGCAGACATTGTGTTCTGTTATATGTGTACTCATGCACAGGAATTAAAGAGTATTGCATTTATGTATAGATTATAATTTATTACACTTTCATAAAGAATTTTCATTTCATTTCACTTATACCAAGTCATGCTTAAGTAGATAAACGTCTACTACATATACTTGCAGAAATTATAGTTCATTACACTTAATTGCTGGGCCATTTAACATTTACTTTCTAGAAAATCTGTGATGAAAATATATCGTCTAAGATCCTATTTTATGTATTTATTGCATCAATAAAAAATTTGACAAAACTAAACACATGCATTCAACAAATGTCTGTATAGAATATATCAGTATATATTAAATACACAAAAATCTTTTAAAATGAAAATGGGAAATGACCTTGACCTAGATTTAAGATATGCAGTCACTGAGACTTGGTGATGAACAGGAGGAAGAGATTGAAGAAGAGGATCCTTTCTCTACTAAACTGATGACCTTTGATGTGAGTTTTTCAAAATCATCGTATAACATATGATTAGCATGGAAAAAGAAAGAATAAAAACACAACTAAACAATTGTAATGTTAATTCCTCAATAATTTTTTGAGTTATCCCCCCTTGAACTAAATTTTTTGGCCAAAATTGCCTGTTAAATGGGATGATTTTATATTTATCAACATTAAAATTGCATCACTGGATAATCATGATAAGAAATAGTTCTTAGACAAGGGATATTATCCCGAAAGTAATATTTTTATTGAGTTATTCCCTTTTTTAACTTAACTTTATGAAAATTTGTTATGAATAGATCAGCATTAACACCTTATATGACGTTCTTGTGTTGTTTTTTTTGATACAAGAGTTCATTTCCTGAGATATTTCGCCTCGAATATAGAATAAGAATACTATTTACTTCGCTGAACTTGTGAAATGGACTTGCCATACTATTAATTTTTAGTTGTATTTATTAGTTTAAGAGGTTTCAATATTAAATTGCCAAAATAATTGAAAAGCCACCAATATAAAGTCTTGCCAGACTGCAGGGTAAGACCATTATCCCTGATTGAATTGAAATAATAATGAAATAACATAATTATAATCTGGTATTTACAGCAAGAGAGTACAGAGTTCAGACCTGTGATTGTAAATCGTAACGTGTTAAAGACGATGTCTCGAGCAGACGTTTACATCAGAAAATGGCCGAAACCACTGCGCCATCAATATTTCAGATCGCTGTTACCAGATGTGACGATAACAATGTGTCCTAGTTGTTCAAAGGTTAGTCTAGCACTTATTTTATTTAATGTTGTATTATAGTATTTTACAAAGTTTTATACATAAAATTTCAGTTTGTCTACTTAGCCCAATAGGGCGAGCATTTTATTTTGGGTTAAATTCTATCCTCTGGCGAGACGGGAAAAAAATTCCCCTAATATTTTTATCTCCCAAAATGGGGTCAAATTTAAGCTTTGTCCCCTCACTGCTGATTCCAAATCATACCCCGGATAATTAATTTGTTTGGGAAAAATTAATTCAGATTTCTGTATTAATATTTGTTGTTTCAAAAAATTAAAATGAAATTTGGGACCCTAATAAAAAATGGATGAAAACACATGCCCCTTTATGGCCGAGGTTTTGTCCCAAACACAAAAGCCCCAGCCCCAAAATGACCCCAAACCCCTTTTTTGAAATGTTTTTTAAATCCAACCAAAAAAAAAGAATAAAAAACAGGGAAAGGGGAAAATTTTTAAAAAAATAATGGGTTTTACCTTTTTTGCCCCGAAAAAAATGTTCAGCGGCAACCCCCCATGGCTCTCTCATCTATCTGTTACACTAAAAAAGATATGATAATCAGTCATCTCATTAGTATTACACAGAGAAAACACATTTCAAATTTGGGAGTTACCCCGTAAACTGCAATAAGATAACGATATTACCACAAAAAGGAAATGCCAGCAATGATTTGCAACATAATTTTAATAAATTAGATTATGGTTTCATACCTTTGGTTTCAGTAAATATATGAAGTACCTTTGGTAATATTACAAACTGTTGAACTTTTATTTCAGTTGTTCCACACAGATGATTTTGAACTACAGTATTTACAACATGGTCACTGCCCGTTCTGCAGGCACAAAATTGAATCCTAGATCTGACGTGGAAACTTAAAATTCTCTCTGAGAGACCTCATGGTGCACCGTGTTCAACAGCTTGTTTAAACCTTCTCTCTGAATATGTGTAACTGGACCTTTGAGTTTTGAATTTGGAACTTTGAACTTTCAATGTGAAAAAATTGATCAGAGACTGGTCAAATTGCATGGATATGCAAACTGGCCCTGCTCTATACTTGTAGTAAAGGCAATTTCCCAGAGGGCCAGGGGTGAGGAATAAAATCTACTGTCTACAAAGTCCGTCCAAGACAAAAAAAAACATATCAAATGTTTTATTTGTTGTGCCTTCAAGACATGTTACTTTAAAATGAAATCCAGATATATTTTTTAATTTAACTATTATTCAATATTATTGTTTAAATTCGAAGACTTAAACCTTCAGACATAAAAACTTGTCATTTTCAGAGACAATTGTTATATAATTCAATTAAGATAATGTAGAATAAAGTGTACATTTTATTAGTGGTCAATGCTAGAATTAATCCTTAGAATTTTAATGAAATATCCTTGTGAAATAGGATTAAAATGATTTAAATAATAGCTTTTCTTTTTACAAAAGCTTCAAGTATCCTTTGCTAAACCCATCAATATTTGCTATATCCAGGTGTCTTTAATCGGCACCATTGAAGTAGAAAAAAACAGTACTTTACACCAGTTATTACATTTTAAGTATTGATACAGAAATATGGATCTGTTATGTTAATTTCTTAGTTTAAAAACATCATTTACTTCCATCCTTCCACACTTTACAGCTTGGTTCAGTTGTTTTTTATATTAATTTTCACACATCAACTCTTTGTTTATTTATTTTGTTATTTGTTTCATGAAATTTGTCTTTAGTTATACTGGTTGTGATTCCATATTTTTTTTTAAAGAATTATCTAATTTTATATTTGTAAATAGTCTTTATTTATTTTGAAAAAACTCTACTCTTCCTCCACATATGAATGATTTTTATATTCTAATAAAATAATGGATAAAATTTTACAGCTGTTTCTCTCTTATGTTTGCAGACCTTGTGTAAATGACTTGGCCCTCTGTAAAAGCACAATAAGCCTTGGAAATGAGTTAAGATTTCTCCTCCGAATCTTTTTAAATAATGAATTAGATACTAATAACATGAAGAAAGCAATGATGAATGTGAACGAATATGTCGAAAAATTGACAAAACTTGTAGAGGTACATATAGTCTGTCTAGAGGTCCATACAAAACATTATATCCCAATTACTAATTACACCCCCCTCCCCCACCCCCTTAAAAAAAAGAAGATGGTTAAGCTATATGACCAAGGAGCATAAAAATATAAGATTATGGTGCATAATGAACTTTGTCCAGACATAGTAAAAGGAGACCTTTTATGTCTAAGAAATGCAATTGTTTTTATTTCTCAAAAACTTTTTTATTTTTGGTATCTTGTTACAGTTTTTCAAAAAAAATCATTTCATATACATTAATTTTTTTGGTTATTGGTATAATTATATTGAATTTGCATTATGTTTGGAAGTCAAAATACTACTTTGTATACATTTTGCTACATTTACGGCACATAACTGCACATTCAACACTACTTCCTCAAGTTGTTAAACATCAAATATGCTCTTGGTCCATTAACATTATGTTTGATATTTCTAAATAATTAAAAAATATAGATTTCTAAGGCACAATATACCTATAAGATATTTAACAATATGAACATTGTCCTAGTTCTATATTGGTGGCACAGGTATGTCATTTTTGCCACTGGTGCTTGAAAATAGTCTTCATCCTTATTGGCCTGCTGCTAAAAACTTAAAATCAAATGCACTTCGTACCATATTGGGGTTCAAATTCATAAATACTTTAATCTTTTTACACCTGGAAGGAACTTGAAATCACAATGTCTGGTTTTGTGTACACACAGGTTTTTATTAACTGCACAAATAATAAAGACGATCTGAATTTAGCTTACTAATAACCCAACATTTTATTTCAGCTTAGCGCATTGGTCTTGGATACGATCTGGTTGATCAAAATGTTTAGTCAACCCGAGAACTTCAATCAATATGAAGGAATTTTTGCCAATGATTATGTTACACACAGAAACTAAAAATAAATATTAAATAACTTCATTCTGGAAATAATAACAGGGTGGTAGAATTCATGACTTTTGTTTATGGTAACATTAAGTTACTGTTAACGTTACTTGCTAATTTTCGTTATTTTTCTCAATATTTGAAAAATAAACATGTACCATGTTCTAGGTAACTATTTGCCAATTTCTTTGGTATATAACTTACTATTGTTGCTCTTACTTTTCCCGTTATGCTTGCAGCAGCAATATTTTGATGAAAATATGTTTTACAAGAATATCCAGGAAAAGTACAAGAGATGCATTGGAAAAATATGTACCATGATTTGAATGGGAAAATATTTACCTAGAACATGTATCATGTGCTTTATTCAAATATTGAAAGATATAATGAAAATTAACAAATACCATAAACAGTGACCCAGTGCCATGTGATCATCCACCCTGTAATAATCTACATATGAAAATAGGAGTCTAATCTTCGTATCTTTGGAAAATTAACTTTTTAAACACACTTCAAATTTTCTTCAGTATCCACATTTTGGGTTTATGTTTCCAGAAGAAGAATGGCAGCTTATTTCTGTCAATATGTAACCCATCAAATCCTTCCACTGTGTCTATTACAATATGGCTATTTTCATAATATTTTAAGTTAGTAGAATTTCCAATTATAAGATGAGAATATGACATCATTTCTGACCCCCCTGGCACCAAGTCTTCAGTTTTATTATATCTGAAAATGAAAAACAAAATTGTATAAAGTATGCCAGTAAATGAATACATATATATATATATAAATCCAATAACACTAAAAGTCAGTACAAACCCTAGACAGAGTGCTCGATGGTATCCCAGAGCTGTATGTATGGATTTATATTCAATCAACACATTATATATATATATATACCAAATTAGATAGAAATTATAACATTACAAAGTTTGATTGGGTAGGAAGTTATAAGCTAAGAGACACACTCTTGAATCTAATCCTTGAACAAACCGGTACTAAGCAATAAGTGTAAGGCTTCTTCTTGAAGGAAACAAAGGCTTGCCCCAAACTGGGTTTGAGCCCCCAATATAAGCTATCGTAAGATAATTAGTCCAACACAATAAAATTCACTATTTCTTGGAAGAGTTATAAACTTTTCTTCTCTGCCCATTAGATACTTATCAGATTATGTCCCATGAAATAGGTTATCAAATCTAAAGCAGTCAACGTAAAGATTTATGCTATTTTTATGTTCAAAATACTTAAAATTATTGCCATTGGACAAAAAGCCTGTCAAAATTATTTGTAACATGTCAAATCATGCCAAGATAACACTTATACCATTAGTAATAAGGTAGAAATATGATGATAAAAGGAATAAAACATACAAAATGTCACATGGACGGGAAATATACATTGTATACACATTACTGACACTTGGTGTGTTTCTTTAAAGTCTTGACCTTTAGGGATTAGGGGGTTGGGGGAGGATCCCTGTGATATAGATTTGCTTGTCTTCTGTCTGTAGACAAACAATGTAGACTGACAATACAGTCATCCATGTGTTAAGGACACCTTTTCTAGTCTTATTTTTCAATTAAGAGGAATGTACCTTTAAAGCTGCACGCCTCCAGAAAGGCCAAAATATTTCAAGAAATTCAATCTTTAGAAAAATGTATAAAGATCTTAAGAAAGTAAAAAGATTCAATATTCAATTAATTATTTTCATGTTATGTGCGATTAATGACTGATTGTAGTATCAATCACTTTAATTCTACTGCGTTTCTTACGCAGTTATAGGTATTTATGTATATTTTAACCTCTTTTTTTGTAATTTACTTGGATTGTAAGTGTGGTTTGTTATGCGTAAATTACTTTCTTTGTTCACTTCACAATATTTTACTTTTAAATACATTTTCAAAATTTCCATGAAAATTAGCAGGAATCTGGAGGCATGCTGCTTTAATGTTTTTGAAACAGATTTCAAATAAGGAACTTACATCCAATCGAGATACATTTGACCAAATCTTGTTATTCCTGTCTGTGCCGCGGCCACATCAATATGTACATGTACAGCTGGAAATGAAAAATCAATTTAACACAATTGGTAATATGACCTTTAACCTCATCCAATCGAATGTCATTCTAATGAAAGGTTATCTAACATATTATTTGCAAATAGCACATCCAGCATTCTTGTATTGAAACTGATTCAAAATTCGATTTTAATCATAAATGATTTACGAGTAAAAATTTAATAATAAGTTTTCATGTATGTTATACATAATAGATTTTAGGCAGTACTGACCTTGACCCAGGACGCCTTTGTTAATTAAGGTAAAATTTATGATATACAAAGCTATGACAAACTTAACGAAAGAAGTTCATGTGATTTATTTCTGATACAAAAATCAAAAACAACCATAAAAATGCCACTTTTAGTTTTACTTTGAACCTACGGTAGTAATTAAATGAACTCCAATGCTTGGAAAAAAGCTTTGATAATATATACATGTACTTGGCTTTTTTTAAGGCATTGAGTTCACAGTGTCATAAAATTGGGTATTTGGTAAAGTAGGCTGACAGTTGTGATGCCCTAAATCTTATATAAGCTCTTGCATTTAAACCTAATGATCGTGTACTGTGCATTATCTTGATTAAAATCTACCTGATGTTGGTGCTTCGATCTCATGAAATCTCCGCAATGCCTCGCCACCTGGATAGTTCCGATACGATGTATACAGAAATATCCCCGACGTTAAAATGTTGCCACAAATATGGAGCAGTGCACCAAATGCCAGCAACTTTCTAAGTAAAGATTTGTTCCTGTTGATCCATCTGAAATAAATAAAATGTTTGTTAATTTTTTCTTTTTTTTAAAATAATATTCTGTTTTTGGTAACTGATTCACAGTCTACTTTACCCTTTCATGTTCCGAACTGTAAATTGACTGATTACTGTACAGGGTCGGCAAAATCTGATTTTGACTTACTTGTCTGTCAATTAAATATAGGAAAGTCTTGAAAGTTTCCACTTGTCCGCACAAGCTGTGGGACAAAATGGGCAATACTGACAATTTTGCCGCCCATGCTGTAACACAGTGTACTTGCCTTAAACATTTCATATATATGATGGAGGCTTAATTTTCACATTATGTATAAAGTTGAAGAATTGAATTATTATAAAAACACACTTTTTGGATGAAAATGAACAATTATTATAAAAATAATATCTTTTTCTCAGCCTTAAACCAAAGTTAAGATAAATTGCCAAAAGAAATCCATATTCATATTCCAAACGCTATATTTCAGACAGGTATAATTAATATACCAGTATTGTAGGAAACATACATGATTCTGTGAATGGGACATGTATACCGGAGTCATAATGCAACAAAAAGTGGTAGTACATGTAAAATTTCATCTCAAAACTAAAAAAGGGTGAAAGCTGTTAAATTGGTACGTTAGTTTCACACATTGATGTGGCATTCATGTAAAAGTGGTCTTTGCATATAAGATATAATATCAAAATTAGGTTTAATTTGTAAAGTAAAAAATATACAGATTTTATGCGAGAAAAGAAAAAGCTATCTGTTTATAGAATTTTTTTTAGAGAGGCAAAAAGCTTGTTTGTTGAATTTTTACTCCAGATCACTGAATTAAGCCACATTGAATTTACCAGAGCACAGTTCGAACAACTGTAGAAAGGATTTCAATTCAACCACAACGAAAGCGACCTGCACCATCCAAGGAATCGAAACCGGATCGCATGATTCACAGTTGAGCTAAACGGACGGCTGAGACAAAAAGCTATCAGTTTTACAGGAATTATACTGAAGGATTTTTGCACAAGAGCTTTTAATATAACTCAAGATATCCTTCAATGTAAAACTCTAACAATATAATGCAGTGTACTTATATACCAATTGTTGAGTTGACAATATTTCCTCTGAGTGCCATGTGATATTAAGATAAAATGTGATATTTAAAATAAAATACATTGTATAAATCAACTTTTTAAACATTATGTAGCTTGATGCTACGCTATTGAGGTATCAAAAAGTAAAATTATGCCTAAATAAAGTAAATATACATTTTTTTCCAATGCAAAACTACTATTATGTAATATAATTAAATGCTATGTATATAAGAGCTTTATATATCAAAATCTGTACCAAGCCATTAACTAGAAACCATAAATAACAATTGTGACTTAATTCAATTTGTTTCGCTATATTGTCGCTATATTATCAAAGAAAATTCAAGAGAAAAAAGTCAGAGTATAACAAAAAAATAGATCAAACAGTTAACCTCTAAATTATGGGGAAAGTGTAATCTGCTTTTGTTTTTAACCATAATATAATGCTGATTAAACATGTCATCTTTTATAAGCCACTAATTAAAACTTGAGGGAACAATAATTAAATATACTGGCATGCGAGCAGTTCCCGTACAAAAATCGTAGTTACTTAAACATTATTTTTTTTTACGCTCACTCACCAAAATTTGAATGTTACATATCAATATTCGGCTCGTCACACAAATCATGGAAATTCCATCATGTTCTAAACATAGAATAACCCTTAGTTATGAGGCCTCATATGGGGTACAGAAATTATCCATTATTTTGTATGAAGAGAAGTAGTTCCCGTACATAAAATTTAACCCATTATAATTATACAATTTTATTATATCGGACCTATTTTTCATTTATAATTGTTGAACAGACCATTTTCTAAGAGATAAATAGATGTAATTCAGGAAATAGAAAGTAGACTAAACGAGTGTATCTATTACCCGGTACCGTTACCCCCCAACGCATTCACATGCGATGGCATGCTTGTATACATGATATTTTAAGCATCAAAGCCATAAAATTATTTTATATAGTAATATTGGTCAAAATTCTGATAATTAAACAAGTTTTCATCACATTGCCTTCTTATCTGTAAACAGGTGGTATTAGTGGAAACCCCTTAAACATGCCTCACGTGTAAGTATGTTTGCGCATGCGCGCAAGGACGGAATCCCCCAGATAAAACAAGGTCACGTTTTGACAACGCACAGGTGAAAGTGATTTAAAATGAGACTTTTTATACGTACTGCCGAACTGACACTTAGATTTTGTCTCGTTTATGTATCTGCTTGATTTGAAATGAATTTTTGAAGAATGCATGTAAAAATCAAGCGTTTAAATGAAAAATACGGGTACTGCTTCTGTACGGGAACTGCTCGCATGCCAGTACTCTTTTTATAGCATATCTTGTATAAAATCAGATAATTCTAATCTAGAAAGTAAGTCCTTAATTATGTCCACACATGAAAGAGAAGAGATGTGCTTGAAGTATTGATTATAATTTTTTCTCTTTGTTTTTAGATCATATTTTCTGCTTTTAAAATTGATGACTTCAAAAAAAAGAACATTTCTACATTTTTTTATCAAAAACTCTGGGGAACTTACAGTTAAGGTAGAAGCAAGCAGTCTGGTAGAAACATTAAATTTGATTCGCCTGTTTGATCTAACTTTTAATGAGCAAGTTTGATATTACTTTCCAATTGGAACAATTTGATATTACTTTCCATGAGCCAGTGTTATCTTATCATAAGTGAGCCATTTTTTATCTAACTTTCCATGAAAAACTTACATTGATCAAACTTTCTATGAAACAGTTTGATCTTACTTCCCACCATCCAAAACTTAAGATAATGAATCAAGTGGAACAAACAATCAACACAGGTTCACTGATGTTTTGAATCTCACAAATCTTGATCTGGGTTATAAAATATCCAACCAACTAGTTTGATCCAATTTCCCATGAACCAGTTTGATCTAACTTCTCATTAAACAGATTGTTATAATTTCTCATGAACCATTGTGATCTATTTTCCCATGAACCAGTTATATGTAATTTCCCATGAACCAGTGTAATCTAATCTCCCATGAACCAATGTGATCTAACTACCCATGAACCAGTTTGATCTTATTTCTCATGAACCAATTTGATCTAATTTCCGATGAACCAGTAATTGATCTATTTTCCCATGAACCAGTTTGATCTAATGTCCCATGAACCAATTTGATCTTATTTCCCAAGAACCAGTTTGATCTAATTTCGCATGAACCAATTGGATCTTATTTCCCATGAACTAGCAATTGATCTAATTTCCCATGAACCAGTTTGATCTAATTTCCCATGAACCAGTTTGATCTTATTTCCCATGGACCAGTCTGATCTAATTTCCCATGAACCAGTTTGATCTAATTTCCCATGAACCAATTTGATCTTATTTCCCATGAACCAGTTTGATCTAATTTCCCATGAACCAGTTTGATCTAATTTCCCATGAACCAGTTTGATCTAATTTCCCATGAACCAATTTGATTTAATTTCCCATGAACCAGTTTGATCTAATTTACTATGGACCAGATTGATCAAATTTACCCTGGACCAGATTGATCAAATTCCTCATGAACCAGTTTGATATAACTCCCTATGAACAAGTGTAATCTAAAGTATAATTCTGATTCTGGTAAATAAGTGCAGGTTTTCTTTAACTTCTGCATAAATGATTGGAATTCGCAATTTAGAAGGCAATGTTTTGTGTGCAAGACTCATGTCACTGAGTCAAAGGTCACAGCAGGGGCTTGGACTTTGTGTATTATGATATTAATGCAGTTTTTTTTATATCTACAATGTATTTCAAAACTCATAACTTTACTAACATAATTTTATTTTTAAAAGTCATTCTTTTCATATTTGGTAAAGTCTATAAGACATGAAAGTATTGCCTTTCATCTAACATATAAACACCATAAAATATAACATAATAGACTGCCTACTACAAGTCCATTAGAGAGCATCCTTTTTATATGGACAGATGTTTAGTTCATAGGTAGTGAGTTTTTCCACTTTGTTTTGAAGAAGTGTGACGGAAACATACTTTTTAGTTAACTTGATTGTCTCCTTTTTGTATAAGTTCACCATTTGCATCGGGCAAAGATTACAAAAAATTTATGAATTTTAAGAGATAGAAAGAGAGGCAATTTTAATCATTTTGCTATAGCCGAAAATTCGTTTTAAGCGAGTACGTATTAAGCGATGTGATTTAATATAAAATAAAGAAGGAATCGGTAGGGGGTTTCAAATTTAGTTCGCTATTAACGGTAATTTGTTATAAGCGAGTTCATTATAGGTGGAGTCGACTGTAGGTCACCATGTCCCTTTGGGCAGGGCAAAATTTGACCCTAAGGTTTTAATTTAAACAATCTTGATACAGGTTAACCATGAAAATCTATGACTCCTGTGCAAGGCCAATTTTGACCCAAGGGCTGTAATTTGAACAATCTTGGTAACAATCCACTACACTATGTTTCATGCCAAATATCTAATCTTTAGTCTATGTCAATTTAGATCTAAAGATTTTTATAGAGTTTTTATTACATACAAATAAGAAAAACGTATGACCCCTCCTGGTGCAGGGCCAATTTTGACACAAGAGGCAAAATTTGAACAACTTTGGTAGAGCACCAATATATGATATTTTATAATACTGAACGTATGTAACGTCACTTTTCATTGGATACTCATGATGTTTATATAGTTTTATATACATGGCTGCTGTCAATTTATGAAGATGTCTCACTTTTTTCTCTAAAAAAAGGTAGTTTGCTGTATTGTAAATTTATTATGAATATTGACCTGACATGTTATATGACCATATATAAATGTTTTTTTTTGCAATATAAACCTCACCTAGTGCCTCGGATTATATTTCATAACAAACATATAGGAACTTATAACCTGTCAAAAATCTTTATAACTAATAATATACCAAATATTAAAGCTCTATTAGCCTTGTATTTTCAGACAAGAAGAATTTTTAGTTTTTACTATATGTAGATAGTGAAAATTAATGACCCTTGGGGCGGGGTCAATTTTGACCCCATGGCTATAATTTGAACAATTTTTGTAGAAGTTTACCAGACAATGCCTTATGCAAAATATCTAACTAGGCATTGTGAGTCTTTACAAAAAGATTTTTTCCTTTTTTTTCATTTTAATTCCTTCTGGTTGCCATAGCAACCAGATTTCTGCATGGAATAAAATTATTTGAACAAATTTGGAAATCCTTCCCCCTAGGAACAATCCTGCCAAGTTTAGTTGCAATTGGACTTGTGGTTTTTCACAAGAAGGCTTTTTTAAGTTCACTACCGTATATCATCTATATAACAACACACACACAGGTGAATTGCTATATGCCACCAGATAGAAATCATAATATTACTTCTACATATCTTTAATTACAAGTATAAATGTTGCTGCAATGCAGCAATTGAGAAGCTCCGCGCAAAAAAATGCGCTCATTACAGATACCTTACCAAATTATCCCTACGCACAGGTCATGTTATATTCAGATTAAGTACTATTTTAGATTTTTTCCGAATGTTTTGTAAACCAATTTTTTGCATAATTATACTTATCTTATGCACTGTCCATAATTAAAAACAGGGGAAAGATATTTAATATCTTTCACTGATGCCTACCTGGTAAGGTAAGTAATTCCATTGAATACAAACAAGACTTACAAGACTTGTAAATGTTATGTGACATGACTGTACTGTGTTCTGTTTGTGTTACTACTGTAGTCAGTAACATAAGATGATAAGAATATCAAAGTCTGTTTTTTTATTATTATAATTGTAACAAATATACAAATAGTAAGATAAGGGACTAATATTATAATATAGTAATATTACATGCATTTTTTCATGTCATATTAAAAAAAAATGGTTTCTTTCAATACTGAAAGTAGAACACACTATGGAATGAAAAAATGGGATGAATTTCAAAAAGACCAAATTGAGGATTTTTTTGTCTGTTATACACGCGTTACATGGTGATACAGTATCTATCAATATAATAGAAGACTGTTTCCTGAATTTAAGGCAGGTACTAACGTTACATCATGTTCGTGCGAGTCAAAGATATAAAAGCTATTTGACATTGGTGATATATAAAAAACTATTGTTAATTGACTTATTGGGAGATCAATATACTTTTTTGTTGAACTGCTTTCCGGTTCTCATTCATTAATATGACATGTTGCGAATCACCGAAGGGGAAACCAATATAGAAATCGAAAGGAGTTCTTGAATGCGGATTTATTTTTAGCTGTAAATCGAAGGAATTAATTGATCAAATCCGGGCCCATGGACAAACAAAATAGTAAACACAAATAGTGGCGCGGAGCAATAACCACTGAAAATATAAAGATTTTTTAACCAGTGGTCTGTGCTGATCATTATCGGTTTTAATTTCTTGAAATATGATTATTTCATGGAAAGACAACATTTTTTTCTTAAAATTGTTCAGGTTATTTTCTTCCGAGAGTAATTTATTGCTTTATAGATATGATAATGTTAAACCAAGCCTTGGTAAACACTTAAAACAGGTTTATCGATATTGTTAGTTAGATGTGGACTTTGGATTAACATTTCATATATAAATATACAACTGTGCAATGAAATGGGATGTTGTTTTGTTTTTGTCAACCGTAGTCGGGTGAACCTTTGCACATAACTTAGCAATAATTGGAGGTGATAATTGTACATAGACAGGAATAAGTTAAGTAAAACTAGAGAACTGTGATAAAGTGTTGCTGGAAATTATATTGTTTAAAATGACTCTGAAACAAAATTGGTGAATAGATCAGTTCAGATAAAATATCTACAAAATGGCTTCTGGTAAACAAATAGATACAGATATTCTGTCAGATGCAATATTTGATGTATTATGTTCAATGTGTAAAAATAAAGGAAAAAACACTGAAGGTGAAAAATTCTGTGTAGACTGTAAGGATTATTTTTGTATAGCCTGTGTTCAAGTACATGGTCAAGTGCCTCTGTGTGCTGATCACAAGGTGTTGGATAAATCTCAAGTTAAGTCAGTAACCGGTAAAGGTCTGCCGAGGGCACCAACAGAGAGATGTGACAGACACAGTCATAAACATATTGATATGTACTGTCAGAACCATGATAATGTTGGCTGTTCTACATGCATGGCAGTTGATCACAGGTAAAACTTATTATTATATATAAACATAGATTATTTTTTTCAATTAAAGTGACATTATGCTCATTTTTTCCTGAACTTATTATTTTTTCACATGATACACTGTTATAATGGTGATTGTTAGAAATTGTTCAGCATAAAACATAAATCTGCCATAAATAAAAAAAAGACTGCCCCACTTGTAAGAATATTCATAAAATTTTACTGTAGATATATTTTTTTAAACGAGTTAATGTCTTCCCACAGCGAGACACCGAAGTGTAACATATTTCAATGAACAGTGTATTTATAAACCTGTTGCCGTGGTTTAATTGTCTACATGTAAATGTCAAATAGAGACACGCTGATAGTGTGTAAGCGTTTATTTTTTGTGGAGAAGAGAATTTGTTGTTTTGAAGGGAGTTTTGTTGATTTTGTTGAAGTAGAGAAAAGCAGAATCCCTAAAGAAAGCTCAACACGGCAAAATTGTAAAATGTTGCAGGCTCGGTTTGATTGAGCCTGTTCATTGACGGTACTGGAAAGTGCAAGTTACCGTCCACGCCCCCTACCACCGGCTTAAGCAGAATTCAACATTTAAACACAAAATGGTCAAATTTTGAGTTTAGAAACATCCGTAGATGTTTTCATACGGCGGTTATCATGGACCCTTCAATGTGACACATTAGTGTCATTCCATGAAAAGCAGCGTATGATCCCCAAGTAAAAGAATGCGTGTGCCCTAAACGATAAAACAATGGGCGGAACAAAATAAAATGGAATTTTTAAAGGGGATCTGAGGTTATGAAGCCTTCATATCACAGACAAGACGTCAAAAGACACATTTAAAAAGCAGGCAACATATCCTTAGGGTGATTATACAGTATTTAAGTAGGAATACTGGAACCACCCAAGTTGAAAAAGGCAAAATACAAGAAACGTCGTGCTGAACAATCTTCAAGGATTGAAAATATAACATCATTGATTAAATGTACGGGGAGACGTTTTACAGCCACCACACGGCACAAATAACACGGATGTGACAATGGTTGAATTTAATTGTGGTGATCTTAATTGATCAGGGTTTATTGGTTGTAATTAGTTGTTTTTGTCGTTGAGTTATATCTGTTTGTGAAGATATACTTGGTTGATTTTGGTTGAATGTTTGGAGTGATTTGTCTTGTCAAGGTTCTTTTAGTTGATGCTTTGTTTTTGGGGATATCTGTAAATATTGGATGCTTTAGTTGCTTTTCTAATGCTGATTAGATTTTGTGAAGTTAATATTGTTGATTGAATGTTTCTGGTTTATATTGTATCTAAGAGTTGTAAAAATATTCATTTTTTTGTGTTCTTCAATTTTGTGGTGATTTTATTGTTTTGTTTGATCATTAGTTGTTTAGAGCTTTGGCTCGCCAGGTGTCTAGTATTGTTTCATATAAGAGACGTGTACGTGAAAAGATATTTCGTGTAAGTGGCTTATAAATGATGTGTATTTGTTTTGGGTGTAAGTAATAATCAGAGTTCTTTGTTTTGGGTGTAAATAATCAGAGTTTGTTGTTTTAAGGTAGACGATGGGTAATGCATTACCTCCACTTTGAAGAGTATTCAAATAGGCTAGAATCACTTGCCAACTACATTGAAATTGAGGGGCGTGGGTTCAAACCCCAGAAGGGGCAACTTTTTTTTTCTTTCTTTTTTTCTTTTTTACATTATTTATGTATCTCTCTGATCCCTTATGGAAGAAAAAAGGATTTGATTTAAATTATATAATTATTGTAGGTATTTACTTGCTAAATAATGCCAAAATTTATAGCAAATATGATACCAGATATTTTCAAAGTTTAATAAAATAAAAACTACACGGTAAAAGTATTTAATATTTTGCATGAACAACCAATATACCTTTAAGAAAATTTGGGCAAACTTTGAAAACAGCCCATCATTATGGTAAATTTTAGGAATATTTTGAATAAAGCATCTTAGATAGGGAAATTGTAAAATAAGGGTTTAAAGTGGGCGGGGTAGGGTTACATTTCTATACATATTTAGAACATTTTGTTTAGAAACAAACATTTTGCTTGTGTAATTTGTTACCTGAATGTTATTATTTGTTTCTCAACAATGAGCAATAGAAAAACATTTTTTTTAAATGATGATATTACAGATTATTTAGAGTTTCCTCATTTCTGAAAAAAAGCCCTTCTAATGGCAAAGTCTTAGTTCTGAAATATATCCATAACTCATAAACCACACGGTAAATTTTATTTAAATTTTGCATACAGGTGACCTTGAAGACATATAACTGTCCTATGTTGTCAATTTTACAGTTCCTTATGGTGCCCATTACCCATGGTCTACCTTAAGGTATATATGGATTTGAGATGAAAAAAAGAAGATAAAAGTACCTAAAAAAATTGTGTTAACTTAACAATTACATGCTAGTTTTCCAACTGAGAATATTTCAATTGTATGTCAGGCGGTGCTGCCGGGCCCCCATATCTTGGAAATTGGTTCTAGTATTTATTACTAAATCTTTCCTTAGATTAAATTACATCAAGGCAGTCATTCTCTTGACAATTTGGGGGCTCGTCCGGGGTATTCTTTTTGAGTTGGAATCTTTTCTGTCAAAATATTGTTTGTTAAACTTTGATAAAAGTTTTTGTTAAACCTTAGACCATTTTCGATCTGTTGGTAAAAATAAAGCAGTCTGAAACAGCTGTTGGTTGAAAATCGATAAACCTGCATGTAGTTTTATACAAGTAAACTCTCTGTACAATAGAGTTTAATGAAGAAAAACGGTGACAGATTGTGTAAATTGAAGAATTAATTGTATTTAGCAGGAGGGCATCCTTGGTTGAAAACTGTTTATACGGTGATAGATTTACGTGGTTTTGGAGAGAATTTGTTGTGATAGTTTGAATCAATGTATTAATAAGTTTATATTAATGATAAAGATATAGCTTATAATTTGTTAGTTAGTTGATAAAAGTTTATTACCGATGTCCAGTGGGTGATTTTTCATAAATGTGTATGTAATAGTTGAATAGTTTTTACCGCAGGTGCCCAGCTGGTTGTTTTCATAAAGTTTACATAGTTGGTAAACACTAAAAGAAGATTACTATCGGTGCCCTGGTTGTTACTGTTAATACAAGTTCATTGCCCGGTAGGTGGAGTAATAAGTGTTTACTCAACGGGTTTCGTAGAAGTTGATTATTTTATTAAATAGTAATCCATTACTAAGCAATTATGGATTATGAGAAATGGGTATCATTGGGTGAGAGGCTTGGGTTGAAAGACGGGGATTTGCATGATTTTGTTCAAAAGAAAGAATCAGAATATCTTGAAAGAGAAGAAAGAAATATTAAACGTGAAAAAGATAAACGAACGGCGATTTGAGGCCGAGCGTAAAGCAAAAGAAGCTGAACGTGAGGCATAGTGTTAAGAAAAAGAAGCTGAACGTGAGGCCGAGCGTTTAGAAAAAAAGCTGAACGCGAGAAAGAGCGACGGCGTTTTGAGGCCGAGCGTCTAGAAAAAGAAGTCGAACGTGAGGAAAAGAAACGTTTATTTCATGCTGAAGTAGAGATGAAAATGAAAGAGCAAGAGATAGAATTGATGGAGTTAAAAATCGAGGCTGGGGATCGCATTGATACCCCACCTTACACCGGTTTGAGGCCAAGTTTGACAAAATTCGAAGAGTCAAAAGATGACATAGATGCTTATATAGAGCGTTTTGAAAGTTTCTCCATTAGTCAAGGATGGAAAGAAGAGATGGGCAATAAGCTTAAGTTCGTTATTAACGGGGTCTTGAAGTTTACACTAGTATGCCCCCTGAGCAAGCATCAGACTATCAAGAAATAAAAACAGCAGTTTTGAAAAGATAGCAATTAACAGAGGACAGTTTCAGAACTAAATTTAGAGAATGTAAGCCGGAACAAGGGGAGACTGTAAACTAATTTATGTTTCGCTTAGATAGGTACTTTAGTAGATGGACAGAAATGGTCGACGCTGCTGATACAGTAGATAAATTAAAAGATCTTATTATTAGAGAGCTATTTGTCAAAGTTTGTTCAACAGTTTGTTTGTTTCATTTTACGCCTTTTTCCAACAGTATTTCAGTCATATAGGCGGGTAGTTTCCTAACCATCGTTCCTGGGGAGTTACACCAGTACTAGACTACCTTCCTCCGCGCTAAACTACCAAAGCATCTCCCGGGGATCGAACCCACGCCAGAGAGGTAACTGGAGAGCTAGCTCTTTTTCTCAAGGAACGAAGGCCAAAGGATCGTAGAGATTTCATCTCTTTGGCTGAACAATACTTAGAGGCTCATTGCGGTACAATTACAAATAGTAAAAGCTCAAAGATTGCCACCACTTCAAATAAATCACCAATACGCTTAAATCAAGGTACTCTATCGAAACCAGTACAGCACTATCACAGAGAAAACATATGGGGCTGCTGCAATGTCATATGGAGGGCAAAATAGAAATTACTTTAAAACAAATCGGGATTCTTCACTAAGGAACTGACGTAGAAGGCCTGGAGAAAATAGACGTGATTGTAGATCCGATGATAAGAAAGTATCGGGGTTATGTTATGTCAAGTTCTTATGATGGTTGTATTGAAGAGGGGAAACTTAAATTAGCCAATGGTAATTATGTGCCTGTCATTACAAGTAGCTGTACAATTGAATCATTAGAAGGCGAACGTTCTTAGAGACACTGGTTGCGAGTTAGCATTAGTTAGAAAGAAGTTGGTGGAAGAAGATCAAATGTTGAATAAAAATTGTGTCATGATAGCAATAGATGGTCGGGCCAGGTTAGTACCCATGGCAAAGATAGACATTGATACACTTTATTATAAGGGTTTATTAGAAGCCAGCAATTTGTGACTTAGTCTTGGGTAATATTCATGGTGTACTTGATAAGCCAAATGAGAAGTGGGTTAGCCGAGAAGAAACAAACATAGCTGCTGTTGTTACTAGAGCACATGCAGAAAAAGAGAATATGTCAATGAAACCTCTTAAAGTT